CCTCTATGCTTACTCTATTCTAGTAGCTTGTCCAGCATTTTAGAGCATGTGTATCGGTTAAGAATTGAGTAAGATATGTGTTCCTAGGTGCCTTGCTCAAATTAGGGTTTTATAGTGTAAATCGTGACCCAATTGCTTGCGTAGCTGACACTAAAATTAAAAGTGTGGACACCCGGTCACTTTGCCGCGACCGATCGGTCACGGGCCGTGGGCCCGTGACACGGATGCCCTGCAATCGACGTGAACCGCGTCACCAGTACCGACGGTACTCTGACGAGTACTGACCGGTTCGACGGTCAACCGTAACAGCCGGTTTTGCACCCTAGGTGGCTTGTGGATAGAGGCTGGCGGTCAATTCACGGATATAAAGGCATGTTTTCAATCACCAAATGCCAGACTGAACTTGTGCGACGGCAGACGAGAGGAGAGTGGAACTATGCCCGGGCGGCCGTTTTCGGCCAGGTAGCTTCGGCCGGGCCAGCCTGTATGGTAAGTGAGTGTCGCGAATTGCGACCTTTCAAAGACGCAGCCCAAAGATCTTCAAGGTAAGTTTGGCTGCGTCGATTGAACAGGACCGTTTGATTCGATCAATCAACTGAGGAAATCACCAAGCTCATAATAAGTCTGCTTTGATTGATTTCCCTCGTAAGGAGGGTTGCTGCATGAGAAGAGCAACAACCATGTCACATTGCTCCACTTCCACTAGCAGTCCGCAGAATAGTCTAGTTGCAGTATTCAGCGTCTTGTGTATGATACGAGCTCCCTAGTCTTGCTGCTGGCCTGAAAGAGTCCGCTTTCCGGACGTAATCCAGACCCGGTTATACGGTACGTCAGCGATCCGATATAGCCAGTAGATAAATACGAGAGATTAGAGATGCCGTCAGCAACGGAGATTTCTTTCGCCCAACACAGTCCTATTGAATAGGCGGAAAATGCCCTTTGTATTTGTCATCAATCAGAGGTGCCTGTTAAGCCCTTGGTCAGCCCCCAATCTAGAGCTTTGCATTGCACTCCCCTCCGGTCCCTTTCGAACCCCGCTCCGATATCGCACCCCCAGCACTCGGCATCCTCTCCTTTCTTCTTGCCGTCAAAGGGGCCCCATCCCTTGGCTCAGAATGCCCCCGACTTGGCTTCAATAAAATGGCCCCTTCACGTTCCGCCTGAATAGAATTAGCACCTCGCACCCCACCCGCACCGCCCCCCTTCTCGCCCTGTCCTGAGAAAGTACTGAAGCTTTCCAAACCGCATCGTCCCCCGCCTCTAGCGCCGCCCCTCCTTTCCCGCAAACCCCAAAACTCTCTTCTCTCCTCCCTGGCTTTCGGAACTTCCTCACTTCCCCACCCCCCTTGCATCCACCTCCAATCCCTGCCCTCTGCGTCCGTCCACAAAACCCCAAACCGCAAACCCCGTCCCCAGACCCCAGACCCCGGACCCCGGACCCCGGACCCCAGACCCCAGACCCCAGACCCCAGACCCCAGACCCCAGACCCCAGACCCCAAATCCCAGACCCTTTTTCTTCAACTCTTGGGGTCCGCCAGCGACTTGAATTTCCGCAGGAACTCCGGCGTGGTGAGCGCCCCGGGCGTCGCGGACTGCGTGCGCGAGAGGGGGTCCGACTTGCGCGACTTGCGGATGTTGACCGCGGCCGGCTGCAGCTTGCTCGCGCCGCTGCTGCTCTGGCCGTAGATCTTGCCCAGCAGCCCGCCAAAGACCATCAGCACGCCCAGCCAGTGGGACGACGTCAGGTGGTGCCCGTACCACACAACAGACGCTGCGGAGCAAGATTGGGATTTGTTTGATTTCTTATCGCTTTTATCGTTTGTTGGGGAAGGGGGGTCTCGACTGGTTTGCACCTTCTGGGCGCAGTGTTTGCAGAGCGCGCCCAGCCAGTGGGACGCCGTCAATGATGCCCGTACCACATGACCGACGCTAGGGAAGGTATGAAGGAACTAATTGTCGATCATTTCTTTGTTGGCGAAGAGAGTTTTGATTGATTTGAGCTTTTCTGGGCGCATTGTATGCAGACCACGCCCAGCCAGTGGGACGACGTCAAATGGTGCCCGTATCACCCGACGGACGCTGCGGACAGGGTTTACGGGCTGATTAAGTTCGACCTTTTTCCCGGGTTCCCAAAGCTTCGTGCGAGCCGGAAAACTGCATCGGTGGTCGCTTCTCGCCTTGGCAGACAACGAGATCGAGGCGCCATTCGAACAGCCGGCATAGACTGAACGAAGCCCTCCAGCTCGGTCGAACCAGCTTAACTTTGTGGGCGGTCTCCATGAAAGCAAGTCGAAATTTGATGTTCCCTACAACACTTGTTCAGAACTGACTTTTAGTCCGCGTAAGCACTTTTATCCTTGCTTTGGCCGCGTTACAATCGGCTGTCAACAAGTCGCAGCTTCCAACAACCGGATTCTGGGACCGTCTATTTTTCCAACCGACTCGGACAAGGCTCACCTAAGATTGTAAAAAACTTGCGGGTCGTTGTCACGGTCGCACAGAAGAGGGCGTCGAAGTGTCGTATGCACAGAAAGATGAAGAACTGCAACAAAAGAGTCCATGTCCGTGGTCAGACACGGACTGGCACAGCGGAGAGGAACGCCGTTGAGATAACTTAGTCACTGGTCCATGGGAAGTACCCTGGGCAATAGTGCCTCCATTTCTGCTGTGCTCAAGGCATGGTTTCTATCTTGATAAAAGGAACAAGCAGGTGCAAGCTGTTTTTCGAACTTTCTTCCTTTCTGTCAAGCATGCTGCGAAAGAGCACAACGAAGCTAGCCAGCACAGTGCAGAGTAGACAGCACTTGCGTCCAGTCGCACCAGTCATACGAAGCCAACATTGTACTGGCATTCTCATGCATATGCGCAGCGTGACTCCTCCAATTATTCGACGCAGACAGTGATTCGCCGACAAAAGTTTCCTTTGGCCATGGTCGTATTGCAACAGGAAGACTTTTTCTCAGGTGTTGAAGGCGTTTACGGTCTGTTTGTTGAAGATCGAGCTGATTGGTTTGAGTTCAGGGTCTACTTTTCAGATTTGGGGTCCAGGCATTGGTTCTTTGAAGTCAACCGTCCAAGCATCTAGACACGCTCACCTGGCCGGCGGCGCTCGTGAGGGAAAAAACGGTCACGTCCAGCAACACGACGCGGTACCGCAATAAATACGCCACGCCCCGGAAGAACTCCCCGGACGACAGCAAGGCTGCAGAGGACGCAGGGGGTACGTAAGAAGCAGACCCGTGAACAGGAGGCATGCAGCATGGGTCAATGAAAGCAGATCCTATGGGGAAGCACAAGCCAAAAACTCGGTGCTTAACAGGTTTCAGGAAGCTCTGAGCTTTGCAAGTCTCGGAATCTCAAGTCCTAGAGGAACCACGGTTGAGATCGGCGGCAATGAAGAAGCTCGAGAATCTCGAAGAGACACTGCCGGAGACGTCCAGCCGTTGCGGCGCCCAGCCTCTCAACACCACCTTTCATCCCAGATCTCCAGTATCCGCTCGATTGTAAGTACCGGACTGCACCGGCATCTGTTCTTTATTTCAACGCATCCGACTACTGGGGACTCCAAAAAAAGGCGTGCATATCTGATTTGCAAGCGGAGGGCCCGTGCCTCGTGTGAAAGTAAGCCAGAAAGCAACAACGTTTAGGATCCGCATCGGCCGAAACGGATGGGAAGCGTCGAGCGTATCAGCGTCACAGCTAGAGTCAGATTGGGCTACTGGTACTCGAGAAAGTTCGGGTTCGGAACTCAGCAGTCAGGCTTTCTGAGGATAAACGGAATCCTTGAGTGCGTCACCAAAAAACGTGAAATGATTGCCTCACAGGGAATGCCAGAACATGTCCTCGAGCACCGATGGCAGAACCGAAGTGTCTCAAGGATTGAGTTTTCGGACTCTGATGATCTTATGTGATTCAATTACATTACCAGGGTGTTTAAAATTTCTGAGGTACTCACCAAAGAACGTGAGGATGGCCCCCCACAAATTCTGGAAGAACATCAGCTCGAGCGAAGACGGCAAATGTTTGGCCACCATGCGATCCTGCGTAGCCCCCGTGACACCGTCCAGCACTAGCGACGCGATCAGCAGCAGCTGCCCCAGGAGCTGCCCCTTGACACTATGGCTGGCCTCCTCGTCTCCTTCCTTGACCTGAGGAAAGGCGTGGTGTCAACAACGGGTGACTCGGTATCCAGGTTGTGGTTTGAACGAAGATGTTCGCGAAGAGTTAGTGCTCACGACACTGTGGATGCCAATCTGTTCTTTTCCTTGGCTTATGGTAAGGCGTAGTGTCAAGACACGGAGCCGGTCGAATCGCTCAGCGTGTTTCTGTCGGCTGGAAGACGAGTGGAAGGTCTGGAGAAACTTCCGTTGACCTGCGATGTTCTTCCTTAACGCGCAAAAGGGTCGTTTAATGTGATGGTAGTCTCGTCCACCGACTGCGACCTGACAGTTCGTCTGCAGTTTTTCTGAGGCTTCCAAGCGAGATCAACTGTGTCCAAATGTGCATTTTCCACGTCCAATAATCCGCTGTTAGTCCCTCTAACTTCTTCGCCTGTACCTACCGTAACAAATTATGAAAAATCCAGACGGTCTGGGGGAGATAGATATGACGCTCACCTTATTGGACAGGAAGAAGAGCCCAATACCCCCGCTGACCAGAAGCACGCAAAAGTACTCGGTCCATCTGTATCGAATCCGGTTGTAAAACACACCGAAGAGCATAACTGCAGAAAGACGAGGATCGGTGTGATTTTCAAACCCAAATACAGCCCCGATGCCTAGCGGTGCGAAAACAGATCTGATTGGGTCTTTAAGGGATGCAGCAGGCCGAATTGGGGAGTCAGCTGAGTGGGGAGTAATTCACCTCCGTTGGCAAAACCTGTTCAATTCTACGCACATCAAAACAGCGGAAAGGGGGAACAAGAGCCACTCACCGGGTATCATCTTGACGGACTTCCCCAAAACCTGCATGGGAAGAGCCCCCTCAATCAGCATTCAAACCGAATCCAGTATCGACAAGAGACTGGGACGGCAACGTCCTGCCGGGCCAATCACAGGCCAACCGAATGAATCTCAGGGATTCGCCTTTGGCTTTCTCGTTTTTGAGTGGGACTCCGACGAGGCCCTTTCGCGTCAGTAACCGCAATCCAGAGAGCGACGTCCTGGGAAGCTTACGAGCTCAGAAACAAGTAGAAAAGATTCCATGACGTGGAGGACACGTGGACAGCCATCGGAAATTAAATCAGCCAAACGCGCACAGGCGTGGAGTAGCTAAGATTGGTGCAAGGCGGTATGAAGCACAATGAAGTAGATCAAAGCAGAATCGTGACACATGTAGGCAGACCTAGGGCTCAGTACCAAAGAAATGAAGCGTGCAGAAGATTAGTCTCACCTGTGTAGGATAGCTGAGGTACTGTAGGGCGGCGTTGGAGCATATTGTGGCGGAGATATAAGCGAAGGACGTGGGGGCGAAGTCGGTGAAGACTTTGACTTTGGTCCGGTGCTGTGAGGCACGGGGGTCGAAGCCTTGGGCTAACATGACTGAGGAAAGAAGCAGGATGGGTGACGTCAGCGTTCGGTCGGATGGAAGTCAGCACAGGAAAGCTCGGAGGCGCGGGGATATATTCCCTGGACCAGTACACAAGATCGAGGAGAGGCACAATGGACGAGTGACGCGAGCAATTCGTAGTGTATGCAGATAAGGAAAACAAATCGTTCAATTGACCAAAGAAAACGTCGGAGGCGTTCCCTCATGACGATGCTGCTTTGGTGATTCGCGAGCAACAACTAAAGAGCCCCCAGTCCCTCGACACTGGAAGTGGGCGACTTCTCTCCTAGCAACTAGACAATTGTCTCAGCTGACAAGCAACGCAAAGTTGCAACAGGAAACCAGTGAGAAGTCGGAATACTGATCAGCAAAAGTACGTCAGACTACAGTTCGCAAGGAGTAAAGCATGCAAGTCACTGACAAGATAAAACGAGATCAACGAGGCGGTGTCATCAAGGCAGGTCGCCAGATCGCTCGCTAATCGAACAATGAGAAACCTCAAGAGGATGACAAGGGCGACTCACTGATCAAGGAGAATAGGACGTTAAATATGCACTGAATGAAGACGAGTACGAGGGTGTACTCAAAGTACTCTCCCAGTCCTTCTGAATAATCAGTCGTATACCTGCGCCAGAAATTGCAAGACTCCATGAAGACCTGCTGAACTCGACTCTGGTTAATGAATACTCTGTCACTGCGTATCTGACAATTTCTTGTGTGTATCTGAAAAAGTCAATAGAATCTCGTTGTCCCCATTCGCTGTTTGATGATCCCTTGATCGCTGGAAAATATGTGGTCGTTTCCTTGGACCTGGCTGTATTGGCGAATCGTTATCGTGGCCTTGAGCTAACCAGGGTATGGAGACCAAAGTACACTCCCTCTCTGCTCTGAATACTTCCGAGGATCTGCAGATATTACATTCTTTCTTTCAACAAGTCCTTGCAAAGGCAGACACAGCGAGGCGCACTTGTTCTTTCAGTTGCCCGCAAACCCCCTGATATTCAGAAACGTGGTGGACTGCCCGCAAGCCAGAATTTCTGAGATGATCGGCAACCACTCGATGGAAGTGGTTTGGATGGGCTTGAGGAGTCTTATCAAAGCCAACGGCTCTGCCTTATTTCAAATATCTCAATGGCGTTGTGACGGTTTTCGGATGCACCGCAAGCACTCCTAAATACGCGAGCTTCAAGGAACAGGAGCAGAGCGGAAACGCTTACAGCTTTTCTTGCTGGAGGCCATAAGTTATGTAGCACGTGTATATGCCTCCGGCGCATATTACCATGAGCCATAGCTTACGCGTTCGCTCCTTCGATTCTGGGGAGGGCGACGTGCCTGGAGGGGAGGGCCCCATCTGCAGCCACGCGTATAGCCTCATATAAGCAATGAGCTTACATAAGAAGACAGAGGATGAATTGGGCTTAACGGGAAAGACAGAAAGGCAACAAGCAGATAACGCCCGGTGAATTGGGGCAAGGAGCTGATGCAACTCTTTAAAGAAACTTGGCAGGCGCAAAGAAGCCGTAAAAGCTTGAGTGGTAGGCTAGATGGGCACCTACAGTCCTACACCTTCCTAAATGGGGATTTGCATACACTTTAGTATGCTGAATAAGAGATGCTTTCTGCCCCTGGTGAGCATAACAAATGAACCTCCCTCAGCTCAGTAGAGGTCAAAATATGAGGTGAGCGTTCTCCTGGACAGCCAATAGAGCAGAGCAGGACTAATGTCAACCAAGTGACCGACCAACTCACATCAGGCTGCACCTCAAACAGAGCACCAGAAAAATTTGCTCTGCCTGGTTCTGCTGCGTCCATCTATCTCAAAGAACACTCCCCCGCCGACTGCCATAATAGGCCAGCTTATGCTAGATGCAGCTTCCCAGAGCTTTGGCCTGATGTTTAACTCAGTGGCACCATACAATCGCACCCTGATCTGGTCACATCGTGTTGCTGAGCTCAACGTCTACACGACCTTGTCAGCTTCCGAAGGTATGTCGTGCAATTATATGCCCACCATCTTAGCACGTCATAGCAAACGGCGACCAGTCACAACTGGCAATCCCTTCAACAAAATCCCACATTCCTCACGTGAGTGTTGCTTGTTCAGCGGCGACGTCCCGACAGATCTTACGCAATTGCCGCAAACCCTCCGATTGCCAAGAGCATCCGTCCAACCTTGCATCTTTATGCGTAATGCACCCCAAGAAGCTTATGTGAGCTGGAAATTGTCGACCAGATTGCAGCCAAAAACAGCTAGTCTCTGGTCTTAGATCTGAGCTCAGGCATGAAGAAACTGGACTTAGAGAGAAAGCTCACCATTGCGGGGGAGGGGTAGCTGCTTGGCGGGGGCGTAAACTGTGCCAGCAACTCTGGAGGCACCTGGATCGACACGCTGCTCCTCGACCGTTTCACCGCCTGCCTCGGCCCCCCCCCGCCCAGATCAGGGGGGGCCGTCCCCGCATCTATTGACTCCCGCCTCATCAAGCGGGCCGCAAAGTCTGGCGACGCCAGGTCGAACGAGTCCCTTCGCCGCTCCGAGGGTGACCGGAACAGCATTCCCTCCAGGGGGGAGGATTTCCCAAAACTGGCAGCAAAGTTGCTCGTGGGCGTGTCCGCATTGCTGCCCGCCCCGCTTATCGAGGCGCCGTTCTCTTCCAGGGGTTGGAGCTCGCTCCACGTGGAATCCAGAGACAGGCGCGAGCGCAGCGCCCCCCCTTCCGAGGCCTCGCGGCGGTGGCTCGGGCGCGGGGGGGCGCTGGAAGCGATCCCCGCGGAGTCGTCCGTCTCGCTGGCGGGGAAGGACGCGCCGCTGAGGCCCCCGATGCTGTTGCGCCGCCGGTCCCCGCGCTCGAGCCGGCCCAGAGAGCCCGAGTCGTTGTGGCTCATTGCGGGGACTCCTCAGCCCCAAGTGATCCTGAAGTGCGCCCAGCTTTCAAATCCAAAAGTCAGAGAAAGGGGCAGCCCCGCACAGGGCTGCGGATGCAATGACCGTCAGCTTGCTGGAGAATGCGACAGCGGCCATCATCCAAGGAATGTCGAGTCACAGCCTGAGCTAGTGTGACTCTGTGAGGCCATCATCCAGCTAGCAAGTGGTTGCATGACTCCATCATAATGGGCCAGTGCCCGGGGCACCGGCGGGGGGGTACGGGGGGCCCCGTTCTTCAGGCCAAAAGGGTGGGCGGAGATCCATCCCGAGAAAGGGTGCAAGAAGTGAGTGTGTTTTGATTGCTTTATATTTTCCTAGTTGCCCGTTGTGGCATCCGCGTTTTCATGGTGTAGTTGGTTATCACATTCGCCTAACATCGAGGCAGTCACAGCTTCGGTTGATCGCGAAAGGTCTCCAGTTCGAGCCTGGATGAAAACACACAGCCCTTTTGACTGCGGACACCTTTTCATAGGACAATTCTTTCTTTCAAGCAACCCTTTTTTGCCCCCCGCTCAATTTGGCAGAACGCGGGGGGGCTGCGCCCCCCCCGCACCCCCCCCCCCTCCTGAGCTCGGGCCGCCAATCCGTTGATCGATTGCAATGCTGGCAGACAATTCGTACGGAGACCATCACTAGCTGGCATGCAGCCCCCATTTGCCCACATGCATCATGATTCAAAAGCACTACCGTTCGAACATTCGTAATACCCCCACACACAAGCACCTGAATTTGTCCTAGCGCTATACCGTCTCTTTGACGGTAGCGTACTTTGTTGTCAACAGGCTCGCAACAAGCATGTATACTCCAAGGATCCATCATGTAATTTTGACGGTTGATTTTGACGGTGGAAATCATGGCTAGATTCACTAAGTCTACCTGCTGTTTCTTTAGAAACTAATCAAGCTAGTGGTAGGACGTCGACATATCGATCTAAATATCTGCTAAATTATCATTTCCGCATTCGAGGGTGTGAACGAAATGCATTATCTTGTCAAGCAAGAGCGAACTCCAAGATCTTCAACATTCGCCTTCCCCTTGACGAGATTTTCAGCCATCAAGGACAACGTGACCATAATCCACTGCATGAAGCATCCGAGCAGACGGCTTGAGGTGCATAAGACGGCCGCCCACAAATGTACGCTCCGTTTTCGGTTTCAATTCTCGTCACCTGGCCGTCTTACGCACCTACTGCATCATCCGCTTACAGCGCAAACCTCGTCATGTCCACCTTCTCTAGCCCTTCCACCAGTTTGTCTCAGACACGGCCCTCATTACTCGCCTAGCCTCTCATCCCCATCTCACCAAATGTTGGTCCCCTTAACGCGCCCGCAAGCCTTCACTAACCACTTCCTTACCAACTATCCAATCATCCTCCGCGGACGCTCTTTTCCGCCACCTCCGATTACCCACCCTACTTGCACGAGGTCAAAAGCGAGTTGACAACGTGGATTATTGTCCGCAAAGAGCGAGACACATCGCCGCCAGACGGCACGGCCTGCAGCTGGGCGTGCAGGCTCTGGTACAGCTGTAAGACCGGGAGCTAATTGATTCAGAAATGAGCGACTCAATTGCAAGTCCCGGTACTTTGGGATCTAGGCTAGGCACCTAGGCACAGCCCGTGTGGAAACACTTTCCGCCCATTTCTTTGAGACTCACAGGAGGAACCCAAAACGGGCCGCCAGGGACATCTTCTCATCAAGCGTAAGGCCCACGACACCGCTAAACGGCTTTACAAAGCAGTGCACGTCACAGCGAGACTCGTAGTGGGAACAAGGAACGAATAGATTGATCCCGGGGAGACGACTCTGCTCCAGTACGCTAGAAGTCGGAAAGATTTTTACTCATCCGAAGCTGAAGCAAAGACTTCCAAGAAGCGCTGCAAATCTGCACAAGCGGCTTGCCTGCTCCAGGTAAGGGCGCATGTGCGGCGCGAGCAGCGGGTCCTCCGGGTTGATTGCCAGCACGGCCTGGCTGATCCAATCCTGGGGGCCCGAATGCAACTGGTCAGTCTCTCGCCCGTCTGTTACATCGAACCTTAGGAGCTGCGGACCATAAACAAACCAATGCTTCGTGTATGCCTCCTTTATTTGTCAAAACTTCGTAAAGCGTCACAGGGGTTCAAGCGATTCTAAAGACAGCCAAGACTACACAGCCATGCATAATGCTTACTGACATCCTCAGAGGCCGGCTTGGCATCGCGTCATTTGAAAAGAAGAACAACGTATCTGGACTTGCGTTGGCCTCCTAAAGTGCGCACATGGGCAGAAAAGAACGATAGCCTCGACCACGACATCCAACCCGGAAGTGCCACGTGGCGGCTCACCAGCTTCTTGGAGGTGTCCTTGGCGAGCTCGCTGCCGAGCTGCGACACGAGCCAGAGCAGCACGCCCTGGCTCAACGGCAGCGGGTGGCTCGCAAAGATCGCGTTGGGGTCAACCTGAGGGCCAATAATATAAATCCGATAAGCAGTCGCCGGATCTGCAGGCTTTCCACCTTCTCAGTATGGGCAGATACACCCCAGTGGATTGCTGCCGGAGGTTGGTGTATTATCACTCATCTACTCTTGCTGCCGCATACTCGGTCAACACCTTCTTGTCAGCGAAGAAGCGGCTGCAATGAGACTCTTGGCTCCGCTTGATGCGAAGCTTGACCTCGACTTTGAAATTGATGCTGGTCAATCAGGGACGCACCAGAACATGGCTCGTGTGCAAATTGCGGAGTATGGGCTCCGTCAAAGCCCGCTTTCTTGCTTCCGATACGCTCATTCAGAATGGGAACAAACACTCTGAGGGGGTTCGAGAGGGTGCGGTATACAGAAGGACTGCGCACCTGGTTGCAGAGCCAGGTGACCATGGGCACGTCGAACGCGTTGAGCGCCTTGAGGAAGGCCTCCTCGTACTTGCCGCCCGCCAGCAGCCGCGACAGCTCCTTGGTCGGGTCCAGGCTCTCCTCCACGTGCTGCAAGCAGGGGTTGGGAATCAGGAGGGTTTGGAAAAAGGGTTCCGGCGCTTAAGGGCATTCAAGGTATGTTTTAAGTCACATTAGTGAAAGGCTCTCCTCCACGTGCTGCAAGCAGGGTTTGGGGGATCGGGGATTTAAAAAAGGGTTTCAGCGCTCAGGTTGTTCGAGTATTCTTAAGCGAAGTCACACTACTGAACTAATCTTCAGGCTCTCCTCCACGTGCTGCAAGCAGGGGTTTGCAATTTCAAAATCCAGCGCTTTGATCGAGCTCTGAAACCGAGCTACACTATAGGCGTTCCTTCACACGCTAAGCAAGGCGCGCTCAATATGGGAAAGGTGCGAGCTTCTTAAAAGCGTGCAATCTTGGCGATAAGCGCCCCCTCTTGGTTGTCCTGGTGCCCAAAACTAGAGTATCATCTACCGCATTCGCCTGGTTGCTCCGCCTTGGAAGAAGCAAGTGATCCTCCAATCAGGGCTTGAAAGGGTCCCACAATCAGCCGAGTCACATTTTCTCTAGTGCGATTTTAGATCACAAGCAAAGTCAGGTCTTGGTGACAGGATTCAAGAGTCCGTACTGAGGCCCTGTTTTCCCCTAAAGAGTGAACAATCAAGCTACTCTCGGCCTCCTCCTTCCTCATATTTTGAAAAAGGCCAGGTGAACCTTTTCCCTTTGCAGGGGTGTAAATAGGCCCCACCTGCAGGCTGATGGCCCCGTCCGGCAGTCCGCCATTTCCTTGCTTGGTCAGGCTCGCCGTGCGCTGCTTTCCTGACGCCTCCGCCAGCGCGACGAGCTTCCGCTGCCCCTCTGCAATCTCACTCTGTAGCGTGGACACCAAGGCGGAGGCCGATGTGATAGTGTCCTATAGAGGAAGAGATATAGGGCTTCTAACGACTTGTCAAACGTTCTTTGTTGAGATTTTCCAGATTTCAGGATCCTTCCATGCATAGTCTCCGTGTTTCTGCCGTCCAGTCACTAACTGCATTTTCAACGCCCACGTTCTGTAAAAGGGGCGACCAATCAGGGTTAGAACAGAACCGAAAGGTCGCATAGGCAAGCCAAACAACCAGGGTTCGAACCCCAAGAACACTTCACGCAAAGTAACGTCCTTGTCTACTGACCAACCCCCCCAGAGAAGGAAGAATCACCAACCTGGAGCGTCGACGCGAGCGCCCCATTGGCCGCCGCCCCCGCGTGCTGCGCGTTCTGTGCATGGTCAGCCATGCCGCCCCGCACCGCGCCCTCGATCTGCTCGAACATGGCGCGCGTGGCGGCCTCGAATGACGGCAGCAGGAGGCCCTGGAACGACGTGCGCAGCGTCTCCTGGAGGGCCGCCTTGAGCGTCGTCTGGAACTGGGCTTGCACCTGCCGGCTGAGGGAGGCCTCCAGCTTGGCGCCCACCGCCTTCTCCAGCTGCGAATGCGAGTTTCTAGGGCCTTAGAATTCATACTCAGAATAGATTTCCGCCCGTGAAATGCTTGGGAATGACGTGCGCAGCAGCCACTGAAGGGCCGCCTTGAGCCTAGTCTGGAACTGGGCCTGGACCTGCCGGCTCAGGGACGCCTCCAACTTGGCGCCCACCGCCTTCTCCAGCTGCAACATCAGGGTTCTTCTGGCTTTCAGGGTTGCAAGTGCTGAAATCTTGGGAGGTTTCGATTCTATATTACTCTATGGAAATGAAAAACTTGGTAATCAGTAAGATGCACGCAGCAGCCGGCTCAGGCACGCCTTCGGCTTGGCGTCCTTCTCGGATGTGAAGCCCAAACCGAGGGGGTGAACTTCTGAAACGAAACTGGGCCTTCGGGACATTGGAAAAGTCCGAGGGCTTTTGAACCAAGGGACGGCTCTGCGAAACTCTGTTTGCGGGGCCAAGGCTGTCGCATCACAGAACATTCAAGGGCAAAGTTGATGGAATGAGACTTTGTTTCGGTTGTTTCACCTGTCATGTGGTGAGCAGCGTTCGCAGCAGAAAACCATCTGAAGTCTTTGCAATTGAAACAAGGAGTGTTTTTGAAAGCGGGTTGAGCACCACACCTGTGTGAGGTCCTTGTTCCCGTCCCCTTTGACCAGCGCATCCTGGACCGACTTTTCGATGGCGGGCCCCAGGAGCTGTGACATGGCGGGGGCCGCGGCCGCGAGCTCCTTCTTCACAGACTGCATTAACAGGAGCAGTGGGTTCAGAAATTAGATATAACAGCAGGTTTGTGAACATAGGTCGGCTTGTCAGACTGGCAGACTTTCGAGCACAACAACCTTGGTGCTGTAACAACAGCAAACCACGCATCATTGACATTCTATGCGACGAATTTCAATTATGAAGACGGTATTTGCATTCTTCAATAGCACCTTGATCAGCAGTCAGCAAAGTTTGCAGCCGAGAATCTCAGATCCGGGACGCAAAACAAGATAGTCGATTCCACGGATCTTCAAAGAAACTCACCACCCAAGAAGTGCAAAATACAGAACCATTGCATTGCCCACCTTCTCGGCGAGCGCCGGGAGCTCCCGGCTGAGCGCCCCCGTGAAGGCCAAATGTGATTTACGAACACAAACTTTCGGAACCACAAAGCAGAAGTGCAGAACACATATCTTGTGGTTCACCAAATCTTCAAACGGATGCTCTTAGCTAAGTAGGATAGGTATCTAGGATTCTCCACGTACTGATTTTACCAATCCCCACCTTCTCAACAAGTGCCGGGAGGTCACGGCTGAGCGCCCCCGTGATCGCCTGCAGCGCCGTGTCCATCCGCAGCTTCTCCGCCTTCTCGCGCTTCGCCCTTTCTTCCTCGGCCCGCGCCGCCTGCGCCTCGGCGTTCGCTTTGATCACCTTCTCTAGTCTGAGCGCCAGCGCCGTCTCGATCCTCTTCCCTTCTTTCGCCACCGCCGTCGCAACCCCCCCCGGAATCTGCTTCACCTGCTGGAGCATTTCATTGGAATCCGTAGGAACCGCCACTGTTCCTTGCGACGGGGGTGCCGGCGCGCTGGGGCCGGGGGCTGCTTCCGCAGGGGTTTGCGGGGGGGGGACCGCAGCCGCAGTCGCCAAGTTCCCCCCCTTGTTCTTCTTCCGGCCCTTCGCTTTCTCGGCCAATAGGAAGCCGCCAGATGTCAGCGCGGCCGGGTCCACGAGCCCCTCCCCGGCGGGGGCCTCCGGGGCCCCGGTCTGGAGCGCCGCCGTCACGTCCTCCAGCTTTTCCGCCTTCGTGGCGGCCTCCGCCTCCGCCTGAGCGGGGCCCTTCTCCTTCTCCTTCCCCTTGCGCTTCTTCTCGGGCTCGCCCCTCTCCCCTTCGGACGGACCCGCCGCCTCTTCCGAATCTTTGAGAACCGCGCCGTCTTCTTTTTCCGGGGGGGGTACGGCGAGCGCCGCCACCGCCGCTGTGGCCGGAGGCGCGGCGTTCGCCTTTGTTGGCTCTTTCTTACTTTTGGGCTCCTCCTTCTTCGCCGCAACGCCCTTCATGACGTCATCATACGAGAGCCCCTCGACGGGGGGCGCGCTCGACACTACCTCCGGACCCCCCACTTTGGGCGCCCACTTGACGTTGTTCCCGCCCTTCGATCTGGGGGGGCTGCCCACGTGCTGCTTCGCACCCCCCTGGCGCCCCTTCGCCCCGTTTGTAGCACCGGCGTCCTTCTTTTGGGGGGGCGCTGCAGGCTGCGGCTCTTCTACCTTGGGGCCCCCCATCAGCATGGCTGGCGTTAGCAGTTTCGGGGCTTCAGAGGTTTTTGGCGCTTCCGGTAGCTTCGGCGCTTCTTGTGAGCTTGCCTCTTCGACCCCCTTAGCCTCTTCCGTGGCCGTCTCTTGAGCCGCAACCGGAGCGGCGGCCTCCAGGGGGGGAATCTCCGGAGCTTTCTCAACCCCCTGCTCGGTTTTGGTCTCCACCTTTGCACTTTCCTCCGTCTTAACCCCCTCAGCTTCTTTCGTTCCGGCGGTTTTCGCCTCGAGGCCCTGTTGCCGGGCTGGGCTCCCCGTCCGGCTCCTGCTCGCCTGCTTCTTCAGCTCGTTCATGTTCTGAACAAGGCCCCGGCTGCCGACGCCCAGGTTCACATGCCCGTGCTCCCGTCCCGAGAACTCGCGAGTCAGGTCGGGGCTCACCCCCGGTTGCTTCTGCACCGACACGTCCAGGCCCTCTGGGGCGTCCGGAGCGCTCGGTTCATTCTCCGGTGTCGGTTCGGGGGGGTGGGCTTGTTGCTCAGCGGTTGGGGCGCTTGGGACTTCGGGAACAAGGGGCTTGTGCGCGGTCGGGGGGGCTTCGGTGAGTTGGGAGAGGATCATGGGGGAAAGGGGCCCTGGCGCGGCCACGGGGGCCTGAGGGGGGGCCGCTTCTTCTTCAGGAGGTGGGCGGCACTGTACAAATGTATGTATATTTAGTCTCAAGACGAAGGTGATGAGAAGTGAGAGGAATCTGCGTAACCTCTTCTACCTGTCGTTGGCTGTCTTGAGGGCCTTGAGAACGCAAAGGAAGGGCTGAATACACAAGTATTTACAGTTGGCCGGCCGGCAATAATGTGCTCATCTTCCTCTGGTTATGGCCCCACATTTTAAGTCCAAAATGTCAGCCCGTGCATCTCGAGAAATAAAGCCCGAGCCAATATGCCACCAAGTTCTATGGTCCTCTGGATCAATCGTCGCTGCAAAGGAAGGCAGCCAGTACTTTGCCAATATACCAAGCAGAACACTCTAGCTTGCGGACAACCCCAGAGTCCACTTAAACCCGGTACACTTGTCGAGCTCAAATCCCTTGTAACCCGATTGCCCCAGCCTAACGATCCCACAACCGACAATTCATTCCCGTCCACCCGCACCGAATTTTGTTACCAGAATCCTGCTTACCAACGCTGCGTCCAGCGCATATCGCTGGATCTTCTCTGGCTGCACAGCGTAGATCTCCACGGTCTCCTCCCCGTCGACCACTCCCTCGTTCAGTGTGGTGTAGCTGAGGACCGGCGCCGTAAACGAGAACTCAGCGAGATAGTCGAAGGCGGGGGGCTGCGCGGAGCCGGCCCCGCGCCGCAGGTTGAGGACGTACATGCTCTTGCGCAGCGTGTTGGCCAGGAAGAGGAGGCCCGAGCGGTGGTCCACCTGGCAGAACAATCCAAAAGTCTGCCTTCTCAAAGACATTGTAAAAACAATCGGATATGGTGTTGATAACCATCCAAGTCGGAAAGAGGAGGTTACGGCAGTGGTCTACAAGGACTTGGGACAAGAAAGACAGGCAGCGTTGTTAGGTGTAAGAGGAGACGAGACGTCTTCACTAGAGACAAGATTGTCAGACCAGGTGAAGGAGCAAGCAAGCCTGCGGTTTCCAACTTCTTCACACAACCTGGATGGCAGCTTTTGAAGGGCTGTAACTGCAGCAGATCACGAAGTGAGCACTGGTTCGCTTGGAAAGCGTTCTTCTCACTTATCGGTACCACTGAACTGCACGCAACCTTCCGTGTTAACCGTAGAGGAAAAAGTTAACACAGTCTTGGGCAAAATTCTCTGCAACCATGACGGCCCTCACATGCAAGTGGTTGAAAAAGGCCTCCGCCCCCTCCGCGCTGGTCAGCTCCACCGTTTGCACGCACTGCCACTCCGCTCCCTCCCCCCCCGCGACCCACAGCTTAATCTCCCTGTTTGCCGGCCCCCCTGTCACCAAAACAATCTCGTCTCCCGTCCCGACGAAACGCACGCTGCAGACGGCTTCCCCGGAATGGGGGGTCAGTTCCGACAAGCACCGGTCCCCCTCACCGCCCCAGACCTTGACGCGCCCGTCCCTGGACGCGGACGCGATGCGGTCGCCAGCTGGCGAGAAGCTGACGTCGACGATGACGTCAGCGTGCGTGCCGACGAGGCGCAGGCCCGGAGCGGGGTTTGTGGGGTCGACGGCTAGGAGCGGGGCGGGCTCGCCGTCCTGAGGGGGGGGGAGCTGTTGCTGGAGGCGGCTGACCTCAGCAAGGTAGAAGGAGTTGCCCTGGACGATGGCGAGGTGTTCCTACGAGGGGGGGTGCGAAAAGGAGGGCAGAATTAGTGACGAGTTCTCTTGATCGGATGGGAAGTAGCATGCTGCAAAACTCTCCGCTACACGGACGATTCCTGCCCATGACACATCTCGCAAGTGCGTTGATCGCTTGAAAATGTCACGAACTGCAACTCCACGCATCATACAGGAAGCCCATTCTCTGTCCAGGCAAAAGCGGGCCACGACAAGAGCGCACTTCCAGAACGGGCCCGGTCCTGCCCAAAGTAGCAGGCAACCGTCAAGAAGCTCCATCGCTTGGTAACAGTAAGCAGTTAGATTCAAATTGGGGGTACGAAATTACCTGTTGCCGGGGGTTCCAAGCAACGTGCAAAGCGCCTCCCTCAGGGGGCCACTGGAGGCCCATGATGGGCCGCGCCTTGGTGTCCTTCTTGCCGCGGCCCACCACCTCGTGGAGGAACACGCGGCCGTCTGAAGAAGCGCTGGACGAGAGGAGATGCAGAAGATTGGAAACCAGATTTTCTTCAAACTTACGTGGCATCAGCAATATAAGCAAGCTGCCAGATGCATATTCTTATTGCATACCTCATTGCATATCTTCGCGGTGAAGTTGGCTGAGAAGTTGTATAAAAGTGCCGGTGATGGTAGCTTCTAATGGGAAGAGGGCAGAGGAGATGGACGCACGTGAAAGCCCTTTGTAATTTTCGGTGTGGCAATTGCGACTTTCCAGTGTGTCCAATGCACAACTGCTTGGCGGAAATCTTCTGCTGATCGAGTCTCTTACTTGCCACTCTACCCGGCAAGCACTAAGTCTAGCTGGCCGATCTAGTCTTTTGGAGACAACAGCAAATATCTCACCTGGAAAGGAGGTTAACGTCCTCGGCAAAGACGGCAAGGTCCGTCAACCTCTGCACACAAAGAAGTAGTCAGAGTCTGAAAATCTTGAGCACTAGCATACGTGGCGGAAGCAATTGTAAGGCCCCACTCAGATATGTTGAAGCTGCGAAAATTTTATATGATACAAAAACTTCGAGAATTCAATCAGGAGATTGTGCCACCATACACCACTCCAACTCGTTCCCACGCAAGTTGCACTGAGCACGAGATTGCATGTATTGGTAATGAGAATTGAACTATCAAACAAGACAGCACAGCAATATAACGACGACCTTGAACAATTCAAGAACTCCAGACCTTGCCCTCACCTGCGAATGCTCCTTGAGGAGCACTTTGGCGTCCTCGATCTGGCTCAGGATGCGCACCGACCCCGTCTTCATCCCATAGCAGATGTAGTTCCGGTTCACCGCGATCTCGCGCCCCAGCTCCAAGCGGTACTCCAGCGGCACCTTGCTGATCGTGTGCACCTCCAGCTGCGGCTTCGTCTCGCCCTCGCGCTTCTCGTCGATGTCGTACACGACGTGAGCACCGCTCAACACCCGCCCCGTGCCTTTCTTCGCCTTCCCCCGGAACCAGCTCGCCTTGGCGCCGGCAGCGGGGGGCGAGCCCGGAGCAAACGTAAGCGGGGGCGCGGTCGGCGCCGCGCTCTGCGAAGGTGGGTTTGGCTGAGTGGCCACCGGTGCCGACATGGGGGGGGCCTCAAATCCATTTGCGGCGGGGGGGGCCTCAGGACTATGTTGCGGCACCGGGGGCGGCGCAGAGGCTGGGGGAGGTCCCCTAAGCAAGGCCATTAAGTTGGCGCCCGCCGAGTTTGGGGCCCCCGATGGAGGGCCCTGGAATGGGGGATGCTGTTGCTGGGAAGGATTACCCCCTTGGAAATGGGGGTGCTGTTGCTGGGGACGATGACCCCCCTGGAACGGCGGCGGCTGCTGCTGCCCGAGCAGGTGGAAAGGGAAAGGGCCAGAAGGGGGCCCCTGGAATTGCTGAGGGTGCATGTAGCCCGGCGGGGGGGGCGCCCCGAAGCCCGGGGGAAGGGGGGGCGGCGGCCCTTGATTTGGGCCACCATAAGTTGGAGGGGGGGGTCCCGAATGCTCCGCCTGAGGTTGGGGTGGGGGCGTGGAGCTCACGCTCTTGAAGAAACTCTGGATGTCGAATCCGCCTGACATTGTTCTTGGATGGGATCGACAAGGGTGGTGGAGCTCTTTCGGAAGGGCCTGCACCAGCAAGGCGGAGCAGGATTAAGTTCCTGCAGTGCGCACCTGCTAGTGACAGTGCTTGAAGGTGCTTTTGAAGACGCCCGCAGTGCCCAGCCATGCTAGACGCGTAAGCAAAAGTAAATCTTGTCAACACCCAGCAGCTCAATCGTTCTGGCGAGAGCGAGCTTCTCATGGAGTAAGCCCATACTTGGGAACAAATCTTCTGCACGTGTTGCCGGGTACGAAGCGATCATAGGCATGGCATTGTTCCTCTGCTTCAAGACCTACATCGCTTAAAGACCTGATTGGTAATTCATCAGTAGAAAGCAATTCCCTTTGAATACCTGAGATAAAAGACCATCAGGAATTGACTCATAGCCGTGTCTTATCGCCAAACTGATTCAAGCCAGCAGCATGTTCATTATTCCAGACAAGAAGGCCACAATATTCGCCGATATTGCATGGAGCATGCTTTGAAGCTGTCCCATTCCTAGAGCTCCTTCTGAGCCTATAGCAAGGCAGGTTTTAGAGTCAAACCTTGCAGAAGAAACATATGCATGAAAGCCCTTCAATACCGCAGAGAGTTGATAGATGCCAGCGACGAAGCACATTCAAACAAGAGGGGATTGGAACCTTCGACAATGACAACCATACAGAAACCTTCTTGCAAAGGAAAGTTGAAAACTGTACATACCTCTTTTTCAGAATCCGTGGAGTGTCACCCTTGCATAGGATAGATGTATGCTCACGATGAATGGGAGCTTCTGCAAACGACAGCCTCAGGCTCAGGCGCAGAACGGCAAGCCTGCAACTTGTCAATGCAATGAGCATTGAGGACCCACACATCACAGTGACACGGAAAGCGGCTGCAAGCTTGCTGGCAACATTGTCATTGAAAGGCGCGCGTGCAGAATCGCGCAAAGTCTGCTTTCTCCAAGCGGCCGCGGGTGGCCGCGCGCGGCCGCGCGACAAAATGGGCCCCTAGTGCGGCAAAACGGACAAAGCAGCCGTCGGCCGAACTTTTCTTCGGAAAAAAGTTGCGGACGCAGGTTGTCAGGGATCGGACTTCGGACAGCCGACGAGCAACCGGGCATCGCCTGTGACATTAGGGTTACGTTGCAAGCCTGTGACGGTTTGTTAGGGTCGCGCAAACTGCACTACGATTAGGGTTAATACTAACGGCTAAGGCATATTCTTAGGGTTTTAGTGTTGAACGGCTCCCCGGTAGCTGCAACAGGTGCCCGGTGATTGAAACCGTGTCCGTTTTTCCGAAGAAAAGTTCGGCTGCTTTGTGCCTCTAGCTAAGCTCTTGCCCCAGTGCGCACGTACAGTGTCATGCAATGTCATGCATATACCTATGAATGCTTTGTTCACTTTTCTGCAGAAGCAACAATGGACAGGCGGCGGCGTTGCTCTGGAAACAGGGCGGAGAGAAAGATGAATCCTTTTGAGAGGCTTTCAGACGATATTGTGCTCCACATACTCACCATGGCAGGAAAGGGCCCCCACAGTTGGTGCTCCTCCAAGAACTGCAATTGTGCGGGAAACTTGATTCAGCTTTGTCAATGGAGAACAGTCTGTAAACGTTTCAACGAGATTGTACCTCGGACGAACGAAATTTTCGTCCCTGCTCTGGACAAATCTGGACCAATGGAGGCCAGCGTGCTTCGCTTTTTTCAGAAAGATCAGGCGGTGAAGAATCTGGTCCTGCATGGTGCGCGGATATCCAAGACCTTTCTAAGTGCCATCTCAAGCACGATGCCCAAGTTGGAACACCTTGAGGTTTTTCAGGACTCTCCTATCGAGGACAAGCAAGGTGGGGAGTATGAGCAGAATCTCTTGGAAACCCTCTCGACGTGCGGTCGACTGAGGTCATTGGAGATTGACGGTATTTTCTTGGACTTTTGCAAGCCTTTGGCAAGCATCCGTTCCTTTGCGTCCCTGGTCAAGCTTACCTTAATGTCACTTGGAATGCAAGATTCTTGCCTTGCAAGCATCATCCAAGGTTGCCCTTGCTTGGAAGATCTGCTTATTGACGAAGTGTACAATCTAGCGGACCCAACCATAACGTCCAATAGTTTGAAAACTTTGGTCTTTAGGCCAGAGGATGAAGCCAACACACTGGAGTTGACAACACCACAACTGGAGTCCTTGGAGGCTGTTTGGACGACCACGCTAAGAGTTGAAGCGCCGCGCCTCGTGAACCTTGTCCTGCATTGTGCTTGGGGCATCGTGAAGAGGGGTCCCTGGAAACTTCGCAACTTGCAAATCAAAATGACAGGTGTCGCTGGGACAAGTGAAGAGGAGCTCATTGCGACACTTCGTGCGTGTAATGATGCACGAGCCCTGTTAATCTTGGATCTAAGTGAAGAAGATGTGATCTTGGTATCACTCCTACACCACCTCAAGCGTCTTGAAAATCTGGAGATGTCTGGGCACATCCTTGAGTTCATTTCGATGTCGCTAGAAACCTCCATCCTTTCCAAGTCGTTTTCTACTTTGAAGGGGTTGAAGCTGGTTTTTAGGCGCACAATTACAGAGGAGCACTTTGCCAAATGTCGGGAGCTTGCTAAGCTTGCCCCAAAGCTTGAGAACCTTGACATCGACCTTGCTCAGCTTTCATACGAGGACATTGCCGTAGATAATTGTGTCATGCGCTTGTTGCAATTCCAAAGACTCCATCCTTGGCTTCAAGTGGTAGTTCGGTGGCCGAAACAATGCGTTTTGGTCAAGAAAGTTTGAAGATAATCGGACGATGAGAGTCCTGACGACTAAAGATAATCTGATAAACAGCCCTGACGACAAAACATGATGACATTTTCGGTCTGGATATCAGACCTAAAAACACGTCGTTCGCCATTTCATAGTCAATTCAACAACACATGATTCAGGAGCTTGAGCTTTCTTCAACAGATGAATATTGCAATTGTAGTCATCATCAAACTGGCCCCGGAAATGTTGACGTGGAAATCTACGCACATGTGCCGTATATAAGCTCGGATTGCATGTTCTGATCAAAACATAATTATCAATTGGATGCCAGCTGCATGATGTTTTCGAAATTCGCATGACATATGGAACGCCGGCCAGAATCTATGTGGCAAGCTTAATGTTTACGACGTTGTTCAGTGTAAGTAACAAGCTAGCAATCTAAGAACCTGTATACGCATGTTAATTCATTCTGCATCATGGCATGTCTAAGATTTGCCCAAGTCATGCGGGGCAACTCATGCAACTTGTACGTCATGAGTACACGTGCATGATTGTACCAGCTGATATTGATGGCCTTAAACACAGGACCGTCGAGGATCCCATGCGGAGCTTTCAAAGAAGGGAATTAAGGCTTTAATTCGGATTTATTCGATCGTACCAATCGGTGGGATGGACTCAAGTATCATTTCGCTTTTGTATCTTTCCAGTGCTGTTCCGGAAAGAACCATATACAAAACTAGAAAGGAAATTGGACGGGCTCCTCAATCAAAGCTACAATGACGCATGTTGTCGTTCTTGTTCGGTTTCTGCATGTTCCAATTCACCTGTTTGTTCACTACGTTGTACGCATCGTTCTCGACTGAGATCAAATGTTCCGAGTGTTGCCCCAATCTTCGCAAGTACCCTTGACGTGAATGCGTGCGTGACTAAGCGTGGCTATGACGAAGCTATGACTAGTGAAACCCACCGAGGCGCTCCTGGGTACTATTTGTCGATCTAAAGTACACAGCATCAATACCTCTCCAAACCTCAACCTGACCTCTACACCCTTCTCATCCTTCTAACTCAGAACCAGTTCTGGAAGCCTATCCCATAAACCGAATGCCCCAACATGAAGGCCAGTATCCTTTCATGCCTCCAAAGAGCTGTTCCGAATTGGACGGCATATCCAACATTCAGGTCATGCTCCTGTCACAATCTCAAACAGCTCTGGCTGAAAGCTCCTACGTCAAGGCAATCCGAAAATCTACTGCTGATATGGTTCCTCAAATGTAATGCCAAACAATTGCAAACCCTCCCCCTCCAAACCTGGTCCAAAAAGCCTCGCACATGAATCCGAATCAAACGGACGAGGCCCTGCCCGCGCGAACTTTCCGGACGTCCTCAAAGCGTGCAAAGCTCTCAGCGTTCTCCGCATTCGCATCCACCTTAACGGCCTCCCGGAGAATGTACATCGCCACGTCGTGGCTGGGCACGTCAGCAGAGATGCTCCCCGTGACAGGCTTGCTGACGTCCTCGTGCTGCAAACGTGACGTCACAGCGACGGCTGAGCAAAACCAGGAATCTATCAACGAGGTTAACACAAGTCCAGAAGCCCAGAGTGCACGCGCCCATCAGGATTTGGGCGACGCGGGGCCTGAATCAAAGACTCGGCTTCGAACAGGCTCCTGAGGGCGTGAAGTCGGACGCTTCTAAGGCGAGCTGAAGAGTCATTGCAGCTTTCGTGAGACTGGGAACGCCAGTATGGCCGTGCTCGGTTCCGAGGCAACCAAGGGACGACATTTGAAACCAGGCTTCGTCTTAGCTGTTAGCTACGGCGGTGATGTCCCAGCCTTTGCAACCAATGCGAGAGTTGGATTCTCAGCCTTTGCAATCGATGCGGAATAAGACAAGGATTCCAAAGCAATTCCCCTCACCTTCCACACGTCCCGTGCGGTCAGCTCCGACCCCGCTTCGAAGCCCAGCAGCTCGAGGTCCGCGGAAATGGTGGCCCCCCACACGCCCCGGTTCCAGAGCGCCACCACCGTCCGGTTTCCCGACAGGGGGCCCGCCCACACTTCGAGGAGCCCCCCCGAGCCGGACTTGAGCACGCGGTGGCCCTGCACGCCCAGCGAGTCTGCGGCGGGGGGAGGGGGAGCGGAACGAGTCAGCGGAATTCGGCGAAACGGAAGCACAGAAGATGGGGCGGTTCTTGGCTGCTGGGTCGTGTTCCTTGTGAGTGAGAAGGATGGGTGTCGGCTCGTTATGCAAGATATGGTTGACCCCGGAGAAGGTCCGAGGCAAGCCTTGCTGGCGCGAAGGTTGGAGCCAGACTCACACTATGGAACGACATCGCTTCAGTGGGTTAATGTGCAAATGGAAGGGACGGATGAGGAGCGCAAGTCGAACTGTTCGATGAGAAGCGTGTTTGACTGTTCCACCCAGAGGACGACCTTTTAGTCACAGGAACCCCTGAAAATTCTGGCGCTAGCCCTCGACAGAACTTCCAACCAAAGGAACCTAGGTGAGACGCAGCTTCACGATTCAGGGCGGGATGCATGCCTGGACCGTTAGGGGACTGGAGCATCGAAGCAAACGGGCACGCACCTTGGTTGATGTCGATGACCTCCTTGTTCATGAGGATGCTCTTGGTGTCCTCGGTCATGTTTGTGATGTCACACCCAATAAGGAGCGGGCTCTGCACAGAAAAACGTCCTCGCATTCAGAGCTCCAGTACTTCGTACTTTCCAGAGACTCCTAGAGGCGGAAACGCGGTATGTTGAATTATCTGGTTATACTTCCTTTCTGTTTCTCCAAAGAGGCACCAGGGGTGCAGGAACATGAGTTTCATGGTACGCAGGGGTATAGATTCAAAAGTATGTGTATGCAGGGGATGTAGGCTTTGACGGTACGTACCTTCATAAGCGCCCAGAGGCTGAAGTGCGCGCGGTACTCGGCAGTGGTCATGCCCCCGTTACCCACCTCCAGCATGTCGGGGTCTGCAAACGAAAGGCCCATAAGCGAATGGACCACCAAAGCGTATCGTGGACAATAGACTCAAACAGCACTTAAGGGAGGGGTAGAAAGGAACAAGCCACCAAGGGGGTCAGGCTTGCTAAAAGAGACACAAAACTGGGCAGACAAAAGCTTGCTGGTCGCAAGCTGGAACCCAGTGACTTGTTCAATCGGATTCGTAAGCAAGAGAAGTCGAATTTTTACTGATCTCATAAGTAGCCGGCAAAAAGAAGCCAATCCGTTTGTTTGGATCTTGTGAAAGAGCGAGAAGTATTCAATCAATTGCAACCAGCTGGTCAAATCCTAGCTTCTCTACAAATTCTCGTCCAGACTGCGAAGCTTCCTCTCTGACTTAACAAATACGCACGGCTAGGCTTGTCAAAAGGTGCATGGCAGATCTTCAGCCGCCCAATCACTCCAACTCTCAGAACAGCGGCCGCTTCAATCAGGCTCAAGGCGACAAAGAAAGGTGACGAGGCATGCTTAGCAGATGGCGCTCACCGTTCCAGCCGCCGGGGCCGGCATAGGGCCACCAGGGCTCGTTCTGGTCCGTGATGGCGACCATGCTGCACCGGCAGAGAGTATCAAGTCATGAAGAGATGGACAGTTGAACCGGTTACCACACACGGAAAAGCACTTGCTTACGTGCAGATACTAGTGGTTTGGTACGCTTTCCAGAAGTCCAATGCAACCTGCAAGCTTGATGGCGAACGATGCCGTTGCGGATCTTCGTCGACTGGAGACAAGCGCAGACACAATGACTTCCCTCAGAAAGAGTGGCCCGATGGCGCTAGCAAGCAAAGGAATGTGACCTCAAACAACATTAACCAACCCAGACTCGACAACCATTGTCGGCCACATACCTGTACCACGAGTCCCGGATGTCTCCCGTCGTCCGCCAGCTGTTGCCCACCTTGGAGGCCCACGTGGCAGGCTGGTCGACCCCCCTGCGCAAGGTCGAAAGCAATTCAGTATTGGAAATATTCCAAAGCGACACAACAGACCACATTACCAGTTGTCACAACCTCCAAGTCCGCGCACTCTGCATCTGTCGAGATGTGACAAACAGGAACGCTTACACTTGTGTTGCTCTCGATCCCTCCAGGCACAGTCCGAACCAGACGATCGGTAGGGAAAAGCGATCAAATTGCATTGAACAGGGCACCGAGGCACGTTTTTGCAAGTGTGAAAGGTCAACTTTGCGCCAGAAAGTCAAGAAGAAATTGGTCAAGTGAATCTTACCACTCGCACATGGAGAAGAAGATGGCCCTGTCCACGCTGAGGAGCGCATCCCGCATCACTGGATACCTGCAAGAAAACAGTAATCACGTCACAACTAGCTCAATGTAACGTCATGCTCGTTGGTGATGCAATCGTATTTAGTAACAATGCTGCCCGCTTTTACTAGACAAAGGGCTCTTAGACATTTCGACGAGCAGCCTTGAGGTTGGAAAATGTGGGCTGTACCTGAGCTCGGGCTTCGACAGGTCGTTGAAGCAGTTGTCATACTTGAGGTAGTCGACTTCCTGAACAAGGCAGAACGGAGCGGGAGTCAACGTCAGGCGTTGTACGGCATCTTACGGGAGTCTGTGATATGTACGTGGCGATTGCGAGCTTTTAATTATCCCCACCTTGCTCACCCCTTCTAGTGTTCAAAAGGAAATTCAAAACAACAAGCAGAAACAAATATTCGCCAGCGCCATGCAGGAAAGAATTGCGAAATTTTGAGGATGGAACAACAACGTTTCGCACGGCTACGCCTGCGCCAAGTCAAGCGGCCGCGCATTGTCAAGCAGATGACGTTCGTCGAGACAACTGCGTGACATTATAACGAAAGCCTATAAAGGAAAACGCTTCCCAGGAGGACCGAGACCGTCTTCCAGGGCAGCCCCAACGGAATTGGTCACTTCTGGATTCGCCTAACCCTTCTACGTCCACTCGAGACCATCCGAAGTCCTTAAAAGTCTACGAAAGTGCGCAATGGCTTACCCACTCAGCGAACTTAACAGCGTCCTGCATCTCAAAACCAAGCGACCCAGGCCGCCTCTGGCACGTGTAGTACCTGAGAACAAGAGCCAGGCGTGCTTTCCTTCATAAATAGGCAAGCTTTCGTCGTTGAGCCAAGTGCTGGGATGGCAGAAAACATAGCGCTCTCTGCTAATTCATGTTATACTGCGATTGTCCGTAAGGACCAAACCCACAGGCTTTCACTGAAACTGTTGGAAATAAAGACCGAACAGGCCTTTTGGAGACGGTTTCTAACAATGTTCAATCCTGTTTGATGCAATTTCAGAATCACAAAATTCAAAAGCTTCTTTCGGAAATCGATCCGATCATAACCTGGAGCTCTTCTTCTGCACTTACAAAAGAAACAGTAAACCGAACAGTTGGTATGCACTCCACGGACACTTCAAAAACGCTTGACAACAGGTCGAGCAAAGCTCCACAAAGAGAATTGATTTCGATAATGGGCGATTTGGACCGCGGTTCTCACCCAGCATCGGAGTAGACTCCCAGCTTGAGCCCCTTGGAGTGGGCGTAGTCGGAAAGGGCCTTGATGCCGCTAGGGAACGTCTCCGGGTCCGCAACCAGGTTGCCCTGTGGGACGAGAAAGCAGAGCCAATTGAGACCAGGGTGTTATATTAGGAAGTCTCGAGAAGTAGTTTGGCTAACACGAGGGAACCTTTTTTGAAGGCGATCCCCAACATTGCCAGAGGTCGGACTCTGAAGACAGTGTGGCAATTCGTGTCGAGTGATCAAACAGAGGCAGTGCAATGGGTCAAACGTTGCCCTGTAAGTACGGATTGTCGACTTGGGTTGTTCACCATAGCGCAATGGAAGTTCAGGACTGGTCAAGGAAAGAGTCCATATTGTTCTGAGCAGCCAAGTACAACGGGTGTTCTGATGGGCTGTCTTGGCTCACATTGGGAACCCTTGAAATAATCTTTTGTGAAAAGAAGGACCGCCAGCTTATCACTATTTGAATTCGAGCAGACTGAGATGCTGCACTTATGAAAAAGGAGATCTGACAGCAGCCAGTCCTGACACCCCCCTTTTCTGTCACCCTCGAAGTAAGTGATGCGATTACCTATGCTTTGCCAGACCAAGCAACAATGACAAGGAGGGTTGAGGTAGCACAAATCCCTTGAAGCAACGTAAATGCGTTCGGGAAATCGGGAACTGTTCTGAGGTCAGAAAAATGTCCAGGTATAGTATGTGAAAGAGCAAGGAGGACTGACCTTGCTGTCTCTTGCCTTGGCCTGCCAGCAATCATCTGCAGGACAGACAGACTTTTCAAGTCAGCAAACGTTGGCAACCGGAAAATGAGGCACTCTGGCACCTGCTTGTATAAGCTTTGCCTGAAAGTTGCTGTGGTGGCGATAAGTTTCTGGAGCTCAAAGCTTCTCCGCAAAGCTTTGCTCAACTTCCAAGCTCATCTCCTGGCGATTGAGCTGTACATCAGAAGCTTGTCTGTGAGGAACTGCCTTACCTATGTTGACGTAATTGTAGCCAATTTCCGCCAGCCCCGTCTCCACCAGGGAATCAACTGCAAAAGAATTCGACCGAGGATGTTAAGAAAGGACTATTGGTGAGATTGTGGGTTTCGAGAAAGGATGCAGAACACAGGAAGTGAGAGGCTGCGAGACTGGAACACAAACACTGGAAATACGATATGGACAGGGGAAATCAAAATCGTGAGGATTGACAGCGAGATATCAATGACCAACGGCGCCTCCAAGTTTACTGTACTTGATTGAGTGTCCAGGTCACTTACTCGTGTCGCGGATGAGGTCTTCGCTGATGTTGCAAGCAAAGTGGTTCCAGCTGTTCCACCTGCAAAGAAAGGTTCCAATGAGTGCAAGTTGACCCAAAAGATGACAGTATTGGGACACATTGGTTTCAGTAGCTGAATTGCTGGAAGACCAATGGATGAAGGAGACGACCATGAGACTCTCCCTTTGGGAAATTGCTCCCTTTGGAACCAATTGGAGAAAGAGACAGCAAGAAGGCTTCCCTTGTAGAATGTAACGAGGAAAATCTGGTGTAACTTGTAACCACCCTCGTAACCACCCCCTTTGAGCCTTCATATGACAATTTGATTGTTCATATCTATGAACACAGAGGACGTTCATAGATACATGAAAACAAGAGCCCATCATCAACGTAGTTGAATCATAAGAAACAATTGCATCCAGGGCAGTCCCTGCCCTCATAATTGCAATGATGGAAAGCAACTCCACACATAGCAATATGAAAGACTTCCTTGCTAGAAAATGAAGTGCGTAACATGATAGACAAAACCTTCAATCTTTTAACCATAATAATCAAATCATGCTCAATCTTGTCAAAAACATTGAGCTCAAGTTGTCCATGAAAGGATACTTCTAAGGCACCAATCAAATGAGGAAGAAGTTGAAGCGACGGTAAACCTCAAGGAAGTTTTCAGAACACAATGGCTGACACAATCGTTGAGAAAACAGAAGCAAGATATGGTCAAAGTCAATGGCACAGACCGGCAAGCAGGCTGCTGGCAACATAAACCCTCCCAACTTTGATCTTACCCCATTGGAGGCCTTCCGCCCAGTCCATTGTCAAGTCCCAGAGTTGGTACAGCTGCCGCTTCAGCCGCTGCACCGATTGACAGCTGCACGGCAGAGGCGGCTGCCAGCAGAAGAAGCAGGACCCGAACACTGGCCATTTTGTTGACAGGTCAGTGCGCTGAAGAAATGAGGGGTGTTCCGTAGAATGAAGGGATAGAATGAGAAAGACTGCTCCTCTCAACGAGAGAATGGGGGCGCTGCTGAGAAAGTGAATGCGTCAGCCTTTTCAGCACTCTGTCTAGCTGACTGAGCACGAACTGTGCTGGCTACGAAGCAGCCACAGCTGACTCAGGACCTCAGGTGTCCTGCAGTTAGGTGCGGGAATGTGTGAACCGTTCGATTGGAACGCTTCATCATCGTCGGTGCAAGAAGCATAACGACTGAAGAGCGTCCATACGACGTCAATGACACTGGTCAATCTCAGATATTTCTCCAACAGACACAAGAAGGTTCGGTGTGAAAGAAAAAAGGAGACGGTACGCCGGGACGGCACTCCAGACAACAGGTTTTTCAACGGCTGCGATGAATATATTGCGAGCAACTTCGGGCGGCATCAACGGTCCGTGTCGTGTGCAATATTTGGCATGTGGCAAACCGCTCAAAACCCCCGAGGATTAGTTACGGACCCAAACCCTGCGCCGTACTGGTTCAGCGCGGCCGCCAATGTTCGCAAGCCGCGCCCGCGTGACCAGCTCCGTCCGCTGATAGGAGAAAGACGCCCCTTCTGCGCTGAAAAGGCGGCAGAAGCACAGCCTTATCGTTTAATATTGTGTAAGGCTCTTGCGTCCGGTCGACTCACTGCTTGCCACAATGCGTCAGCCGCTCTCTCCTGCGTGCCGCTCCCTAATCAGCCCACAAGCAGCTCACGAAGCAGCGGTGATGCGCCAATTTCGACACGAGCTTCACAAGCTGACTTCAGGCCCGGCACACTATTTGGAAGACGTAGTCTACGTAAGCTCAAATTGACGTACAAACGCTGAGCAGCTGAGCATGCACGTGCTCGCAGCACGCTCGCAGCTGGTAGCCAGACTCGGTGGATCGGTGCTGCAGTGCCCCAAAGGCAAGGGCTTCTTGGCTTCTGCTGTTACTTCTTTTGTAAGCAACCAGCTGTTCCACTGATCAAGCTAATGATTCGATCTTGACCAGCCGATTGCTGGATCTCAATAGCCTCTGACTCGTCAGATTGACGTATTGGTTCCGTACGGTACTAGCATATTAATGTAGAGCCCTTCGTGATGAGGAGCCTGTTTTCAGACATAAGCAGTGGCTGCAGGCTGCCAGCTGGCAACTTGACTGGGCCCATGCAAGTTGGACGATAGACGCTCCTTCGCCGCACAGAGTCAAGGAAGCCCTCTGACATAGCGAGCAAACCAGTGTGGGGGACCGTCTGACAAACTTGTGCATGAACATCGACTGCGCTGCATCATCGACCTCCAGAGCTAGCTACTGTAGTAGCTCTGTCATGACCAGTGGAGGTATTCTGGCCGACAGAACTGATGATCAGTTGGTCATAATCTGAAGTCTGCAAGGCTTGGACTATCTCACCATAGCGTCAAACTTAGTAAAAGAAGCAATCGAGGAGCCCCTTCGAGAAGCTGGTTGACAGGCTCTCCAGAAATCTCCTCTCTCCGGCTCCGTTTACCTGCAATCCACGAGTGCAAATATTTCTGCCCTCAAAGGAAGCAATCTGAGAAAAGAGGGAATATACGAGAGCGCACAATTCAAAGGCTCAGCTATTCATCTCCTGAAAGCCCACCAACAATGGCTGCTCGCAGCGTCTTCTTGCAGGTTGTGGTTCTCTTCTGCCTGCTGAGCCTGTGCCACGTGTCAGCCCAGGGGCCAACCACGCTGAGCATCTCGTTCCCGGACTCGTTCGTGACACCCCGGGAGGGGGGTGGTGCAACGGGGTTTGGCCTGACCTTCAACCCCCCCCAGACGGCGACTTCAGGTGGGCTCAAGGACCAGCTCTTGCTTTGACAAAGATCAGTGGACTGTGGGGCCTGAAGGACCCTCTTGATCATATTTCGTTTCCGTGTCCCGCCAAATTCCCGTGTCTAACGAGGTCTTAGCTTATAAGTTTTTCAAGATGAGTCAAAGAAGTTGCGAACACCTTTGTCTGATGCCACCTGTGTCTGGAATCACACGAAGCATGAACAGCTACTGTTATGAATTCTCAGAATCATGTAGAGGTTTTAGTAGAGTGCCTTTTGTGAAAATTGTTCATCAAGGGGCAGGCCAAGAAAGAGGCAATATCTTTTAGTAATTTCTTCTTCAAAAGGACCCATACAGGTCTGATAGTATCAACAGTTTCATGACGTAAACTGGTGTTCACTTGCTCAGCCGCGGACCTGAAGTGTCCGCAGATTTTGCATCTCTTGACATTGTCGAATTAGCCAGCTCCTTGTGTAGATCTATTACTGAAACACCAAGAAGCGCTTCCAAACTGAAGCAATCGCAAGTACCGATGGCAAACGCCTTCATAAACATCTTCAGCTTCTGGTTTATTGGAACCTGCCACCATTAATGGTAATGTCTGCCGGCTTCACCGATCCAGGGCTTGTTCGTTCGACGCTTGAAAAATCTCAACAGGAGAAGCCCAGATTTTGCCGCTTACGACGTGTGACGCGGATCAGTCAGTATCCTTGTACATGAGAAAGCGGTGACATAATTCAGAGAGCTTGAACTACGACAAACCATATTTCCAGGTACGATTGATGCCAACGTCATCTCATGCGGATCAGCGGGACTGCCCTCAAACGTAAGCCTGCCGTCACTAAATACTCATTCAATCGCCCACTGCCTCATCTTGAGTATCTGTACGTTTTTCTTTTGGAAAGACTCGAGGAAGGCAGAGAGGACTTCAGAATACAAGAGACCTGCCCCGTCAAATCCCAACTTCCCAACCATGTGTCCAGGTTTCATACAGGAAGGACCTTTTCCTCTGGACGTCTACCTATGACTGAACTCGCCTCAATCTGATCACGGAAAGCCGAAGTTCAAAAGCTTCGTAAAGTAAAACCCTCGTACTTTTGATGGAAGTCTTATTTCGTGACCGTTTGCAGAAAGCTGTTTGGTTATCTTCGAGATCGAGGAAGACAAATGATGCAATCCGGTAAGCGTACAAAGAAGCGCGCCGCTGACATGTGTCCGATGACAGGTGGCAATCGCCAACACAAGCATTACCTCCACCCCCGCGGTCTACACTGTGTCGGCCAACACTTCCCGCGGATTTGCGGGAGCGGTGACCATCACCAACATAGTCCTCAGCGTGACGAGTACGTTTCGGGTTCCTACTCTCTTTTCGGTTTGTTCTTTTCTTCTGAGTTGTCTTCCCTTTTTCTTCTTTTTCCTGCTCCGGTTTTTCTTCTTGACCGTCGTTTTAGCTGGCCCAGTCTTCGCCTTTTCATTCTTCTCGTTCCTGGTCCTCTCTCCTAGTGGCTGCTTGCGTTTCCCGTACGATTGCAGGCTCATCTTTCCGCGCGGCGTGTACTTTCCTTGTCTCGCTATCTTCACCTTTGAGCCGCCACGACTGTCTCGACTACGCTTCCTGTGAATGATTGCTGCTAGCTTTGTGTCAGAAGTGCCCACAAATGCTCTATCGTTGTCCGTGTTCGATCGTTCTGGCTCGGCGAGAACGCCACGTGGGCTCTTCTAAATGGCCACCCCGCAGCCCCTGATTCGAACGCCCTGAGGGATCATCATACGATTGGCCATGGAATGGATCAGCAAAGTGTTGCTCTCCATATTGGCTTCTTCCTCCTTCTGCAGCTCCGCCGTTTCCCGTCAACCAGACGGACGGCAGCTATTCCGTCGAAATATCCAACGGAACCCTCTTCATCGGCCGTGTGAACGGAACCCTGACGGGGAGGCCTCTTGACTTCAGTAACAAGCAGTTCTCCTTCAGCAACCCACCCAGCCTGCCCGTCACCGGCAACTTTAAGGCCCTGGTAAGGGAAGGTCAAATGCTATGCAGATCGATGTTGAATTCTGAGCGCAAGAATTTTCAATGCCCGGCACCATCCTTTTTCAACTTGGTCAATAGATTTTAGACGCAAAGCCGCCCGTCGAATCCAGAGCCCGGGCAAGCAGCCAAAATTATCGTTCAAAAGCTCCTACTTCTGGGCATCTGATTTCGAATTTGCCTTCTAGGGAAGCGCTTCTTGTAGCGAAGTACAAAGCAATCACCGTCACGAGCTGACGTGAGCTGCAGCTTTGACCTTTCTTTCCAAAGATGCCTTTCTTATGACTGAATCATTGCTAAATAACCTCAGCGTTGGCACTCCATGTTTGATCGGTACCTTCCTCCCAAACGTAACGTCTTTCGCCCAGTCCGTACCTTTTAGGCCCTGTCCTTGTGTTCTCTTTGCGTCAGAAACTGCTTCTGTATTTGCATTCCGGGACTCTCGCGAAGTAGACTCGGGTTCGAAAGCAGGAAAGACTGCTCGTGATTCTGCACCATGTTAGAGCAGTGAGCCTCGTCAGAAGCACCGTCTCTCCTGGATAACTAATCACCGTCATCTCTGTGTCGCAGCCTGGGGGAACCCTCAGTATGAGTGCCTCCTTGAACCTGCAGGTTCTCATCAGGTAAGAGTAACACACAGGAGCCCAAACGGATAATGAGGATCCCTCACCGGAAAACACGGAAGGAGTTAGTGAGAGTCTCGGTGATAAGACCTCGGGAGTCGAACTTTTCTCCATCTGTTCGGGTGAAGCTTTATCTGGATAACATACCTCTAAGCATGTAGAAAGACCCAGGTCTCGCCCAGCAGGTCTCATGAAACACATATGCTGATGCTTTGGTCAAAAAAACGCTCTACCTACCGAGGAAGCCAGGAAGAAGACAGGATTAGTAACGATCGACGTGCATCTTCTACTCTTTCCATTATCCTACTTTTCCGCAACCGTGTCTCATTCCTGTCTTTGAAAGCTGGGATTAAAGCACCGAACCTTCACCGCAAGTGGGCTTTTCATCGGATTGGAACGGAAGTGCCGCTCGTTTTTCTGCCCCCGCAGTCAGGTCGCGACCATAATTTGTCAGAAAGACCTGGATACGCTGACCAAATTTGCTGACGTGCCGCTCTTCTCTGTCTCGCGCGCAGTCAGATCGTGGCCGCGGCTGGCTTCTCGGGCAGCCAGCTGACCGCGAGCGACACAAGCGGGGGCGCCATCCGGCTCGTGACCAGCCTCCTCGCAAGCGGCCCGGACCCGTGCAAGTAAACAACCTTATCTAGGAGGACAAGTAGACTCTATTTGAAGAGAACACGAGAAAGCGTGCGAGGTTGAGCTCTTTCTTAAAGTGCGACCAGTCTTTTGTGAACAGAAGCTAGCAACCAGTCCCATGCCATCAATAGGACAGAGCAACGATCGACTACAAAAACGATTGCAGCCTGTGGACGAACTGCGACTAGCGCCGCTATGTGCCGATGCGCCGCGTTTTTAATCAAATGTCACGAAGTGCTTTTGACTTTGCCTGTGCATTTGACAATTTTCAATTTCAGTTTGCGTTGCTTCACACGTAGGTTTTGATTCCAAGGCTGGAAACCTGACGCCAAATAGTGGGCACGTAACTTGCCTCCATATTCTTTGGAATACAGATGCCTCTCCAGCTTCTTGTAGTCTTCAAAAGTGACGAGCAGGGCGAGACACCGCATCTCAGCCGATCCAACCAAGCAGCCCTTTCGAAAACTAAAACAGTTCTGCAAATAGGTCCGCTATCTTGAATAACAACGTTTGAACTGCAGAGTGAAAGTAAGCTTTTAGTGAACCATCTCGGGTCTCTGTGGTTCGTTTTACTTGGGCTTCTGCCAGGAACCCTAGTTCAATATCGGCGGCCATTGCGGCTGCATGGCGAAGCGCCATTACAGAGTGAAAGTGTGCATCTAAACCGATTCAAGGAGACTTATCTGGCTAGCTAGATCGAGCCGCATGATCAGAGCAAGCCTACTACTCCGTGCCAATGGCTGCTCGCACGAAAAATATCTAGTCCACGAGGTTGACCAGGGGTTGACCGAACGCCCGTTAGGTCAATTATCAGAGAGACTCGGTCCAGCTAATTCGGCGCAAACACCAGCTGTATACATGCATTATGAGAATCAGAAAGCTGCTGCGACCAGAGCGTCCTTTCTTTTCATCCTGCCAGTAGTGCAGCGATACGGGAAGACGAAACAGGCCGGCCGTCTCTCCTGATCAACCTATCAACCCGCTCTTCGATTCCGGACCTGCTTCAGTGTTACCTGGTGCTATTAGTTTGCTGACTTCTGTCTACTCCGGACTCGCGGCAGCAGTCCGCCGGGCCGAATTCGGGCGGCGGCCCAGACCCTCGCGGCTGGGCCGCGGCCCGCGAGAGGCTTCTAAATCGGACGGCCGACCGAAGTTTGCGATGTCATCGGACGATCGAAACTCAGGAAGAAAAGGTCCGCGCGCAGAAGTATCTTAGGAGAGTTGCCGGCGGCACCTGACCGTACACATATCAGTAATACCCGGTGCAAGTGGACTGAGAAGGATCGGGATGGCTGGGAAATGCAGACTGTGCTCCTACTGCTTATGTCAGATTCCGTTGTGTGATGCGCCCCTCGTTTGCCCTAGTAAGTTTCATTGGGGGACCTAGCGCCTGATGGCGGCTTTCAAGTTTCGGAGTTTGTTGAAGGGTGCGCTCATCAGGGCGCCCCTCTTGAGACAGCTGGCACGGTAGCCCATTCACAGACTCAATCTAATCCTACCAGCTGAAAGAGCTGCAGCTAGTCACTGGAGCTCATGGCTGCCAACTGCAGCTGCGAAAATGCACCATTCGCCAATGATGACGTGGGCCCCGATGGTATGGGCCCGCGCACTGTGCTGACGATGCTCGCATTCGCGTCCCCTGTCACATACATTCTCGCCTGGTTCCTGTTTCAGGCGTCCCGCCAGAAGGCGGACCAAGCCACGATCCTGGACCATGACGACGTGTACAGCAACCTGTGCTGGTACTTCTTTGAGCAGCGGTGAAACACCGGGGTTCGGTCCCTATGCAAAAACAAGGCGGCGTGGAGCTGCGCGGCCGAACGGGACCTAAAGTCATGCACAAGTGCAGCGCCGCTGTGGGCCAGGTGCGGTACAACTTTGTCGCGTCGGGGGTGCCAGGGAGGCCTCAGCTGAGGGCAGTGATTCGGAGCGGGATTTTGGTTGGCATCTCCTGGCTTGTTACGACAGCGTTTTTGTGGGTGGCTGCCGCGCTCCCGCGTCAAAACCATGGCGGCAACAGCGTTGGGTGGCGGACGACATATGCGTGGACTGGGGTCCTCGTGCCTCTGAGCTCCATACTTACGGCCCTTGGGTATATCTTTTATGCTGCATTGTACCGAGACGACCTCGGGATGCAGTACATTCTTAGCTGCCCAGAAGCTGACGCACCGCAGTGTTGGCTCCCTGACGAATCATCAACCCGCGGTGGTACTCTTGCGCCGCCTTTGAGTATCATCAGAATGATTTGCCACAGCCTTGGCGACGGTCCCCCAGGCTCATTTCTGCAGTGGGATAATGACCGCCCGAAGCCCTGGGGGAGCAAAGCGGCCTTCAAGGACAAGCCCAGAAGCCTGGACGAAAAACCCATATTGTATGAGGAGCCCTGGAGCTCCTCGCAGATAGAAGAAGTGAGAGAAGCTGCAAAGAACAGCGTCGTAACCGCCGTTGAGAAGATTGCCAGCGCAGCAGATTATAATGCCCAGTACGGGGGGATCCTAGTGGTCGCTAACATAGTGACGTGGTTGGGCATGGGGATAGGCTATGCATCTGACTCCGCGCGAGACTCAATGATTGGGCTCGCGGTCAGCATTTATGTGGCGGCCCTTGCGGCAGGCTGGCTGGGCCTGCTTGAGTTCGTGAACGGTGTCAACCTTGCATCGCAAGCGACGAACACCCTTACGGCCCTTAAGCTAGGGGCGACGTCCTGGGAGGAGTGCACGCGGATCGATGAGCGGGCAGGCAACGGTTCGGAGGCAAGCGGGGAGGTTTATTTGGTTCCATGATGATGGGCATCAGTACGGTCTGGCTTCTGGGGGGGACGATAGGCACGGAGGTGCTTGTTTACAATGGAAAGTTGAACTTTCTGGATGGTCCTTCGATCGCCATTGACGTTTGATTGTCGACGGAGACAAAAGGAGCTGCCAGAATATGTTGGATAAGTTTGTTGTCTCCGTTGACAAGCTTGTGTGCTTGCTAGAGTTTCTTAAAGCGATGACTTCAGCTTGATTGCAAGTTTTACCTGTATAGTATCTGGTGATACCAAGCGTCTTCTGGCTTGATGACGTCTCTAAAGACTGAAAAGTGCCCCGTCAAAAGCAGCAGCGGCAGCCTTGACCTTCGGATAATACCTTCTTTGTAGTGTAGAATACTACAGTCCTATAAAGGGTGTAGCTCAGACTTGAAAACACTCGGACCGACGCTCAGACCGTGCTGCAAGATTATGCGAGTCAATCTTGTTTCACCAAGATATCACCGTCGAGCTGCAACTTGAAACAGTTTGAACACGCTTCTGGCTTCTTTGTTGAGGTTGTTCATCTTCATCAAGCAAACCAGCATGACGCCACGATGGAGCAACTCAATGATTCGGATCGTGTGATGCATAATCCCTTCGCGGCCCCTACGAATCACTAGCCTCGCTTCGCGCTGCAAATGACGGCCCCTCGCATAGGAAGACGTAATCGATGCAAGCTTTTTACATATTCCAGCATCGCTCTGGGACGTCAGACGACCGGATCGTATGAAGCTTGCGATACTTTGTGACGGAAGGGACCGGGACCGGCCGGGAGCAGATCGCAGGACCGTCCAACTTCGTCTATGTGATACCTAATTGGACGACGAATCTGAACGTCCAACAGCGGCCATCCATTTTTTTTTTAGGTGCGGGTCAAAGCATGATTGAAACCGCACTAGGTGACCTGCTTGATCTTTTGAGTCTTGGTTTGATAAAGCTCGAGCCCATGAGAGCATGACTGTAAACAACCGTCTCTTACAAGGAGCTGGTGATCGAGATTTGACTTAGCAAAGCTTAGGCCCTCGCGGATCCAAATACTCTTCTTAAAAGCTGTACCCTTCCGGTCCCAAGCAAAGCTCAGCTTATTTTGAGTCCCTGCAGGTGCATGGCCCTGCCACGTGTTTGAATGCGCCCACTTGAAACTCGTCTCATGTACGAGCACCCGGCCGATCGCAGGCCAGGACAGTGAAGAGTTGCGACGATCGGTGGCCTGACAGTCGATCTTCCCGGCAGCAGCCCAAATGCGAGTATGCTGATGTCTCTTTTGGGTCAGCCATGCATGCGGGGAAGATTTTATTCCGACATACGAGATAAAATTACAGGTCGACCCAATTGACCAGGTTTTCTGAGCTGGCACTCGGTGGGATTGCACGCTTCACCATCTCGAGAAGAAGACGCGGTGGGGCGCTCCTTTTCTTCCCGCCTGTCTTTGAAAAAGCGATCAAGCTCAGCCATTTCGCGCCACAATTCAAAATTCGTGGGCAGGATAATCACGACTTAATCTCATATCGTTTGGGCAAACCATTCTTCAGCAATGGCTGCTCGCTTCGTGCTTCTGGCCACGTGCCTTTTCTGCCTGTTTTGCGCCGGGGGGGTCCGGGGGCAGGGGAACACCAACCTGAGCATATCCGGGGTGGACTCGACGGTCGCGCCGCGCTTCTCCGGCGGACCCACCGGGTTCTCGCTCAATTTTAACCCCCCCCAAACGGAAACTACAGGTGGGCTCTTCTTCATCTTGCTGAAAGTTGCCTCCGTCTTTGCTTTGCTGCCTTCGCTTCTAAGGGAGAGCCTGTGACGAACCGTCTCCAGAGCCAGTTTTCTAAAGCTTGTCAGCGCTTGATCTGAAGGCCTGTTTAAAGGAATTGCCACTCGTCAAAAGAGGTGATCTTTGAAAAAACCAGAGCAGCAGGTTACGTTTTCCGAAGATGCGGTGAAAGTCCTCAGTGAAAGCGGGTCACGTTTCTGGATAAAACTTTGTGAGCTCACATGCAGAGACCCTGGGCGATGCCCTGACTCGATAAATTGTGACAAAAAGCTGCATTTTCGCTGCAGCTGATTTTGAAAATAGAGTCAAGGAGTCGAGTTTTCTTAAGAAGATAACTCGGCGAAGACTTGCGATGACTTTGCATGATCAACTCCCTAGAACAGAACCTTGCGGAAACTTCTCGAATGTAACTCCGTACACAGAGGTACGTTAGGGGCGCTTTGTTCTGCTTTGTTCACAGAGGTACAGCCTCGTATAGTCCAGATTAGTGTTTACTGCTTGGAGGAAGCTCAAGACTTCTTGAGAGCCCACGACAGACGTCTGACACTGCGACTTGCCTGCAGGCGTGATACAGCTCAACATCATCGCGTGCGGGTCAGCGGCGCTGCCCTTGAACGTAAGCACGACGACATCAACTTGGAAACTGGTGCTTGCGCTTTAAGTTTCGATCCAAATCATTGGGCATGCTTTCGAACGAGACCCTCCTTTCTCTTCTAAGCTGCATAGACTCTTCGCGGAGCGACTGATCAGATACACCCGTCCATCGGTTTGTATGGGGTTTCGCTTGTGGGGATTCAATCAGAATCAAGCAGATCAATTCGAGCAAAGATGCCGTCAGCACGTTGCACTGGATCGAGCCTCAAAGAGTGGCCCTAGGCGAGTAAGGAGGACAAAAAACCTTCAATTCATTGTTGGCTGCAAAGGTTCCCTGGACGTTCAACGGAAAGACACTCCATTCTGTACAATTAATGCTGGTGTAGCGATCACAACTCCCCTTGAGAAAATTGGCTGACCCGAAAGAACTTCTAAAGAATGAATTCAAGGAAACTCGGCTGATCCAAGCCTGTGTGCGCGCGCACAGGTGTCTGTAGTGGGCACCAACATCACGTCCTCGCCTCCGGTCTTCACCGTCTCCGCCAACACCACCCGGGGATTCGCGGGGACCGTGACCGTCGCAAATGTCTCGCTGAACGTTTCGAGTGAGTAATCGAGCGGCCTCTTGATTTCGTGGCCTCTTGATCTCTCTCGCCTCTGCAACGTGGGCGCCAGTGCGCTTGCTCCGAAATTGCTCATTGAGGTTTACACCAGGCGCAGGACTTGGGTGCACATTCCTCGACGCTTTGGAAAGGTGTGGGCGAAGTATATGTTTCTTCCCCATACGCAGGCCGACCTTCGGAATCATCGACCACCGTCTAGTGGGCTTCCGACGTGGTCCGCTTGCTTATACCCGGCTCAACAGTTACGCACAAATTGCACATGCTGTCGTTCATTTTCGCTCACAGGGTGCAAACGTATTCTTGATCTCATTCGCCGTTCCATCGTCTTCATTCGAGGGAACGGACTCCGCAATTGCCTCATGCCCCTGTCGCTCAGATCCGGAGTTTCAGCTTTCGACCGACAATCTCTTTTGCCCAGAACTTCGCTTCCGCTTGGCATCCCTCTCCCGGGAGGACTAGCAGTTTGACCTGCACTGACGCAAGCTTCGCCGTCTTAGGTCAAGCCGCCGAATTGCGTCGTGCAGTATCTTCTGATTGATTTTGCAGCGCCATCTTTCCGCTTACAAGATGAAATCATCTCAGAGACTTGGCCCAAAATCGCCAAAGCTCAGATCCATGACGACCCTTCGCAGACACTGACTCCGTCTCCTTAACGGATCTTTGTTTGCAGCGACCCCCGCTTGTCTTTGAGTCTCCAAAAAGAAGCATAAACTGCATCAAAATCTTTCCTTTCCGACTTTCTTTTAGAAAAACAGACAGGACCATGAGGGTTTTCACCCATGCGTCCTTTCTTTCTTCGCAGCCCCGCCGTTTCCGGTCAACCAGTCCGATGGCAGCTACTCCATAGAGTTCACGGGCGGAACGATCTATATCGGTCGGGTGAACGGAACGCTGACGGGGCAGGACATCGACGTCCGCGATAGGGACCTCCTTTTCAATAACACGCCTCGGCTCAACGTGACTGGGACATTCAAAGCTCAGGTAAGAGTTTCATTTTAGCCCTATCTTCTAGAGCCTTATTCGAGTCCTAAACCTTTAAAATTAGACTTGTAAAACCAACCCAACTTCATCAAATGTCGCGCCCCCGATAGTCAAAAGTATTGCCGTTGAGACTGGGGCGTGAATACCTGTCTCCTGATACCCACTGGGTTCTGTATCCAGTTCAAGTAACATGTCGCCACACGTTACGCTGGAAGTTGTTTCCGACGACTTCAATCGAACTTCTTCGCGCGCCAGTCTGCGAAGCGAACTAGGGCGAGAGTTTTCAAGCAGCTCTTGCGACATCCTTGAAACCCTTTTCAACCGTATCTGACTGATTAGGCCACGCCGCTGTCACCGCGTTTCTCAGTATTCGATTATTGCTCATGAACTGTTTCTGTTCTTTTGCAGCCAGGGGGATCCCTGCAAATGTCTGCATCTCTCAACGCCCAAGTGCTCGTCAGGTAAGTTATCGTCAAACAGGTCCACTGATCGTACCGACCTTGAACCGCAGCGATTGGTCCAATCAGATCGTTTGACCCCGCTTTGACAACGGACGAGCTTCAAAGCTTTCCGAGCCGCGGTCGGGATAGACTTTCGCCCACTTTTCGCTGCTCAATGCCACGTGCACGACTCCCACTTGCTTTTCCTCGCCCGGGCTATAACCAAGAAAAGGTGACCACTGGTCCATCTGGAGCCAGACCGGCGACGATTACAGAAACGTCTCTCGTCTGTGCCATCTCCTTTCCCGTCTTTTCGAGGCGTCTCTCCTCTGTGACGTCACAATTGTCATTTCTGACGTCTTCGGCTCGTACCTCGGGGCGCTCGCAGTCTAGCCGACCACGCAAGCAGCGGCTGCAGTCCCCGCAGCTAACGTTTCTAACGTCACAATCTCCTGTCTGGCGCCTTGCTCCTTTCTCCTGGTCGCGCGCAGGCATGTACTAGTCGCCGCGGCCGGCTATGCGAGCAGCAAGGCAAATCGCAGACCTCTTGACAAGTGTCCAACTTTTCTGACGTCGCAATCTCCTGTCTGACCCCTTCGTCTTTCTCCCTGTGCGTGCGCAGTCGCGGCCGGCTACGCGAGCAGCAAGTCGCCAACTCTTCTGACGTCACAATGTCGGTGTCTGACGCCTTCGTGTTTCCTCCTGTGTGCGCGCGCAGTCAGGTCGTCGCCGCGACCGGCTTCGCGAGCAGCAACCTGACGGCGGCCGACACTCAGGGCGGCGCGCTCCGCCTCAGCGCCAGCCTCCTAGCGAACGGCCCCGACCCTTGCAGATAGGAACTAGAGCGAGAGAGATCACCTCCTTTCGCAGCCTGCAACGTTTGTACTGGTCTTAGCTGTATATGAGCAAAACAAACTTGGTAGTGCACTGATTGGCAAGAGCTTGCCGCTCATGCCGCATGACATCGATGATATCAAGCGGTCCATAGATGAGAACGCTAGCTTTTGAAAACCACCCGACAAGCGCGAACCGACTCGATTCCTTGGTAGTAGAGGGCCAGAGTTAAAGCAACAGCAGCGAACGGTTTCCTTCGAGAGTCGCTCCAATCAGATCTTGTACAGACCGATTTGCCCGTCAAGCTTGACATCGCCAGATCTTCACACGCTTCAATCGGCAAAAGATGGGCGCCTTTTTGTTTCTGTTGACAACATTGTCCAGCTTGCCCTTTGAAGAGCTTTCTTTAACAAGGTGTCAGAATTACTGCGAACGTTGGGGCGGGGTTGGAGCCCCACCCCAAAAAACAATAATCTTGCAATCAATCAATGATGCTCGCGGTGACGAATGACTACTCTGAGTGCGAGAATGCAATCAAGCATCTGCTTTTCAATGTAAGTGCATCAGAGCGAGCCTCTGATGTAAGGTTGCGCGCTCAGAAGATCGCGCATGTAGATCAGCTGTCCCCACCTGTATAGAAGCCTGCAACACAGGACGTGATTAACCGACTTGTATTGTTTGTCAACCTTTAAATTCCAATGCCATACTATTATTACTTGTTCAACAATTGCTGCAGTTACCGGGTCTTTGCCTGGTCTATTGGGTCAACAAAGACCATCTGTTTGCAGCGGCCGTAGTTTTGCTCCATGAAGCACTTTCTGGTTGATCTGCTTCTTCATGGCCTACGTATTAATGCCTAGATTTTGTCACTATCAAACTCAGCAGCGCAAGCTCAATGCAAGCGTGATGCATGTGGAAATCAGTCTTTTACCTAAACTTTTGCCTACCCTAATTATCATTTATGGTCGATCATGAATCTTTCTACAAGTTGATGTCTCAAAGATTGGCTGATCTACTATAAGTTCTTTGCATACACGTCAGCTACAGAAAACGTCGTACCTATGAGCGTGTCATCGACTCTAGACAATCTTAGAGAACCGCTTATCCTAGACCGCGGACCTTATATCTAGCTATGCTGCCGCGCTGATTTGCTTGCCGAGAGAACTTACGCCTGCCCTCCAAAATTCACCAGGGTGATCCCCCGATCGTCGACGTGGCCGGAAGCAACCAATGAGCATCTGGCTTTAGCGACACGTCAGACCCTTGACTTGTGCTGGGGATAGGCTGGCTACTCTTCCAAGTTCCAAGTTCCAAGTTCCAACATTCGATTTTCCAGCTGTAGAAAGTCAGGTGGCGCTCCACTCATTGGCAATCACCCCCCTCAATATCTGCATTACATATACAGTGACATTGGTGACGCAATTGCTCCTTGCTAGGGATCCTTTTTGGGCGGAGGATGGCGGGGCAGACAGCGATCGTGTTTGCTCGGGTGCCGGTTCCATCTATTTCTTCAATCCCACTCAGGTCTGGCGCGCTAAACCATGTAGTGCACACCCATGATTTAAGGCGCGCTTTCAACAGTTCGCACCTTCCATCGCCCCATGTGGCATGGCCGGCAGAAGCTTGTTGTTCTCGGTCCGCCACCAGACCTTTGATTCCCACCCGTCAAATATCCTTCATTTCTGCAACTTTGAAATCAGCTTTCCTAGGCGCGCCTTCTTCTTCCTTTCCTGGTGGTCAAACCGCCAGATCAAGGAGCATTTCCAGCAGAAACAGGTCAGCCAAAAGAGAAGCCACTATAAGCGCCGCGGCGAGGGAAACTAGAGGCGGCCGCCGCGGTGGTAAAGGTTCCCCTGGCGGCGCCAGCACAGCGACTCGGAAAGGCGCCAGCGCAGCAAAACCCCGCCCCCAGAAAGTCGACAAGGATGAGGATCACGGCGGAGGGGGGCGGGCGGCCATGCCGAGCCAACATGAAAAGCTGGCGGCGATGCGCGCTTTTGAGCAAGACGAGAAGCTGATGTTTGATGTGGTTCCAGCGGGGAGGGACGCCGTGCAGTGCGTGTATGCGTACCCGAACACGTATACGGTGGGGATATGCAGCCTGGGGTATCAGCTGGTGAGTGGCCGCAAGGGGTTGCAGAGATTGGTTCTCTAGGCCATATGAGAGGGGTGCCCATGCTTGATTGGCAGTTGCCTGTATGTTCGGCTCTTTCAATCAATGCAGTATCTGGTTTCTGTTCATAAACATGATGCAAGGCTAAGGAGAGACACTGGCGACTCCATAATGCAATGCTACCAAAAAGGCATTGCACAAAGCAGAACGTAGCAGCAAAGGAAGTTTAGCTTCTGAAAGAGTAGCAAGTGTTTGCAACTCGGAGAAGACGATGCTGCGGTGGTGGTCGATTTGTGACTGAATGCTGGGCAGATCTTTGTTATTGCAGAAGACTAGATTCCTAAAGGACACTAGGCCTGTGATTGTTTTGAGGGTAACTTTTGAACGTGATTCGCCAACTTGTCATCAATTTGGTGCGCAGCTTTTGGAGTGAGGGAAACGTTGGCACAGCATGGCGCTTGAAGAAGAGTCTCTTTTTGATATCTTCAACTTCAATCTGCTCGACTGAGCGAGGATCAAGGCTCATGCATCGGCCCAGCAGACTCTACTTTGCCAAATTTCCTATCACTCGAGGCATGTCCCTCCTCCGCAACCGTCTCACTTGACTATCGATTTCAAAAAGAAGATCTCCTCCTTTTAAAGCCTGATCATGTTCGTTCCTTTGTCCTTTCAAAGCTGATCATGTTCGTTCCTTTGTCCTTTTAAAGCCGCTCCCGATGCCCCTTCCAAGCTTCCCCATCCTGCAGATTCAAACCTTCCAGATTAGGCGCCATGAGCACTGCGCAGCGCCTTGAATTCTCCATACCAAAGGATCCACTTTTGATAGCTCCCTCCTCCTTTTACCTCGGATATTGCATAGAGGGGTCTCACAATCCGACTCTTCCTTCCCAGGTCTGGGCCTATCTTGCCGGACGCCCAGATGTCCATTGTGCGCGGCTCTTCACGGACGCTTCCGAACCCCTCCCCCGTCAAGTCGACCTTTTGGGCTTCTCCTTTTCCTGGGAGCTCGATTACGCCAACATTCTGGCGATGCTCGAGGCGGCAAACATTCCCATCAGGGCGGTTGATAGGGGCCCCGAGCACCCGCTGATATTTGGAGGCGGGCCGGTTCTGACGGCGAACCCGGAGCCTTATGCGGACTGGTTCGATGTGGTCTTGCTAGGGGACGGTGAGTGGTGCAGTTACCTACCAAGTGAGGTGGTGAATAGATGGGTCTTGTTGAGTGCCCCGGCAAATGCTACAGGCTCGGCGGTTTTTTGATGATTCCTTAGTGGGCAGTTGTGAAAGCAGTCACGATCGAGAAGCATTGCAAGGGAAGACGAGCAGCTCCAGACTGATGTCGCTCAGTTGGTGGAGATGCATTTGGACAAGCTCCAGGACTACTGCTATAAATAAAGGGTTTCCTGCAGTCAGCTTCTCAAGCCCACCTGGCCGCATCCCGCTGATTAAACCGCAGGATCTCTTGCCTTAGAGATTCGATACTTGTACCATGCACCAGCCCGCAATTGCACCTGCCTAACTGTAGTTGCCTCCCAAAGTGCTCGAAGCGCAGAGTATGCGACTATTACTGGTATTTGCTTAAGCATAGCACTTTGAAGGAAGCCTTGTGCCTTGGGAAGTCCCTCCCGTCGTTGGCACCCTTATTTCCCTTCTGAATGCAAGCAATCAGTAACGTCACTCGCTGTTTCTTCTGCAGGCGAAGACCTGCTTCAAGCATTTCTGGAAGCGTACAAAGCCGTCAAGAGCTCCCCCTCGGACGCCCAAAGCCGTCCGGAAGTGCTTCGGGCCCTGTCCCAGGTCCCCGGCATATACTGCCCCAGTCTGTACGTCCCCGAATACGAGGCCCCCGACGGGCGCCGGGTTGGGCTGAAACGGATAGCAGAAGACGTTCCGGAAACGGTCAAGAAGCAGACGTACCGTGGGAATACGCTCGCGCGGTCGACGGTGGTGTCGGAGAAGATGGCGTGGGAGAATATTTACATGGTCGAGGTGAGGAGACTCCAGGGGTTCTGGAGGTCTGTACTTATCTTCCACTGTATTATGCAATTTGCAATTTCTCTGAATTCTTTGGGTTCTTGAGTGTTGCAATCTTTCTGAATTTTCGGGTCCTTGAGTGGTACAAGATTTCAATTGCTCGATTTCGATGCCAGCCATGTGTGAGCTGTCCATGTCCCGCTTCTCTCACGGACAGCAGTTTTCGGACATTGTTTTAATGCCAGTCTGTTTCCTGGACGCGCTCAGTCCAACGCGATTGTTGCGCTTCTTATAGCCGTTGATCTTGCTTGTCAGCTATACTCCGGCATCCTTTCCACCTCCCCCGCTTCACTTTCTTGTCCGCCCCTCCAGCACCACTCTATCCTAACCCGTTCCAAAAGCGCACATGAAAGCCACAGAACCGTTGACGTCAGTCCCTTGGTCTCCACACCTATCAAAATATGGTCCTGGTCTTGGGCCCCCGGGGACCAACCCTACCTGAGACGCTTTGTCCAAAACCGGTCCCTTTCGCACCCCCCCTCAGGTGGTCCGCAGCTGCCCCGAGATGTGTCGCTTCTGCCTGGCCAGCTATGTGACGCTGCCGTTTCGCACCGCCGCCCTGACCACGTCGCTCATCCCGTCCATCGAAGAGGGGCTCAAAGTCACGGACAGGATCGGACTGCTCGGGGCGTCCGTAACCCAGGTGAGGCGCTGTGCCCTTGTGGGCGAGGAGGTGTTGGGGTGTTGGTTCGAGTGACCGGAAAAGATGAGTCGGAGAGAAGTCGCAAAACGGGCCTTGTTCACTCGCGGGAGGTTCATATTCTTAGTCTCTGGCGTTGTCTCGAAATTGCTTCTGGTTTTTCCGATGTTTTTGGGAACGCGTGATGATCTTCCTGCCCACCTTTTCATTCCCACTTTCGGAAGTGTCCGAATTTGGATAATCTCCGAAGTTGCTCACTAAACCGCAGCTTCGGTTGAGATTCGTGAACACATCAAGCTGAGTAACAGTAAATTTTGAACCATTCCGGATCAAGAAACTTTTGCCGAAGGTTGAGCATGTGAAGAAACTCGGCACCTATTTGCACACGCAGCACCCCGAGTTCGAGGCGCTGCTGGAGCACATGTGCCAGCCGCAGTACGACCACGTCCGCATGAGCGTCGCGTCCGTGCGGACCAACACCGTGACGCCCAAGCTGACGTCAGCGCTCGTGCGGCGGGGCACCAAGAGCCTCACCATCGCCGTCGAGAGCGGGTCGGAGCGCATGCGAAGGTGAGAAAAAGAATGAGACTACCGGTGGTCTTGCTTATCAAATGAGAAGAAAAGGCATTGCTTTTCCGTGTCACAGAGAAGGCAGTATGAAGTTGAAGGGCGTCGGTGCTTTATCGAGGCGTGCTTGATCACTGAGGATGAGATGACTGATTCAAGTGTCCGTTTTCGTTGCCAAAGCCAGTCTGCACAGAGAGAGGATTGTGATGTTTAAAATATCAAGCCGTCGGAGAAAGTGGGCGTGACATTCAATTCATAGGCGTTTCCCTCCACGAATGGATTACGAGACGCTCGCACCACTCACTAGTCCGTCCGTCTCCAACCAGAATAGTGAACAAGAAACTAGACTAGGCGGACTTGATTGGCGGGGCCGTATTGTCCACTGCACTGGCCGTTCATTCTTGATTGATAAAGTGAAGCTGACTACGATGTAGTGGTGATATCTGTTTGTTTCCTCTCAGGTCGTAACGTAGAGGAGGCGGATATTGTGCAGTGCGCCGCCATGATTCTCACAGCAGTGGCATCACTGTGTAATGCAACATCGAAGCTGACCACTATGTAACGCTCACCCTACTTACCAGTCTGTCCGTTTCTTTCAGGATCGTGAACAAGAAACTAGAGCAGGCGGACATTGTGGGCGCCGCCATTAACGCCCAGCAGGGAGGTTTGGAGGCGCTGAAGCTGTACGGCATGGTGGGAGTTCCCGGGGAGACGCAGGCGGACGTCCAGCAGACTGTGGACATGATGAAGGACGTCCGGAAGGCCGCCCCGGGGCTGCGGCTCACGCTCGGCTGCAGCACTTTTGTACCAAAGGCACGTGGACAGTTTTTGGCTTCCTCCGGTACTTTTACGTGTGTGCTCGGGCAAGCGAGCTCCGACTTGCTTCTAAACGCAATCTTGCTGTGCTTGAACCGCTTCCCATGTTTCTTGGGAGGTAATCTGGGCTGCCACTCGTCCAGGTTTCAAGGAGGTGGACAATCTGCAGTTTCTTTTGTCTTCTTCTACCGTGCGATAATTCCCGTTTGTCTGGGGGCTTGAGATGTTTCGTGTTGTGCCTGAGAAGTGCAGCCGAGGCACGTAGTAGCCTCTCTTCCCCCTCTCGTTGTCTCGTCGGCTCTCCGTAGGATTTTTAAGCAAGCAAAATGGATCATGAGCTTGCAGACGTGCTCTCTTCCAGTGAGCGAAAGCTCGCTGTTTCCGCTTGAGAAAGTTCAGGCGAAAAACGGATGCGCCTTGTTACGCTTCATGCCGAACTGATCTGCTCGTCTGTGGACACTCCCCTTCTACGATCTCCTCACCCCCTTCCCCCGGCGGAAACAGCCAGAAAACTTACGATGTCACCCTCAAGTCTTCCTAAGATGCAGCACTCTTGTCTTACGCCCCTGTTCAACGACGGCATGCCCGCTTCTCGTATTCGCTATGCTTGGATCCGAACAAGCTATTCTGTTCTCCGCAGGCGCACACCCCGTTCCAGTGGTGGGGCGTGGACCCCGAGGGCGAGAAGCGGCTGCAGTTCCTGGCGAAGGAGATGGGCCAGATCGGCGTCGACTTCCGGCCCGAGAGCTACAAGTGGTCCACCATCCAGGTGATGACGTCAGCATGAACCCATTCGGACGCCGCCACGTCGATCGAGATTGTAATTTTGGAAGCCTGCTGACGTCGGCTGCGCGGCCTCCGAGTTGCCATGTTGGCTGCTCCACTCCAGCTGCTTACTTTTGCCGCTCGCTTGTTTACCCTACGCTGACGACGCACTTTCTCTGACTTCGGCCCTGTCCCTAACCTATGGACTTAAGATGCTGAGCTTCCTCCTCGCATCACCCTCCAGTTGCTGTGCCTCCGGTTTTCACAGCTGACGTCACGTCCCGCAGGCGCTCCTGTCGCGGGGCGACCGACGGCTCGGCCCCCTCTTGGAATTAGTGCGCGAGTACGGGGACAGCCGGGGCAGCTTCCGGCGCGCATTTAAGGAACTGAGGGGATCCCTCCCGCCGATGGACTTCTACGTGCACGAAAAGCACCCCCCCGGGGAGATGGTGTTGCCGTGGGCGCATCTGGAGATGTCGCTGCCGGAGAAGACGCTGGTCAAGCACGCGGCGGAGGCGGTGTCGTACTTCTAGGGGGGTGGAGGCAATCGGCCTGATGGGCTCGTACGGGCGGGTGGTGCGGTGGAAGGGTTGGGGGGGCCCGGCTCAGGTGAGGAAACGAGGCCAAAGAAGGACGATTGAATTGGTTGGATAAGAGGTGCAAGAGCTGGATGGGTCTTGGCTCTTGGCCTGAAGTCTAGGAGTTTCCATTTCACTGGATGGTAATGAGGAACTAAAAGGCGCAAACTTTTGGACGTTCCTTGAAATGCCTAAGGTTTTGATTGCGCAAGAGTACCACTCTCCCAAATTTGGGATTCATGCCGCCTGGTCTGGCGCGGTCCCTTTCGTACACGCTTGCTCGATTTCCTGTTTCATAAAATGATAGGTCAGGCGTCACCTGAATTCATTTTGAAGGTTTGAGATTCAATCTGGACTTTTCCTGACCCGCTCCGGGTTTTCAGAAAATGTTGGCTTGTGGGAGGATTACACTGCATGACCGCAGCAAGGCAACAATGGGTTCGCAATCACAAGAGTAAGAGGAACGACCGCAAGCGCTCAGAGCAACATGATTGGGCGCAGCCCAAGCTCACTGCGCACCGTGAGTGCAGGAAAGCGCTCGTGATTCTCCTTGCCGATCTGTGGTTACTGAAAAAACCTGAAAGCATCATCATAGGGGGTCGGGGTCGGACGGACTCTCACCTTCTTTTGACCATTGTGTGCAGGAGCATGTTGGTGCATGTTGGTGCAGCGGTGGGCTCGCTTTACGGAAACAATCAATCAGACGTTTCTGCCGCTTGGGCATCAGGCCAGTACACCTGTCCAGATGACGCACTTCGCAAGGGGCATAATCCTTTGCACTGCTATGAGTCGAATGCGAAGAAAGGCGAGACAAGGCTGGAGGGAACCTTGGCAGGTATTTGAAGTAATGGCCGCGGACTTCTTTTACTTTACTAGCGCATGAGCGCTTGAGTAAGGCAAATTTTGCTGTCAAGTCGCGAGCATGCAAGAAGGTGGCATGTCATTTGTTGCATGACAGGCCAACCCACACGACAAAGTCTGCACTGCTATGCTCAGCATGACAGGCAGTGCGCGGTGCATAACAGCTGTGAATCAGGTCACTTTGACTTGCTAGCATGGCATCTGGGTCGGACCCGATTGAGAGCTGGGAGAGAAGAATATAGAGCAAGGAGAGTGCATCACACGAATCCATATACTGATGCGCAAAGTGCATGCCGGCTGTTCTGCCCCGTACTTCAAATTTAGCATGGATCCTTCCGACCATTTCGAAGGAGGGAAAGGTATCGACAACGCACACAACACATGTATACATGCTCGCAGTATAGATGAGGCAATTTAGCGCGCCAGCATGGAGAGGGGTCTTGTATACAAGCAGTTGAACTCTTACAACGTACTCTTACAGAAGCAGGTTGCATGGTCATGCAAACGGATCGGGGGCTGGCTGGGGCCCACACTCTCCTTGAGTTTCAAAAGCTACGGAAAAGTCTAGCCTGGAAGAGGGACCAACATAACCTAAAAATTTTTGATAAGGTAGGCAGCCTACTGACCTCAGCAATCAACAATGCAGACGGTGTAAAATTGACACAATATACATTGGACACCTTTGTTTCTAACCACTCAATGTGTGGATCGATCATGCAGGTGCAGTATTTTGTCAATGAGTAACATCATTGAGCCTTGAGATGCGCTGCACCCGCCACGGGAACAAAAGTCGCGCAGAGGTTATACAATGAACCCTTCGCATTTCCTTAGCAAATTCTGTTTCCAATCAAATATCTCTTTCCACTCTTTCCTCAGGGCTTTGAAATGCCGTTCTGCTTCCTTCAGTTCCTCTAGTCGATCATTTTTCTTGTTCATTTTCTTGCTCTCGCGTGCTAGCGCCACCTCAACCTCAAGGACATCAGTAGCGGTCTGGTAAGCAATGCGCTTCTGAAATTCCTTGTCTACACTCTTCCGGTAATTATTCAGCAGCAATTTTGCATCTGCAGAGGGTCCATGACGAGCCAATTGTTCTGAAAAGCTGCCAGCTTGTAGTATGAATGGCCCAAGGGTGCGCAGGGTGGCAGGGTGGACATACTTAGCTGTACTGAAGCATTCAAGATGACAATTAAATCAGAGAGTGTCACAGTTCTTGCGAATTCCTCCGCCCTTGCTCCCTTCTTTAAGACATTTTGTTGGCGGGGTACTGTTGTTAGACTCGACGCGTACCTACACGCATTTCCGCATTGTCAGCATTGAGTCAATGCGCGACGCCCGGCCCGCCAAAGGGCGGCCGCTGTTGGGGTTGGCGCGGCCGCTCGCTCAGCGCAAACCTCGAACCTACACGGTACGATACCGTAAGCTTTCTTTCATTCTGATTGGTCCAAGCGGGATTCTGATTCCACTTGGCCGGACCTGAGATTCCACCGTCTGGCGCCAGCCTGCCCAAACTTTTGAAAGAATGACAGGGCAGCTGAACATCCATGCACATGAAAGGGCGGCGGCGGTAGGTGCATGGTTGCAAGGCACCTTACCTAACGGTTTTGGCTCGGAGGAGGTTTCACAAAGATTGAAAGAATTTGAAAGGGCAGGGAGGATTCGATTCACCCGCTCAGCTCCTGCTTTGCCAGCTCAATTTGTGCCAGATTTCAGCAAGCATCATGGCGGAGGCCGTAGAGCACACCCTGCGCAAGGCGCTGATCGCGCACGAGCCCGAGCCGGCGACCCTCCCGGCCGTCTTCCGCACCTCGTGGCGTGTATTCACTTCGCACCTGCGCTTTCTGCTTACCACCGCGGCTGCGACCGCCGCAATCCCACTCCTAGTTGTCCTTGCGTTGACCGCCATCTTTGGGCCTATCATCCAGCCCTCGACCGACCAGCCTTTCCCCTGGGGCCCCCCGAACGTGGATGCCCATGGGAGGTACGCCCCCGCGCCTGCCCCTCATGGCCACTACGCGCCTGCCCCAGCCCCTACCCCCTCGCCGAAGGTCAACCCGGTCGCGTTTGCTGTTGCAACGGCGGTCAACTTCCTGCTCTCAGCTGGCGCGCACGTGATCCTGATTGCTGTGTTCGTGTACGTGGTGCTCGGGGACCATGTGGGAAGGAAGCCTGGACCGGTGTGGGGTGTCATCAAGGGCAGCTTCTGGCGCCTTATTGGCACTGACATCGCGCAGTCGTTGGTCACGATCCTGGTGACGTTCGTGCTGGGTGCTCTTGTGGCGCTCATCGGCGGGGTGGTGACCGGGGTCTTCTTCAAGGGTGAGGGTTTGACATTAATGTGGTCTTCGGGCAGTGAACGTATTAGACACTTCTTGAGCAATTGTAATTTGAGGTGGAATGCTTTTGGTAATGACGCTCAAAGCTGTTGTTGAGATCTTTACATGCAATGCTGTGGAATTGGACCAACCAGGGAGCTGAACTTGCGTCATGTTCGCTTTGAGAGTGATCTTTGGAAGATATTCATATTTCAATGGAAGGAGTTGACAACGGTTGTCAATCGATTTGTGGTTGATCCATTGTGGTTACATTGTTGTCACCAAGGCGATGGTTTGACAAGATGTCAACAGAAGTAGACTGCATGGTGGTGTCAAGTTCCTGGATGGATTGTCCGATGTAAATTAGTCTTTTCTAGAGTCTTGCATGCATAAAGCATGGGGGCAGTGCTCTTCTGTCACAAGTACTATGCAGATGAGCCAAGGAAGCCAAGCTCGACAATCATGATCATTGATTGTTTTAGGTCAATGTCTCACACAAGATTTTCAGTCCCAAGATGAAAGGTTTGCAAGACCTCTGTGGCCCGTTGCAATGCTGTGAGTTTCTAGTAAAGGATGCAAGAGAGCTGGGGGTCTGGATTGCCCTTCCATCCACAGCTCTCTCTCGGATTCCTAAATTTCAACTTGCGCGAAGCAGAAATTCCTTGGTGGAACTTTTCTATAGTCAGTTGATTGTGATACTACTCCTGTACACCTTAGCTTGTGCTATTGTTTTCTTATAATTCACTGGCACGCATGGCATTGACAATGTTGAATCTTTCAGATGCTATCTCTGACCAGTGTAAATATGGTTTCCATCTTTCCTTGACTCAGCTCCACAATAATGCCTTGGTCCTTTTGCTGATGCATTCCGATATTTTAATCTGTCAGAACCTTACAGTTGCAGACCCTCAGTCCAGATACTCAGCAGGCTAGTCCCACTGTAAAAGTCCCTGTTTCAATCTGGGAATTTATGATACGCAACTGTAGGATAAAGCTTCAGTATTGATCCTGCGAGTGCTGACTTTCGTGTCGTTTCCTTTTCCTCAACCATACCATTGCCGCTTCTCTTCTTCTCATTACAGATGGTATAATGGTCTGTTTGTTCAGACTCCTGAATCATGGAATGTTGAGAATATTCTCTCAAAAATCTATCAATCTTCTACTTACCTGTGCACCCCTCCCTACCCCAGGCGCCTCCCCCAACTTCGCCGCTGCCACGACCCTCGTCATCTGGCTCGTACTCGCCCTCCCTGCCACCCTCTTCATCATTGTCGGCCTTTCCCTGGCTGACCAAGCCACCGCCATTGAGGGCTCCGGCCTCTGGGGCTTTGCCGCCCTTCGCCGCAGCTGGACTCTCTCCAAGGGCAGCAGGGCAGCCATCCTGGCAGTCATTCTGCTGAGCGCTTTGGTCTCCATTGTTCTGGGATCTCCCCTAGAGATTCTGGTCAACAACTTCCAGGACGGGTCTGCGTTCGCTGGGACCTGGTGGCAGGTGCTGCTGGCCATCCTGGGAGCGCTGATCGTGTTCCTGCTGTCGGTCTTCATCCAGGCATACCTGCAGGTAAGCAAGAGATGCTGACGTTCGTTTTTTGTGTTTCTTCTGTATGTAAGATGGCCCCTCTGCTTTGGTTCTGCGCTTACGTTGCTTAAAATCTGCTTAATGAACTGCGCTTTCTCGGCTTCGAATACATGCGATGGGCTGCTCGAGTCAATTGTTGGTTGAGAGATACAGGCCTTCGTTCTCTCCTAAATAAGTTTTCGATTCGATCGTTGTTACAAGATGGCAGGCCATTTGACGACAGTCACAAATGACGTAACGACTTCCCAGCAAATCTGTGGAGCTTTTTGATTGTAGCAATGGCACCCCAGTTGAACGGAGAGCTAGGCTTTCCGTGGAGATGAGCTCACGAGTATCGACAGAGGACCAAAAGCTGGGGAAACAAGCCGCCGGAAAAGTCATCTCAGCGTTATCTGTCTCTCTTTCCAGGTTGTGTGGGTCGAGCTCTACCTTTCCTCAAGGAAGAAGGCCGAGCCCGAGTTCGGCCTGAGCGCCATCGAGCGCTACTTCGAGGCTGGTTCAGCTGGCTCCGGCGGTTACTCCCAAGCTCGTACTTGGGACGCATAGATTCATTTCGTACTCAACTCATACGTAGGTGTTTGGGGCCATTGGTACACGCCACCAAGCACTGGTTCCGCGCATCATTTGCTGTTTGCAGCCGCAATATAGCAAACCACATATTATACACACGCACATAGCTGAAAGAGAATAACAGTTTTGACTTGCAGATGTTGCCCTGAGGGTGTTCACGTTCGATCGGAGTTGGCAGTGGTACAGCTTCGACTGTCTGTATAAGTTGCCCTCATATAAAATCGATAAACACAAGCTTCAAAGCTAGCTAGGGCCAACAGGTCAACACTTGAGGGTTTTTGAACAAATGGTAAATCTACATTGACCATTGTAACGTTGATCATATTATATAGCACATTAATTGGATGTTAGAAGTTTTGATCATTGTAACGTTGGAGCGTTTACACTCAGTGATGTCGTCATGGGAGGATTTTGCACATGATGGACTAGACGTACGCCAATCACATGAAAATGGACGTATGTCTTGCGAATCTCGGCTGAAGCGTTGCAAAGCCGATTAATTCTCCCTTCGGTATGCTTGAACTTAGCATTGAAATATCATGTCGCACGTGAGACATCCTTCAACACGTGACGCGTGATGGCGACAACCTATAACAGCGATTCTCTCCAAACGATATGTAACTTAACATTTGATCAAGCTACACTCATGTGGCCGCGCAATCGCATGATCTGCATATGCCGCGCACCAGAGGCGACGAAAATCTTCATCCATCCATCGCGGGTGCAATGGTCTTTCGGTTAAAAGTGCATTGAACCATCTTTACTTTCGCCCTTTGTGTAGTTTACCGAGGCTTTTCGATAATGCCTTTGCTCTTCAGTGTACCATCGGCTCGCGCCTGGCGCCTCAGCATAACTCCAATTCTTCACAACCTTCCGACGTAATTGACTTCGTATAGCAGGACGGTCCTACGACGTCTTGATGACGGTAAACCTCGTCGGATCGGACGCCCGATCAGTGCTCATGCTCCGAGCTTCTCAAGAATCACGTGCAGCAGCTCCGAAAATTCTTCCACCATAAAGTGGCCCCCGTTCTGTATCTCGTGATACTCACTCTTCAAGCCGTCTGCTACGGAACGCTGCTCGGCAATCGGGAGAAAGGGGTCGGTGGGTGACCCGAACTGCATCCAATAATCAGAAAGTATTATTATCCGAAAACCTTCTTCGCAGGACTCGGAGCGGATAAGAGAAGCCGGAAGCCTATCGGTCCCAGTCCTTCGAAAACCAGGCTTTTCCTTAATGTTTGGGGAATATAGATGCCGAGAGGGGTTCTTCTTTAGCGAAGAATGGTCAAAAACGATTCACGGCCCGGATTTGTAGCAGCTCGGAACAAGCCGATTGAAGAGCGAGTCTGATGTCTTCAAATCTCAATGAGCCCTACTTATCAACTATTGCATCCTCTCCGGAACAGGTGAAGAGAGGGCATACCAAAGCTTTGCCTGCGCTTGCACTTTGTCGAAGATTTTTGTGCGTCTGCTTTCTGCATAGTTGAAGTCCCGTTCTCACTGACACTTCGTCTTTCGACGATCCACCCGTTATGCACTGTGATTGATCTCATCAAGTGCCGGCGAACTACTCCCGCAGCAGTTTGATGAGGAGTCACGATAACGCTGGCTGTCTCACCTGGATGATCCAGCCTGCGTTACTGCGGATTTTCTCCCACTGCCATGGTCGATTGTAGTACCTGCGAGTGAGTCGGAATTACTGTGTTTATTTCTGAGAATCATTGAAAGAGTGATGACGCAAACGGCTTCGAGTATTGACAGAAGCCACGCCCAGAAAAGGTCAGTGTGTTTTGTTCTTGAGTCGGCTCACTGAGGCTGTCCTTCAGCGAAGAGGCCGTCCGTTAGCAAGACAATGGTTGGTAGTCAATCAGAACGCGCCGTTGTCCTTGCTTTGGTCTCAAGGATGTATTCTAAAGAAAATGTAAGCACATCCGGTCTGCCACAGCGGTTTTCGAAAACATCATTTGGTCTGGACGTTTTTCCAAAAAAGAAGCAAAACGCTTTTCGAAACCAATGAAGCAGGATTGCCTGCAAGGCCTTCGTCGCAGGCATGCAACTAAAAAACCTCATTTTCGCTCAAAAATCAAAACTTTTTCCTCCACACAAGACGGAGATGCGCACCCGCTTGCCCGCTCGTTGGCGTCTCCTAAATCCGTGATGCACGCTGACACGAGCACGAGGCCCCGCACGCGGGTTGACTCGCACAGGCGCATCCCGGCTTCGGCGCCCGAACTGTGGCCCACGACCACCGCTGCTTCGTCCGCGCCTAGTTCGTCCCGGATGAATGGCAGCCAAATGCTCTCCCTATATCGACAAAAAAGATTCAGGAGCCCGTCTAGGACTATATGTGAAGATGGAATCAGATGTCTCTGTAGTGAAGCCCAGCGAAAGAGTTGAACGGTCTTTGTTCTGAATCGGGCAGAACATTTCAACGAAGATCCTTGTCTCAGGAGGTTTGTTTTATGGATGGAAAGCACCGATGCAGGCAAAGCCACCAAGGATCAATCACTCAGAAGCAAACATGGCCCGGATTTGTTAAACCCTCATACTGTACACCTCATCACGAGAAGAACTTGGAGCGATCAAGCCAGATAACAAAAGGCTTTAGATGAATTAAACAATCATCGCAACGGCTCAGCCTGACTGGTGGGGTGTCCTTCCGCATGCTGCTATCAAGGGGAGCCCTGGCTAACGCCAGCGAAATCAACTGCATCAGGTCTTCATCTGTGCCACCTTCAACATAAATTAGCCAAATGGTTGCCTCTTGCTCAAAAGTCCAGTGTCTAGGCAGTGAATCTGCCCCTTCCTGTGGGTGCATCTGCAACAAAGAAAAACCCAAAGAGGTGTGACCACATTTTTAAGGAGAGGCGCTCACCTTGCGGTGTAAGGATCTGGCATGTCATGCAGCACAGGCTTGTGGCCGTGCTTCTTCAGCTGCTCCTCCAACCAGCCATACCAGTTGGCGTTCCTCACGTTGCCGCCCCCATTCCCTGGCACAATGATCACAGGCACTGCGGCCATACTCACATTAAGTGGCGTCGATACTGACAGACTTGCTCTAGAGGCCTTGGAATGAGTGAATTTTGGAGACCTATCTTTGGAGGTGATAGCTAAGGTTGTCACGGGGGCGCCAGCAGAAGCTTGCTTTTGGTTAATACGCACAATGCTGTACAACCTGTGAGTCAGAGCACAGCAATGCAATGTGGACATTGAGCGGTACCTCCGCCAACGACTACCTACAGCTCATACGCTCTACAGCAGCTAGCTTGCCTGTGAATCGCTACAACTTCTTCATCAGTGCTTAGACAGTGGTTACAGGGCGTCAAATTGCCCCGTGCAGCTCTGACAGCCTTGGGAAGGTTGGCAATTCCGTTTAAGATGACGACGATTCAGTAAAGTGTCACCAATCACTCAATAGCGCTGGTGGCAAAAATTGGAGTTGCTAGCTGCACATCGACTTTCACACAGCCTCGACAGAAGGAATCCGAAGCTGCAAACAAGAGAATTTTGCGCCAATTCTGATAAACGTACAGCTGCCAGCTGTTAATTGTTCCCTCGATTTGCAGAAAGGTACCAGAGGGATCACCCTATCATGTAGATAGAACGTCCATGGAAGTTGTGGTCTGCACAGCTACTATATACCTTTAATCAGGGCCTGGCGATCCAATTGAGGGCCAAAGACAGCGTTCTGTCCACATTGCTCCACAAGTTGGCCGTCTTCAAGCTCAGAGTCAAAGCACAGCATACCTAGATGCACTTGAGTACCGTAGCGCCAAGGGAATTCACCTGAAAATAATTATTTTGGGGTCAGGGTGAAAATTTTGAAACTATTTGGGATCGGAGGGTGAAATGGCGAAATGATAAATATTGGCAAAAGTAAGGTCAGACTGCTGAAATGTAGGGCAAAATCAGCCAAATAAACCAAATTCGCCCTTTTGTGTGAAATGTTGGAAAATATCCATTCCGCTTGGTGAAACCTAAAATCTTTCGTAATTAATTAATCGCACAAAAAGGTGGTGAATTCCCTTGGCGCTACGGTACATGCCCATGCCAGCATGCAAGGGCCTTCGTGCAATCAAATCCTTGCAGCAACTTCCAGGTCGTCCTGCGCGCTGTATAAACATTGTAGCGCAATTTGTTTGTTTGCATCTCGCCATGGCGCCGCTTCTGACCGGTTCTCTTTGACCGGCGAGAGATAAATAGCTACCGGTATCCTTCTTTACGACTGGATGCCGGTTCTTTGTGAAACGACCGCCGCTTTCCTCGAGCCGAAAATAATTTCCAATAATACATACAGGTGCGCGCAAAAAGCTGGGAGCGGGGCTTGCATTTCCACTCTAGCCTTAGACCTCAGGCTCAGGCTCTAGAGTCTAGGATTTCCATTCAGCTTTGCGTAAATCGAAGGCTCACAATATGGTTGTCTACCAGACTCTGACACAGGCAACTCGCCCTGCTTTGTTGAAACTTCTGAAGTTAGCTCCAAAAGCTGGCCCTGCTATCTTGCAGTAAATCCAAGGTGTGTAGTCTTCCAGCCACATTTGCCAGAAGACCCTCTCCGAGCTGAACAAATCGAACACTCAGCTCCCTGAAGTTATTCAATCCTGCAGGAGCTGAAGAACCATCTTCTGGCGGCCTCTTCCGCAATGGGCCCTGCTCCAGCAACAGCCGCGCTTCTGCTGCTTGCTATCCTTGCAACGCTGAGCTTCCAAAACGTCGCTGCCTTCAACCAAGCACGGGCCACCACTTCCGAATCATTGCATGACGTCACTCCTGAAGACTGCGTTCAAGGCGCCACCTCTCCCCTCTGGTCGCTGCAGAAGTATCTGTGGGGCTCCAAATGCGGGTCCAAGCTGAAACCCACGCTGGGTTCTGGGTCGTTAAATCCCGAGAAATCTAATAAGGAAATTCATCACAGAGCTGGCGCCAAAAGCAAGCTGGAAACGCACGCCAGCAACGTAACCTTGATGGCTCCTACTTCGGTGGGGAGTAAGGTGGTGAATGCGAATCTTGTTCTCGACACGGAGCGGCCCGTGAGCGTGACGGCTGATGAGTTTGTGTGCGTCACGATGGACTGGTGGTCGCAGGTGGGTTAGGGACACTATTTAATACCTTGACCCACTGCCTTTCATGAGCAACCTTGGTGATCAAGGGGCTCTTCGTCGTGACTCCCCAGATTGAAGGGCAGTCAACTAAAGATAGCGTATGCCTTCTTTCTCCCTGAGGAGCTGAGACACAGCAACCTTAATCGCCAGATGCTGGGTAGTTGCCAGGAAAGAGGAAGCGCTTTGAGCCTCTGTGGATTACGAGATTGTTTGTGTGCAAGAAACAAGTGGTACTTGGACACTCGTGTCTGTTTTGCTGGGAGTGGTGTCCTGCATATACTGATGTAGATGCAGGAACGTATTGAAATGGTGCGCAAAGAAACTGTTCTAAGGAGGAGTGCAGTGCCCGTACGCTTGCAGTTAGAGAGACACCACATGACGTCATCCCGTCCTATCATAAGTTACTGGGTTTGTTCATAGTGAGATATCCTTTTGCAGCATCGACACTCTGAATTCGCTTAGTGAAGGTCTGGTTTTGTCCCTGCAGGAAAAGTGTGACTACGGCGTCTGTTCTTGGGGAAACACGTCCGTACTTAGCCAGGTAAGCTCCTTCCCTGCCCTCAAAAGCAGTTTGGCAGATTATAGTTTGTCACTTCAATAGCTTTTGATTACATCTTTCGAGACTCCAACCAAATTTCCAACCGGGCAAGTAAGCAGCTTTGAAGCGACAGCCCATTGGATCTTGATGAGCTATCAGACAAACCGCCGCAAGTGAAGGTCAAAGCAGGAATTGCAACATGTGAGAGAAACTCGATCAGATGGGTATTTTTGCACCCGAATTAAAAGATTCGACTTTCTCCAAAATTCAAATCCCAAGACCTTGCACTTTCCCTCCGACTAACAGACTTTCGCAAGGTTCTTGACACAGCAGGGTCCAAAAGACCGTCGAGTAATTCGAGTACAACAGTCCTGGTCGATCACATCACTTAGTGCTTTTCGCTTCATTTTTCGAAGAGCCCTCTCCAAAACGATTAATATATCAAACCCTCCCAGAAACTGAATCAAAACCCCTCATCTCCATTCTGATTCGCGCAGAACCTCTCGAGCCCACTCCTACGAAACGCCCTGACGGCCCTCCACCCAGTATTCCGGATCGGGGGGTCGCTGCAAGACCATATTGTTTACAACACAAGTGCTGACGTCAAGTGCCGTCCGATGGTTCATAACGCCAGCGAAATATTCCGCTTTTCGGGGGGCTGTCTCAATCTGGATCGATGGGACGAGCTTTATGCGCTGGCAAACTCCAGTGGGTGAGGCTTTTGACCAATCTGCGCTCTGGCGGAAACGGTGTTTGCATCGGGTCCTTTGCTTTGATTCATTAGAGTAGCAACTTGAAGCATTGTAAAACGGTGCTACAAACAAGTTAAACAAAAGCTGCTTGTTTTGACTCAATCGAGTAGGAAGTTCAAGATTGACAGAATGGTGCTACACAATCCTAGACAAGAAACTGTACCTCGTATGACAAGAGCGGCCGCATAAACATCTTGCCTTTACGAACTTGAGCGGGTGAGGGTTCGTGGAGCATGAGCTGTTCCGCTACTACCAAGCTTCGGTCCTGTCTGAACGCGGAAGCTACTGGTCGCTTCTGAAAAACGATATTGACCAATACCGACGCCAATCAGCTCTTGTCACTCAGTTTTGTTCGGGCTTTCTCGCTTCGTCGCCCCCGCCCTTTTCCTTGCCGAAACTGGACACTCGTTCGGCCAAGATCTTTCCAATCAACTTCTCATTCAATGATTGTATTCAGCTGTTCGTCGAGCTCCGAGTTCGTAAACGGTTTGAAAGGCATGTTGCGGAACACCCTAAAATCACCATGTGACAGGAAGAAGTCTGTACTCACCGTAGTCACCACTTGTATGCTCTTCCTTAGCCCATTCCACACGAACCCATCTTCCTTGAAGTACGTTAAACAGATTCCGTTTGCAATTCATATTCCTTTCCGTTTTCCGTTTGCAGCGCCCAGCTAGTTTTCGGACTGAACGGCCTCTACGGACGCAACCGGACCGGGTGGTACACGTACGAGGGGGACTGGGACCCGAGCAACGCGCGCGCGTTTCTGGAGTACAGCATACGAAAAGGGTACGACCTCATGGGAGTGGAACTCGGTAGGTCAATCAGACTTAAGATTTACTTTCGATGGAACCCGCGCTCTGACAGTATCGATCTTCTTTTTGTTGTTTATTCGGACTCCATGCTTCAAAAAGAGTCAGTGCGAGAAGTATTCTGACAGTTTTGTCCTAGCACATTTCCGCTCGACAGGGCAAATGTGGCGGCCTCTATACCCTTGCTACTACACGACTCCGTCATACTGGATGACTTTTGCTCCTGCTTGTATCCAGCTGGCTTATCAGCAATCATCTGCTTAACATCTGCTGCCTTACCGGCGTTGTCCTTCTTCAATCACAACTAAATTCCTTAATCCTTATCTTTAACTCCTCAGACGCGAACTCTCTCGGACCTGTAGCCTTTCATAAACCCAGAGATCCGACACTGCTTTTAACAGGTACGAACTTTTCCGACCTGATTGTCCTCATCGCGGGCTCGAAATCGGCGATCTCAAAGCATTGCGACAAATATGCCCGAAGCCGTGCCGTTGAACCTTGCCCTTATCCTCCACTTGGGCTGCTCTCATAGCATATCTGAGTTTTATAACCTATGTTCAGGCAACGAGATCGGCGGGCCCAACGGCATCGCCGCAAAGCTGTCTCCTGCTCAGTACGCCCACGACCTGCGGACGCTTCGGACTCTTGTCGACGATTTGTACGCGTCCGATTCTCCGAGCCAGCTAGCGTGTCTCAGCAATACAGGTGCGACGATCTCCCTGTGTCTCGGTGTCCCATTTTAAGAGCGTTTCCGTTCCGCCCACTCGACCTTGATCGGCCGGAACGTATCGGCGTTTCCCCCCAAGCGCCGGATGCTTGGTCAAATTGGTCGAATTTCTTCTAAGTGACTCGCAATAGGTTGAAGGCAGCCAGCCAGGAGACCCGTGGGTTAAGGTTGGGAGTTACGGTGGGTGCGGTTGTGCGGTTCTGGAGCACGTAGAAATTGACTTGTGTCGCCAACGCAGCCCTTCTTGGAAAGTGAAGCCTTGAGGTCTACAACCTTAATTGCCCGGTCTCGCAGCACCCTGAAGGTTTCAAAGCAAGCCTCGGATCTTTACGACCTCAAATTCTAGAAGCAATGTAATCCTAGAGACCAGATTCCTAACTACAATGTCGTCCCCCTGGAAAGTTTCGTTTTCGAGGCAGGGATTGAGCAGGGGTTACCAGGGGGTTAGTCGCTCAAGTTTCGATCTCGATCAACCCGGTCAACTCGGTAAGGGTTTCGGCCAATAGGATCACGAACAAAAATGTCTTACCGTTTTGGAACATGTAACGCGAATAAGGGAGGCAAACACCTAGAACCCTAAATCTATCGTGGCAGGCCGCGTTGGCCCGCTGTGCGTGCGCAAGCCGCTGATCGTCGCGCCAGACAATATTGAGGTCGACAGCGCGTGGTTCCGGGAGTTCGTGCGGGACCTGCGGAACGGAACGCTGACGAACGGAACGCCGGGCAGCGGAACGTCAGTCGACGGAACAAGGGCTAACGGGACGCTGGGAAGCGGAGGACTGGTTACGAGAACGCTGGCGAACGGAACGGTGGTCAGCGCAACGCTAGAGAACGAAACGCGAGTGCTCGACGGCATATCGCACCACCTGTATTCGATGGGCGCAGGTGCAAGCCCGTGCTCGTCCCCCTCTTTCAGCATTTCTTTGCTTTGCATTGCCTTTTCTACTGTTTCTCCTTAAAGAAATAAAAAGGTAGGCCCCGAGTTGTTGGTGAGAGTTTGAGGGGAGGGGATGGATTTTACTTGAACGTTGAGGATGCCTACGGAGATCTCTAAGCTGACTGCACGGAATACGGGATCAGAACGAATTTCTTTCCGCGTAGAGATGTAACGAGCCCCGAAACTCAAGCAAAAGACTTTCGAAGACCTGATCTTCATGCCTCAGAGCCCACAGCAATCGGCAACCATTGGGCACGAAGCTACAAAAGTCAAACAACAATGACGTCACGTTTGCACGGGAACAGGCAGAGTTCTGAACCTCACGACGTAACAAATCCCAACATACTAAAACCATGCATCACATCAAGCGGACCACGAAACCTGAATCTCAAAGCGTGTACGTTCGGACCCCTGAACGCGCAGGCGTGGAACCGCGCGTGGACGCGCGCATGCTGGACCCCGCGTACCACGACAGCCTGCGCGAGATGTTTGTGCGCGCGCGCGCAGTTAAGGAAGCGGCGCCGCCCGGGACGCAGCTGTGGATGGGCGAGGCGGGGGGCGCGTTCAACTCGGGCCGGCCCGGCGCGAGCGACGCGTTCATGTCCGGGTTCTGGTGAGGGGGTGGCACAAATTGAAGCTTTTGAGACTTTTGAAACTGACTTCTGACTCCGACTCCTGGCTGTTGAGACCTTCTGATTACCCGACTGGTTCTCGGTTGCTTCTCCCGGCTTCTTTCCCAACCAAGCCCTTTCTCCGGGCACTCCCCCAAGATCTTCCACGAGCACAGCCGCTTTTTCCCGATCTCAATCTGCTCCCGGTTGCCTCCCGCGGCTTCTCTTCCATCTGCTCTTGTCAGAACCCGGGGAAGGAGGACGTGGACTCCGGTTTTCATTTTGGACCCCCCCATACCGGCTGGTACTCTGTGCGCGAGCCGTTGTATGACCAGATCTGCCTACAGTAACTCGTCATAACAGTTGGCAACGTAAGCCGTATGGTTCGCTGCGGACCGACCGACCGAGTCCTTCGGAAACCTGGCATGAAGGTCTGAGGAACCAAAAGAAAAGCGACCGGGTGATACGAAAAGTAATCACCCGTCTGAGTTGCGCGCGTACTGAGTATCAAGGGTGGGGTCCAGAAGCAGAAACTGGAGTCCAGGTTCTCCTTTCACGGGTTCTGTCAATGAACCCTTTTCCCGGTCACTCTTCCCAGGTTTCTGCACGAGCTGGGCTCCACCGCACGATACGGTTACGACGTGTACTGCCGCCAAACGCTCATCGGCGGGAACTACGGTCTTCTCCATAAAGACGCGCGCACTCCCGCGCCCGACTTGTGGGCCGCGATCCTGTTCAAGCGCCTTGTGGGGCCGCGCGTGCTCGCGGCGAACGTCTCCGCATGTGACATGCGCGCGTTCGCGCACTGCCTCAAGAATGACGTCAGGGTGCGGCGCCGTCTTTGCTGGTTTTCTTGATTACTTGTAGGTTTTGTTGATCACTTGTAGGACTTGAGCGAGAACCTTCGAAGGATTTGTGCGCATACAGGTGTGCGTCCGTTAGCCGGTGTCTTGCACGATCTTGGGGTCAGAACCGAATTACGTGTTCTACTTCTGAATCGATTACGTCCGGTGAATCCTTTCCAACAGTATGATCGAGAGGAAAGCGCCCAGACGCTCGAATTTATCCTGCATGAAGGAGGGGCGGCGTTTAGAGGTGCCAGGTTTACGAATCATCTCAAGATCATTGTTTCTTTCATGCCGGAATAGTTCTTGTAGATGCCAACTAAAAGGAGCAGGCGATTGACTGTGGTCCTCGTTTCAATGTTCCATGACATATATGTCTGCTGCGCAACACAATGCAAGGTCCCGAAACGAGACGGTCTTTGGTTCTTTCGCAGGGTGACGTCGCGCTGGTTCTGATCAATTACAGCAACGACACCACCTACCAACTGTCGCATTCACTTGGTAACGCGCGTAACGCTTCCGACGTTTTAGTCGAAGCACCCGGGGACGTCTCTCGGGAGGAGTACCACTTCACGCCCGGCGATGGCGGCAAACTGCACAGCAAGGCCTCGGTTCTGAACGGCGTCGAGCTGAGACCGTTCGATAACGGGACGCTCCCGGAGATGCTGCCACGTGTCGTTCGAGATCATCAGGAAGCGCTGCGGCTCGCGCCTTGGTCGTATGCTATTGTGGTGATGAGAGGGGTTAATGTGACGGCGTGCCACGTGTAGCTGCTCGCGAGGGGGCGCGCAACTAGAAAGGGGGAGAGAGTCGGTCTTTCTGTGTTTGCTCAAAGATGAGACGGTCGTGCTGCCCGCAATGGGTTGAGCCCACGACGAGCGAGCTTATGAAGCCTCGGAACCCGAGACGATGAACCAACTTTAGTAAAGGCTAGGGTATGCACACTCTGAGGGAGTGGTGCCACTTATTGAAACCAAAGTATCAATCAGTTTGATGGTAGAGATCAGAGCACAGCGACTCAGACATGGATGAACAGAAAGTGCTGGAGTTGGAGTGCGGCTGAGAATCCGGTAGGTCCCTGGTCGACGGGCATGTGCCAATCTATCTCTTAATTCGAATTGCTCAAAATTTCCGCAGAAACATGTGTTAAGCGTAAACATGATCTGGAAGCAGAGAAGGGGTGCAAAAGTCGGATTCTAAGGCTGCTGGCGCGGTGCATCATGAGGTCACTGGTTGAGGTTTCAAGCGGATCATGCACTGGCCATTTTGTTGGGCCTGGCAATCCACCCAGACTCATGCATGCCGCCATGGTTGGACCGGCGGCAGCGGTCCAGCTCAATCGTCCGGCAACATCCCGTTATAACGTATCTACCAAGTAGTCAAGTGCACATGGACGACAGCACTAGACGGTATATATAGTGGGGCCACGGACCATGTACGTATCCTAATTGCTCGATATATATGGCATGATCGAGCTCATTCATGCTGCCCGCGCGGAGCGCAATGCCAGGCCTCGCGTGAGTGTACAACACATGACAGGTCTAGGCTAAGGACCTGCAGGATTCCCACGCTATTAACGCCACATATTAAATCTTGCAGTAGTCAAATCGCGACGTACCATTTCTCGTGCACAACGATGCCATTGATGGGTGGTATGAGCGCCAGGAGAGATCGGACACCCACAGGACCACAAAGTGTTGCGCATTTCTAGAGGACGACGAGGCACGCAATTGCGGCACGTTCAAATGTATCCGGCCAAGCATGATTCCGATGATCTTGAGTCTGTGCTTAGTCAAGAGCATCCTGTCTACCTGTCCTCAACCAAAGCAAAGCGCTTTCTCGTTATTGTACAATACGAGAGCAGATTATTGCTTGAACGTGGCTATCAAATGCAATCTAATGTAGACTGCTCTAGTGTTCATGGTTTTCTTGCTGGCACTGCCTGAGCCCGCAGCCTTTTCCAATTCATCAACGCGTATTTTCCACTCGAAGACGGCCCAAGAACCACGACCAACATCTAACGCGGACGATCCACAACCTACCGACCATGAATGCGGCTCTGCGCGCAGTTTCGAAGTAAACCATATCGTCATCCCGAACGTCACTTTCTGACATAGATGGTGTAACCACAAGCCAATGCAGAAGACAGCCCGCAAGGCGCCCCCGCCGATCAAAAATATACACTCTACGGCCGTCATAAAGGGCCGCTCGACTCCCTGCGTTCCACCGTTTCTCCTTTTAATCGGCCCTCTAACCCTTGGTTCTCCTTCAGGATCGCCCGAAGGTCCTCGTCGACCTTTCCGGGGTCCAGCTTTCTCCGTTGCAAAGCCCGCACCTGCATGGATGAAGGATAGTAGCTGCTTGTGTTGGGCAGGCAGCATATTCTTGGCAATTGGATCCGCAGTCTCCGGCTGTGTACACAACATACACAACGGTCGGGCAGCGTGCTTCCCTTGCCGGGGCGGATGACCTCACTCCAAAGGCTTTCTGGTCATCAGGTCGATTTGCTTCCTCCGCTGAGATGAGGAAGCCAACAATCTCATCGACTCTGCTATCTCGCCCACGCCCGATTTGTTACACCATGAACAATATTCGAGCACCTGCTTATTCAGTCGGAGGCAGCGGCAATGGCAAAACCCGTTGCGCAAATATGGCAATGCATCTTTGCTGAAACCACAAGATGTTGGAAACTATGAGATGCCTGCACCACAACATACAACTCGCTATGTCAAAACAATCCATCGAGCTCACTTGTGCAAAATGGAGTATCAAACATCTCTGCTCACAGGGTCGATGGGACCCGACCTTCCTTTTGGTTAGAAGGAAAGGAACGCCAGACTAGAAGCAGCTCTGCAAAGCACTCCCCGTAATATTCGAACAATCGCCAAGCGCAAGCAAAAAGCCGAGTGCTTGGAAAGAAAGGAATGCTGTACCTTCGCCTCCATCTCGGCGACCTCCCGGCTGACTCTATCCCGTTCGGTAGTCGCCTCGACCAAGTCGCCAAATGACTGCACAAACGGGACCTGTGAAAGTTAGTGCTCAGGTCACACGTCAGGTGACTTCAGGTTCTTCCCTCAGCACGGTAAACAGTCTCTCCTAAACCCTTCCCTGGTTTTGAGGACGACTCTTGTTCTATGCAAAGCCTTACCTTCATTCTACCGCTTCAGCGCAGGATGGAATAGCTTCCCCAACATTCTGCGCGGAAGAGGCTGCAGGCTTCTGTTTGCTTGGAGGAAGCGGTTGCCCAATAAGCAGCTCTGAATGTCAGACTCCCCGCACCCAAAGACATCCTGAACTAAATTTGATCGAGAACAAGAAGCTGATCCTGCAAGTCATAAGCCGTACCTGGTGTATGGAACAGAGCACGCGGTATGCCGCCTTGCATGCCGCGTCCCTCTTCGCCTCTCTGCGAGGCAGAGCAAAAGGGGGTAATCAGTATGACTAACCGGGCACGCACGTATTTTAACGGAGAAGACGTCGGCACCTACATTCTGTTAACGCACGCAGGAGTTGCGGAACATTGCACAAACAGGAGCTAGCACTGACCTCGTCAATGAAATGAACGGCAAAGGGCATCAAGACTCATCATAAGCTCTGACGACGACACGATGAGCAAGTATCGAGCAAGTATAGAGCAAGATTTAGGCACCCATATGCCCCTCACCGGAAGACCTTTTCGTCCACTAGCGCGTACGTCCGGCGCAGCTTGTCTTGCTCCGTGTTGTTCTGCCGCTGCAGGTCACGGATGTCGGCGACTATCTGAAGCAAGAGCAACATCGGTGAGAACTTGATTGTAGTTGGCGGAACGGACGGATTCACGATATGTAATGATTTTGAACAATCAAAGACAAGGATGGCCCGCCAGACTGAAAAAACCAGGACAAAACTTGCGATTGGGAACCAAGCAGCGTGTCTCGCAACGTTGCAAACACCGCCGCCACGACCAACTCGTGTCCACTGGTCGTCATCGAGACTTAAGTTACGTACTGCGCTCCGCAGTTACGTGCTCAAAGCGAAGAGCACCATCGTTCATTGACAACGACTGATGATCGTCCAGAAACAACATCGTTTACTTTTGTTGTCGTTCCAAGCCCGTTATGCCCCCTTGTGCTACCAGAATTTAGGCATATGCAGCGTGAAAACTCCGTCGTGAAAGAGAGGGATCCCCTCAGAATGCTGATCTGGCCCCCCCAATCCATAGACCCTGCTCTAGTTGCGCCGCCCTGTTCTGCTCACCTTGGCAATGTCCGCATCCTGCTTCCGGACCTGCTTCACAATGTCCGAGATGCGCCGGACGTATGCAGCCCCCGGGGCGCCCTTTGGGGCGCCCTCCAGCTCCGCCAGCAGGGCGTCCTGCTGCCCCTCCTTGTCGAAAATGTCCGCCTCTAGTTCCCGGCACTCGGCGCGCAGTGCCCGCGTCTCCTCCTCACGTGCCTGCGTGAAAGCATGCGCCGTTTTCGTCAGCTTGTCGTTCTCCGAAGATGGCAGATGCCTGCTTGGCAATTGCGCAGCTGAGGCCGTCAAAAGTGCTCCGAGCACGTTCATAATTCAAGGCAGCTTGGGGCACAGGCGAGATGCCTAAAAGGACGTCTTCTCAGGTGCTAAACCTGCTGTTTGTGAAACGGGGGGGCAATTTCGCGGTGGTGACCAGCGTCAAGCTACTTCGCAACACAAGAACTCAAGAAAGTCACTGCCAGATGAAAGCTGCCTTCGCCCAAACGCATTTTGCACACTGCTTCTCTATTTACTTACCTTCATTGCTTCCCTCTCTTGCCCCCCCACGCCTCGTAGCTCTCCGCGCTGCGCTTCCAGTGGCCCCGCAAACGCCGCCCACTCCTCCTCGAGGCCCCGCTTCCGCTCGTGCGCCTTGTCGATCCACCGTTGCAGCTCTTCGGCAAGCTCCTCTACCTGCCAGATACAAGCCTGACGTCAGCCCGCGGGTGAGAGTTACGTCCGCGCGTCCGTCCACACTCCAACAGCGCAGGAACTCGTAAAGACTGGGATCCGCGACCACATGTCCCAAACTTTGGAGGTCTGAAATAGGATACTTTGGGTCAATTTCATATGAGTCCACTGAACTTTCTCTCCACCACCAACACCACCACACAGTCGTAAGACAACAGGAGGTGGAGAAATCTTGAAGGAGGCACTTGCAGACTTCCGGCTTTGGAAGGGTATGCTTTCAAGGTTACACTGGCGACTTCTCGCGTTTCACAAAGATCACCTTACCAAATTCGAACATTCACACTTTTTGAATCTCAGGCCTTAACTTGTCCAAAGAGAACTCAGTATCGTACTCACGTTGCCTCCCCGTTCCAAGAGGACCCCCGCCGTCTCCTTGCGCAGGACATACTCCTCCTCTAACCGGACCGTCTCCTCTTCGAGTGCCTCGGCCTCCTCACCCAACCGCCGGTACTCGAGCTCGAGTTCCCCCATGCGGTCCTGGAGGGCAGTCAGCGCCGCTGCGCCGCTCTCATACCGCTCCTGCGCGTAAATCCTTCAATCACTCAGCTTCTTGCATCTTAAAGGCTAGGGTCGAGAGTTTCACGATTGTCGTTCTTGTCAACATGATCCACGCAGAGAAGTTTGGCAGGAGACAAAAGCAGGCTTTTGTCCTAGCGGCACTACGCCGCCCTCATACGGCTCCTGCCTGTCAAATCCGTCAATCACTCAGTTCCATTGCATCTTAAAGGCTATGGTTGAGGATCTCCTCACCGATTGAAGCTTGATTGAACACAGCGGTGAGCTTGCATTCATTCCTGCTTACTTTGGAAAGCGAAGCTGCAGGTCCGTTAATTAGGCTCCAACAGATCCGCGAAGTTCGTCTAGACATCGGCTTTGTCAGTACTTGCACGAACAAACATTCTCAAGCTCGTCAACCACGGTTCTAATTGCTGCTTTCTGTGATCAGGCGCATATTCTGAAGGCAGAACCTGAGCCGCTCGAAAACAGATCTCAAGCGAATTGAACCATTCCATCAGCATAAATGCCCCAATCAGCAGCTACTCCCATTCTCCTCTGTGCCTCACCTGAAGCGCGAGCATCTCCGCATCGCCCTCCCCTCCTTCTTCCGCTGCTCCGTCCTCCAATCTCATCTCTTCCACCCCCTTCTGCGCAGCCTCCACCTCCCCGCTTTCTGCCCCCCCCGGCACATGCTGTGGTCGCACCCCCGCAAAGCCCTTGCTCCCAAACACGTAGATTCCCTTTTGTTTATTCATTCCGATCGCGAGCGGCTGCGACCGATGCGGCACCACCAGCTTCCCGCCAGCGTGTTTGCCGCCGGGAAGAGGGGCTGACGTGGCACTATTGGAGTTGAGAGCAGAGAGGAAGCGAGAGGCGACGCGGCTGCCGCTGCGCGCTCCAGATGCGGAGCTTCGGCTGGCGGCGAGCTTCTCAACCAGGAAGCGGACGAGGTTGCGGGTGTCAGATTCGGACGGGTAGAGGAACTGCGGAATAGGGAAAGGTGCGGGGTTTGACGATGCTACTCGGATGCAACTGGCGGCTCATGGCACTATATTGAACCAGACGGGTTGATTTGAATGTAAGCGAATGTAAGCGGAAGAAGTGCGCGCTTATGGCAACAGAACAAGCTGAAGAAGCCGAAGCAAATGTCAGTGCGCTTGACACACCGCTTTCCAATTGAACTATTTTACAACCTTTTCAAAACGTCTGTACGTACGGACGGCAGAAACGGAACTTCTATCAGTTGTCTGTGGATCAAGCTGGCACCATCCGGCACTCCACCAGCTCAGATCGTTGCAAAGAAGCGAAAACTCCGTCCTTGCTTTTCAAAGCTCACCTGTTGAAAGCTGAGCTCGCCACGATAACCCAGCTGCTGCATCTTCACCGCCAAATCCGCACACACCCGAAATCTCGCCGCCATGTCTTTTGGCAGCCCTTGTGGAGCGCTCTCCACTGAACCTTCCTTCCCAGACCCCTCGATCTGCCGCACGCTGTGCTGGCAGATGGTGACAATATCCCCCGTAGACAGGTCCCCGAGCGACGTCGCATCGTCGCGAACCGCACACCCCGCTTGCCGGAGTGACGTCAGCAGGATCTGATCCGCATCCTCCATTGCTTATAGACTCCAAGCTGGAAGGAAGGACGGTGCCGTCAGTGACTCTGTTTGAGGATGTTGTTTACGGTTTGCTTAAAGGTTTGAATGATCCAGGCTATTGGGTTCTGAACCCTCTTCCTTCAGGAACAAGTTGATTGAGAAACAATGTGACACCGAAAGCTTTAGAATCGATATGAGGCAAAGACGACTTCGTTCCAGAAACACCTAGTATTCTTCATTTGGATACAATTGACGAGAATCTTCTGCAAAAACAGGGCGTCACCTTCCGGTTTTTGTATTGCGTGCTTTTTTGTAGAGACAGCCTCTCAGGACTTTGCAGGCTGGCCAGCGTTCTTTCCAAAGGACTGGACAAATGCTTGGGACAGCTCTTCATACAGCTTCATCACCTGCATATACAAATAATGCCAAGGCTTGCCACTTTCACTTTCGCCATCTCCTTTCTCTTTGTTCGCTTTTCCATGCCGAATTGACTCCAGAATCAGCTGCTGACTGGCAAGTAGATCGGATTTTAAACTCCAGAGGAACACTGGCTTTGTTCCCTCAGAAATGGACGAGAGACTCAATTCACACCGATGTGTCAACTTGGTACTCAAAAGTTGCACTTTGCCATCGTTACATACTCAAAGAACATGCACTTCAACTTCAACTTCTTCGTTTAGTATGAAAGTTTAGGGCTCAAATTTCACATGCTCTGCTTCATCTATTTCATTGGCTGGATTCTCAACCTGTGCTTCTCCCACTCAGGAGCTCATTTGAATCAACTTGGACATTGAGTACCAGTCAAAACAAATGGTTCCACAAGCCTGCACCACAATGTGAGACACCAAGCGCCGGCAGGGAGACAAAGAAAACCTCAACCGGACGAGGTGCTTACCTTGGTTACATTCTCATTGAGCTCCCGAATGAGTTGCACATTGCGAGTAAGTCCTTCTGGTCGCCTCCTGCATTGATATATGATGGGAGCAAAATTAGCTCGAAAATAAAGAAAGAAACAGGCTTGATCTTGCAACCGGCCCCTTTTCGTGCAGAGTGGTAGTCCCTAGAGGCTGTTCCCCAGCATGCTATGGTCTGACGGCAGCAATGAGAACTCATGTCATTTATCTGGTAAGAAGGATCTTATGGAAAGGCCCAGATTGAGTAGGTGATCAACTAAGTAATTGTGCAGGTTTTCCCAAGATCTCCGTTCGGTCGAATCTAACATTGCTTTTGCCGTCTTACATTCTGAAGTCTCAGGAACCCTGACAAGCCACCATCTCATGAAAGTTTGTTTCAACGAGTGGGCACAGTTGCACAAACAGACTAACTTCTGTCTTTGTGACTCACAACAACCTTGTCCCACTGCGATATGAAACAATTGCGATGACAGGCACTGAAAAGCAATTAAGTGTGGACAGAGGCTACTAAGAGCCCAGCCTCCGAATGCACCCCTCTACATACATACCACCTCAAGTTATACAATTTTCCAAAGACAATCAGGAACCTCATTTCTATTTAAAACAGAATGATTAGGATTTACTTGTGTAGGCACAATCAGACATATTGTTGACCGCAAAACAGGCCTTCTCTTTTCCGTGCACTCACCTCTCATGGTTCAGGTTTATCTCGTTGATGAGCAACTTGTTGTGGTCAAGAATTGCTTGAACGATGATGAATTTCTCAAACCCAGGCCATTCATGAGGGTCGAACACCGGACATGGCCCGGTGTCCAAGTCCATCTTTGCTAGTCCCTCTTGGTGGTTTTCATCTGCCTGGCTAAATCAATGCTTGACAGAGGAACCTGCAGCCTGCAAACTACTTTGTAACTCCCTACCTGCCTCTTTCGCTTCTAAACTTTTAATGGGAAAACTTTCCTCGAAAACAGGTTGCATGCACCTGCAGGGAGCGCTTCGCTTTCACCTATTGCACAAGGTATGAACCGCCGGGTGCTTGCGCAACTTCGCGCTCTACTCTCTTCCGAGGAATTTGCCGCTGGCAAACTCAGGGCTTCTGAATCTTAGGGTTCTGGCTACAAGCACGCCACCACGAAATGATGCCTCATGTGTCCCTCCTGCGCCCAAGAAAACTCTCCGCCAGCTCAGGGACTGAGAGCTTCCAGTCAGGAATGAGGATGAGATGAGATGGAGGGAAAAGTCTGCAACCTGCCACGTCACAATCTGTCAATACAGTGACCGTTCGATTTGTGGAAGTGTAGGGTCTTGCTCATCGGGCGGTGCGGAATCAATGATGGGAATATCTAATAGCCAACAGGCTCTTGTCGGGTGTCGACTCTGGCTACTCTAGTTCCTAGCACAGGCCCAAGCTTGCTGTCCCACAAGAAAAACTGCACTTCCAAGCACCACCACTGCCAGAAGGGAGGGCGGGCGATCAGCGGAGGAGTCAATCAAGCAGGTCTGTGGAGGGTCGGACAGAAGGATTGAAAGGATAAGCTTGCTCCAATACGTATCTCAGAGGTGACTGCGTATATGTACAAGTGTCAATGAGTGGGAGGCGTGCCCTGGCAGGTGCTCTGGATTTACGCAGCTTCATTCTGAGAAGCCAAGTTCTGGGCCTATACAGAGATGCCCTGCGGGCAGCTCGACAAGCCCCACTAGAGAGCAGAGGTAGGTGGACAACCATGCTCCCTCTAACCCTCTAAGAGGGAGTTTATTGAACTTTTTGTTGGATGCATTTTTTCAACCACCACCTGCTTAACATGAAGCTCTTGAAGCCGACACAATCCAAGCTGATCTGCTCGTCGAATGAACACCAGCATCAAGCACTCTCTCATGGTATTGCCGAGTGTGCTCACTCATGTTGCGTGTTAAGTGACAGGTCGCTTTGAGGCTTGCTAGAAAAGGCACATGAGTTCAAACATGATGCCCCGACAGCGAGGCCTCCAACTCAATGAGCAACTATATCTGCACTGCTCTCCTCTCTTAAGCCTTCGTTTGGTACTTGGTCTTGAATTTGGGCAGAATCCTATCAAAGTTGTTGATTGGAACACTCCCAATTCTGCGGTGCAGCGGAACTTCGCCAGCAGGTCCGCAACGAGTTTGAGACATTTCGCCACGAGAGGGATCCCCAGGCCATCCGCTTTTTTCTGAGCGACGGCCTGCAGAAGCTGAAAGACCTTAAGGGAATGCTTAGTCAGATGGGTTGAGGCTGATAGGCACACAGCGGCCAGATCAAAGGACTTGAACCATTAGGGGGGTCCTACTTCGAAAGAAGTAGATGCGGGATTGGGGCAAGTGAAGCGCACGGGCTCCTAGGAGGGAGTCCGGGAAGGAGTCTGGCTAAGGATTTGGGGGGCCGGGCCAATTCAACCAAAGGCAACGGGATCCCAAATGGTGGTTTTGGGAGAATAATCAGAGCAATCTGAGACGATGGGGACAAATTTTAAGCGATCGTGGGGTGAGTGATCAGCTCCTTGGATCATGGATTTACGATCGGTTGTAAGCAGATGATTAGGAACCACAGCCTTTTCGTCTGACGTGCAGACGTAGAAGTCTTGGAAAAGACAAGGGTCTGCCTTATTAAGTGGCCTTGTGCACCGAAGGCGCAGGCTTAACATGTTAGCGAAACAGCAGTCCTGCGAAGTGTTGTTGTATGGACTTAAAAGTGGCGCAAAATCCCGTGGCCGATTCAGAGATGGATGTGTGCGCTTTCTTCCAGGCGAAAAGGTCTCACACAAGTCATCAAGTTTGCACCTCTCCAAACCGAATTCGTGCACTGCTGCAGGTCTCCTTTTATGATTGGACACCTTGAAGCAGAAGACATGATCAAACCGGCTCGCAAGGTAAAAACTTAGGAATCATTGAGGTGAGCTTCAAGTGTGGGCCTTATTCTGGTGACCCATAAAAACGTGCAATACCTCGAATCATTCTGGGCCCAAATAGCTTAGGGGCTTCCAATCAGATTTAGGACCTTGTGAGGTGGTCCTTTCAGAATCGAAAGGAGCACAGAAGTGGTTGCAATGTTTACGTTGATTTGTAGATGGTATTGGCAAGCTGAACTTGAAAACCTCTTCGGTAGTCATGAGAAGCACCGACTTTCAAATGACACGTTTCTTTTGGTCTGGCGTATGTTCCTCTCTGGGTGTCGAATTGTTTTTCAAGTTCAAGGTGGAACTGTACTCATCTTAACACAGGCATAGCCTTTCTGTACTGCCTGCTGTCCTACTTGTGCCATACTTTTAGTTTCCATTTGTTGGAGAGTTGCACCATGTGCATGCAGGCTGCAAAGCGCAACCTCCGCCACCGCGCTCCGTGCCCGCGAAGTGCTGCGCCGGTGGGGCTGGCCTCACCAATGCCATGTTTAGAGCCTGTGGCCCTAGCTTGCGCTAGCCAGCTCGGGGTGGGACGCACTGAAGCAGATACCTCATCATACACGTGCAGGCTGGCTAATCTTAGCTAGCCGCCTCATGCACTTTTCAACGAGAATGCATGCTGGCAGGTCTGTGATCCTTGATGTGTGCGCGCGTGATCTAATCTAGTAACCGGCAGCAGCGGCATATGAATTGCTTGGATCACAGACCTAGCGTTTTACTTCGTTCAAGACAACGTAGTCACAGTCAAGTTACTCGAATTGATCAATCCGGTAAGCCACAACTGCACATGTGGGCGCGCTGCAGTGCCATGTCGCCTCAGAGCATGGTCGAGACTAGCTTAACTCCATAAATCCTGGCGGCCGCGCTGCCTCTCCTGCATGGCCCATGCGCGGCGCCGAGGCGGCCCCCTACTGTAGCTGCATCATGCAAGATCGACGCGCATGTCGGATATGCTGCACACTCAGTACACGTCGTGCACGTGCTGGCCCGCGCATGTGGCAAACATATATGCGCTGAGTGTGCATGCACAGGCGGCCCGGCCGCCCGGTCCTTTATCGACGACGCGTCTAGTATATGCCTAAACTTAATATAATAATGCATATGACAATTATCCAACAGCGTGCAACTGAGAGGTAATCTTGTGTATCATATGTAGGACGCATTTCACATGATAGTTTGGATGGGATCATGAGCCACTGAACTCACATAGTTTCGCACGTGAACATGCTGCTATTTATGTATTTGATTCCTTGAGTGATTGAACTGTGTATCGGGTGGGCCGTTCCAGCTCCTTATATTGTGATTCTCGATTCAAATATTTCAAACTTTTGGACCAGTTGAATCCGGAGTGAGCATGTCCGACTGTATTTCAAGCTCCGCAAATCTAAAGGAGGCATAAGCCTGCCAACATGGCGGTTTGATCAAATCTTGCTGCATCACTATTCTACAACACAACAGCGGCCTTATTACTTATTTTGGCACTGTAATAGACTAACGAGACAGCTTTTCAAAGATGTGTAAGGAAGTTGCTCGCTAGCAACAACCTCATGTAAGAGCGTCCTTTTACCTTTCTGCGTTATTCGTCCAGCACAACTTTGCAACCGGCGGACCCTCATCGCATCAGCTGGACGACTTTTTCAAGCGCTTCCTCAGCATGCTTGTTGACGTCTCTCCCCCTGGCGCCGCTTTCCCTCCGCAGGCTGCGAAGGGATCCCTCCAACTTAGGCAACGCATCGGCAGACCGCAGCGCAGCAACCACCCGCTGGTCGTTGTACGCGAGCGCCCAGAGAGCGGAGGCGGCCAGCGCCTGCTCGCGCATAACAGCACTTTTTGGCGTGCGCGCGCCGTTGGTGCCAGCTGGGGCGGCGTCCGTGACAGCTGTCAGCAGGACGGGAAGCGCGCGGGGGCTCGAAAGGAAGTGGACCTTGTTCTCGTGGGCGAAGGCCAGGTTGCGGAGCAGGAGCAGCGCGGAAGCGGCAGTCGATCCGGGGCTGGAGGCAGCGATGTCGAGCACCTGGGAAAGCAGGACCGCAAAAGATTGAAATGGCTGGGGAGGCTGAAGGACAGTACAATATTGTGTCGCTACCGTGTATCTTTCAACGTCAAAATATCGACGATTCACATTTGTTCTAAAATTAGCGCGCTGTGCCCCTGTTCAATTTGAACCGAATCCGAAACTCAGTTCAATCGCACTTGGACTGCCCGAGGCTGGAGGTTGAAGACTTGACCTAGTCAAGATCCGACGGCTGCGACATATTTTCGGCCCTCGTGAATTCTTGTGATGAGCTGTAGGAAAGAGGGGAGCGGAAAATAACTTGGAAAGCTTCCGTTCCTGACAAGATGCAATGATGCTGACATACAGTCATCCGAGCTTTGGTGGAATGCTGAAACTCGCCAAAGTAGTTGAGATAGTCGACAAACACCTAACAGGTTTGGTCACCAGAGAATCAAATGCTGACGAAAGCGGACACGCGAGCGGACTGGAAAGATGCTCAAGGCGCGGCACCTTTCCAAGCGGTAACAAAGAAAACCTGTAGTACTTTCAGAGCTTCTTGGGCCTGCGAATGATCCGCTCAAAGCCTTGTCTACTTGCTTATCGCAGAAAAGTCAGCTCAAGGATCTTTCACAAGGATAAGCAAGAACTCTCACAAATACAAGCAAGATATCCGACGATCCAAGCCTCCTGGCTCGACTCCCTCACCAGATCAAAGAGCCCCGACAACGCCAGCGACTTGAGCAGCGCCCTCTGCCCGTCGGAAAAGGCCGCAAGATTGGCGAGGACGTTCAGGATTGCATCCTGTAAGAACAAGCAGCAGATTTTGCTTTCTGTCGCGCCGTGCTGATATCAGAGTGCTTCAACGCGTCGTAAAAGGCACTCGGCGGTTCGTCGGCTTTTGCTAGTCACGAATAGCTGCAGTCCTCGACATCGACATATGACAATGAAACTGTGTTGCAACAAGCGCGCCTCCAAAACCGCCAATCGTTTTTCTGGGTCTCACTTCTACCCTCTCTCTAAGACTGCCTCCCATAGAGCACAAGGTCTCCGAGGCCGCACAACATTGCAGCTGAGTTTGCGTTTCGTGGCTAGAGGCAGCGACACGCCGGCGTCACCCTGACGTCACGCACCTGCTTCTGGAGATCTTTTGTGGCAACCGCCCGTTGAAGCGTCTGGTGTGCGTCGATGAGGAAGGACGTTCGAAGGAGGGCGGTGCGCGGCTCGGGGCTCATGACCAGGCTCTGCATGAGCTGCATGGCGACCAGGAACAGGGGGCCGCCCAACGACGGTCGCCCCAGCAGCTTCACCACGCCGAGCATCACCAGGCCCTGAGAGCAAGGGAGTGGAATACGCTTGTGAGGAAGCGGCACGCTAGAAACGAATCCAAAGATAATGAATAAGGATTGGGTTGCTTTTCTGATAAATAATCCGGCGCTGCGCTGCGAAAAAATAACAAAGCCCGGACGACCAGCAAGGGATCCTCCGTTCGACCTGTCCAGACTGCCACATTTCCGCTGAGGTGAGACCATGAAGAAGTAAGTGAGGGTTGGCCCGGCAGAAAGGATCTGATGCCTCTCGCAGCGGGTGACATCAAGACAATAAGCGCAGGTAAATCACTGAGTAAATCAGGAACGTAACTATCAGTGATTGGCAGTGATAGCGCGTATGCCGCAGGGCATCATTTTACTGCAAGGAGAGCACTTGCGTTTGGACGTTCAAGTCGTTTCCCGGGGCTAAAACGAGGTCGCAGGCAACGCAAACAGTTCTTTTAGAAGACGCTAAGTGGTCAACATCCATTTTTCGCCGAAGAATGGGAGCGTGGTGGGAATGCCCACCTTGTTGACGGTCGCTTTGCCACCGCCACCCCCGATGATCGGCTGGCCTTCAAGCGCGATCGCCCGCCTGGCGACCTCGCTGACTGCCGCCAGGTTACAGAGGACGCCGAGAATCTCGTGCAAGACCTGATATGGGCCCAGAAGAAGGGTTGACTAAGCAGCTCGAATAGCAAGAATCGGCCAGGGTGGGCGAATAGCTTTTGGTAGGAGTCAGGCTCTCGAAAGTGGAGAAAAGATCGTGAAGAGAGAGTTCTTTTGCTCTCGAGAACCGGCAATGCGTGTGGAAAGGTGATCGGACGGAAGGCGGCAAAATTGATGACGAAAGTGACGGAAATGGCACTTACGGCACCCTCCGCCTGCGCGTAGTTCCACGTGTCCCGCACCAGCGTGAGCGCGCCCGCGTCCAAAATCGCCTCCGCCGCCTCGGCGCTGCCGTACGCCAGGTGCTTCAGCAGGCTCAGCGACAGCAGCAAGTCCTCCAGCAAGGCGCCTGACGTCACGTCTGACGTCACCTTCTCGCCGCCCGCCCCCTCGGCAACCGCTCCGCTCTGCGGCCTAGAAGATGTCCCATCCGGTTCGGTTTCCGAGGGCCTTGCAAACGGTGGGTCCGCCCGTTTCCGCTGCGGCGCCCGCTGCGCGCCGTGCGGGACGGGGCCTTTCTTCCGGGGCCCTGCTGACGTCACCGTGACGACGGCGCCCTCGCGCCGGTGCTGACGTAGCGCGCCCTGGTTGGGCAGTGGCAGGTGCAGGCTCTCCAGCCGCAGCAGCGCCTGGGTGTCGCGTGCGTTCTCGAGCAGCGTCGCCGGGAAGGCATTTTCCGACGCGCGCGCTTTCGCGCCCTTGCTGAAGGCGACGAGTGCACGGAGGGCCCCGCCGACAGCCGCGAAGGCTTCGGAGCAAGATAGTAATTCGGACGATTTGCCCAAAGACAGGGCCTCGATTCGTCGGCGGCGGACCTCGCGGTATAACGGAAGTAGACCGTCGAAAAGCGCTCCGCCTAGTCCGTTATCGCCGTCAAATTGCGGAGACCTTTTAGCTGCCGTTTCCTCTGTGCCGCCGGAATCAGCTCCGCCATTCCGGGGCCCACCGGAATCCGGCGCCCCTGAGCCGCTGTCTGTTTCCTTACCCAACAGCTTCGCCGCTGCTGGGCCGTCTGTGAGGAGCGAAGCGACCAGGCGACAGACGGCAAGCTCTAGTCCGCTCACAGGGGTCACGTCGTCTTTCTTTCCCCCATTCCCGTTCCGCTCTGCCGCTTTCCGCGCCCCTTCCGCCCCCTCTTCTTCATCCGTCAACAACTCGGCCGTCGCCGCAACGACCTTCCTCAAGGCGCTCTCGCTCGGCCACGTGTCACTTTTACAGAACAACCCCGAACTCGCACTCGTCGAAGCCTTCCAGTAGCTAGCAGCACTCAGCGCCGAAGCTAGACTCTCCAAAGCGACCGCCCGTTCTCGCTCTAGCAACCACTTCTCTTTCGACATCGAAGCCTCTACCTCAGTGGGCCACTTCTTGCCCATCTTCGATACGGCGCAGAACGATTCCGCCAGAGCAGGCACCGCACCGAGCCTACCCATCAGCATCGCCCTGTGACGTTCCGACACGTGTCCCACCCTCGCCACAACCTCAGCCACGTGCCCGGCCGACGCCACCCGATCGAGAAGGCCGGACATCCCCAGAACCCTGCCCTCAAAACCAGTACTTTCGCAAAGAGCCTCCTGCGCTTTGCCGACCGTTGGGACTTTCAGCAACTGAAGCAACCGGGGCCACATGGCCGGGACCTCCAAGACGTCAAGCAGCGCCTCTGACGTCAGCGCCGCGAGCAATGACGTCAGCGCGCGCAAGAATCCCGCGGTCGCGTCCTTCTCGAGGACTAGCCCCGGGAGCCTCTCCCAGAACCCCTCCCGGCGCAGGGCTGACTCTAAGCCCAAGCCGCCCCCCCGTTCCGGAACGCCGCTTAAGAAGCTGGCCTCGTCTCTGTCTAGCGCGCCCTCCGAAATCTCTGTAAGCGGGGCTGACGTCAGAGGTGCGCGTTCGTCGTGCAGTTCTTCCGGCCCCGCTCCTTCGGCGTGTGGCTGCTCTGGTGCAGCTGACGCCACTTCCACGTCATCCTCGTTTCCCCGGTTGGAGTCCCCGGAACCCTCCGCAGCCTGGGCCGTTCTTTCCTCCCCGGTTAAGACCCCCCCCACCGAGTGGTCACTTCTTTCCGCCCTCCCCGCCATAGCGATGAATTGCAGCGCCTCCTGCCGGACCGCGTAACACTCCCGCACATCCAGGGCCGCTTTCGCGGCCACGTGGGCGACCTCCGGCCAATAGGAACCCAGCATGTGCCGCGTTCCCGGCGCCTCTTCGGACGCCGCGCTCGCGAGCAGCGCGAACGCGGACGCCCGGACGGAAGCCTCGTGGTCGCGGCCGAGGCGCGACAGCCAGAACGTCGCGCCAGTGCGCGCCCAGCCGCGGTCCCAAAAACGGGGCCCGGCAGAAACCGTTACCGCTCGGAGGGCCAAGAGGCCCTGTTTCAGGAGCGCACGCCGCGGCGGGGGCGCATCGTCCTTCGGCTGGCCCGAAAGAGAGATGACTAGGTTAACCAGGGGGATAACCGATTCGCAAACCTGCTTCTGCAAGGCCTCCGAAGCACGGGAATGAGGGACTAGGGCGGCCGTCGCTTCGAGGCCCCGTAAAGCGAGGCATCGCATGCCCATCGGGCTGCGCTCGGAGCGCGCTATGGCGACCAGCCGTTCTACGAAGCCCGTCGAGATCAAAAGCGCCTCGCAGACCTGTGCTGCCACGTGGCGGCTGCCCTGGCCCCCTGCCGACGTCAGCAGCTCGACAACAAACTCGAGCAGGCGCTCTGAGAAAGGGGGGGCAGCTTCCCAGTCTGAACCGGACCCCCTGCCGGAACGCAAACCGCCCTTTCCCTCTCGCCGGCGAGCCTCTGTTTCTGATTCACGCCTGAGACCGTTCACTTCTCCTTCTCCCCAGCTTCTTGCCAGGAGAGGAATCGAGACGTCCCTCGCTATTCTAGCGAGCAGCAGTAGTCCTCCGGAAGGCATTGCCCCCAAACGTAGCATGGTGAGAATGTGGTTAAGAACTAGACAAGCGAGCGACTGGTCCTCTTCGCTGATGGGGGGGACCGAGAGGAAGCGTTGCAGGGCGGGGGGCCATGGGGCTTGGGCCAGGAGACGGGCACGGAGGGGGTGTTGGATGACGTGGAGGGAAAGGGAGGCGAGGGCGCGCCGGCAGTCGTCGTGAGACTGTAAGAAAGAAGGAGGGAGCTGGAGTCGAGTGGGCTCAGATTAGACAATCAGGGATGCCCAAGACGGGGGACCCACTTGAAGGTGCGACTCCAAACAATGAGATGATCGACTTCGGACACTTCTTCGACGACCGCAGCGTGGACCGCATTGGTGGCATGCCTTTGCGGCGAAAGGGTTACACATAATCCTGCATTATCGACAGGTAACATGCGATTCTGCAACTGAACGGACTTTCGCGCACCTTAGCAGATCTCTCTGAGTTGGGCAACTAGTTTGCGGCTGCCAAATGTCCAAAGAGGTCTACGTATCAGACCTCGGACCGGAATTCAGGGGCAGACGGGAGGAGACCATCTGGTTGAGAAGACGCACCGTTTCGGATGAAAGTGAGGGAAAGTGTGAACAGGTTATGCGCAACAAACTAACCTGCGCTTCCTGATTCTGTCGCAGAATAGTGTCAAACACTTTTTCGGGTAGCAGTCCCGGGACGGCCGCCCATGCCTGTCGCTCCACCAGCGAAAGGTCGCCGCCCGCCCCCCTCTTCCGCTCCACTTTCTCCCACGCCGGAATCGGGCCGTCTTCTAGTAGCCTCATCTGCTCCAAGAGCCGCTTCACTTTCTGAAGCTCCGGCCTTTCGCCGTTATCTTCCGGCAGCGATCCGGCCACTCGGGCGGGAACTACCGGGCAGGGAAATGCGAAGCTCGCCAGCAAAGGGAGAGGCACCGGCGTCCTCGGTTCAGAGTCCCCGATCGCTTCCGAGGCTGCCGGAGGTATATGTACAGTGACCGGGACACTTGTCCCGGCGGAGCCCAGTGACGTCAGCAACTCGTCGGCCGAGAAGAGGAGCGCCGTCAGCAGGGCCCCTAGCTCGCGGCGCACCTCGACCGTCGGATGGAAGACCAGGGGAAGGAGCGGGTGGATCCTGGCCGTCGGATCGCCCAGCAACCATTTCCGTGCCGGTTTGGAGCTCGAAAGGCGCGCGAGCAAACCCAAAGCCGAGAGCCCAAACCCACCAGACCCTCGCTCTTCTCCCCGCACTTCTCGCTCCGCTAGTTCTAGGCAGTCGAGCGGCGACCCCCAGTCCTGCGCCCACTTGAGCGTCTCGCCCACCAGAAGCTCTAGCAGCCGTTCGTCTTCTGCGAGGAGCGTCTCCAGCCGTCGATCTGCGGTACTCGCGCGGAGCTGCTCCAATGCAGAACGTCGGATGGCGTCCTCGACGTGCGGCGACCGTACGATCGCCAGCAACGACTCGGCGTCACGCCTTGTTGCCGCGGGGAGCTCCCGAGCGGGGACCGTTTCCACAACTTCCGTACTGACGTCATCTCCTAGAGCTTGCACGTCGACCAGCAGATCACGGAATGGATCGCTGACGTCTTCTGATCCGTCTTCGGCTAGACCACCGCCCAGCAAAAGCCCTGAGAGCCCCTCCCCTAGCTCTTTCAGACTGTCCCTTACATCCGCCGAGCTTTCTGCACGCACCGCCGGGTTCTTGGACAACAACCCCATCAACTTCCACCGCAACTCCTCCCACTCCAGTTCCTGCCACGTGGCCCCCTGAATCCCTCGCTCCCCTCCAGCCGCTTCCTCTGTTCCGGAAATACGTTCCCCCGGAATTCGTCGCTCCTTCCCGGGTGCTTCCTCCGCCCCTTGGAGGGATCCCCCAGTCGCATTTTGGATGCGGGCTTGCGTGACAGCGCTTTCGAGGGAGCGGGTGATGAGACCGGAAGCCGCGAAGGCCGCCGACGTGGCCCGGGGGAGGTCGAGGCAGCCGGACAGCCACGGACGTGCGGACGCAAAGCGCGCCCGCTCGGACGGAGGGACGGAGTCGACCAGGTGCAGGAAGAGGGCCGCAGCAGGCTATAGAGTGCGAAAACGTCAGGTTCGAGTCTATCATGAGTGTTTTTTTTTATGACTCGTTTCAAGGCCCCATGTAGGAAGTCACTATCGAAGGGTTAAGGCGCAAGGAAGTGGCAGCTTTCATGTTCTAGGCTTTGTTGAGGATCCATTTGGAAGAGCTTCTGCCTCTAAACGATGCATTACTGCAAAAATGGCAGTCCTCCATTCCGAAATGGACTGTCATGTCGGGGAAAGCGGGGAGCCGATGACGCCAACCCGTCACGCAGGATTTGATATGGTGTAGCCTTCCCAGCAGTGACGTCCGATGTGTTTTCTCTCCAACCACTGTTCCCTCTCATCTATCCTCTTGAGTCGAACGACAAGAAACATTTCCAAACTCTTTTTGAGGTTCGAAGAAAGCCCCCTAACCATCGGCACAGCAATCTGACGTTTCAAGCTAGCAGAAAACGATTGGCGTCGCCTCACCTCGGCCGTTGATTCCTGGTGAATGCCACGTGTCAGCACCTCGACCACCACTTCATTCGATGCAGCTAGCCAACCCACGAAAGCCACCTCCGCATTTGTCGCCTCCTCCCCACTCTGGCGTCCGTTTCCCGTCGATGCCTTCAACAAACCCTCGTAAGCGGCCCGACGGATCCGCGCGCTCTCGTGGGTGATCAGGCGCAAGATGACGCCACGAGCCATCCGCATGAACTCAGCTGCATGTCCCGTTGCTTCTGGGCCGTCCGATGACTGGCCCCCTTCTTTCTCTCCAGTGCGCCCTTCTCTCGTTAACTCGCTTCTGCTTCCGTCATCTACTCTACTGACGTCACTCTCCGCTGAAGCCTCAACGTCGGAACGACGCCCCTCGGAAGTACTCGGCTCGTTGCCCTGCTCCTCTCTAAAGCTCCGCTCTCCTTCTGCGGTCGAAGCCCGCCGTTCCGCTGCCGTTCCTCCACGTTCCGCTGGCAAAGCCCCCTTTTCCCCTGGGATCCGCCTCTCTTCCGCCAGACTCCGCTCCCGAAGGACTCTTTTGACTAGCGCCACCATCTGTCGAGCCGTCTCTTCGTCTCCCGAGAACGCCAAAGACGAGACCGCTGCGAGAACCGTTTCCAGCGCTTCCAAAGCGGAGCCAGACTTCTCGACGCTTTCCGGACTCGGGTCGGCTTCTCTGGAGCTGTCTGGGTTCTTGTAACGAGAGAGGACCGAAGCTGCGGCTTTTGAGGCCGAGTATGCGTACTGGGCTTGCGAGAGCTGTTGATGGAGCCGAGGGTCCAAAACGGCGAGGTAAGGCAGCATCTGAAAAGACACAAAAGCAGAAATGGATGAGGGCGTCGCTTTGGGTACGGCCGCCGAGCTTGTTTCGTCCCACCGACCTCAGAAAAGGCACCCGGAGCCCCAGCGTAAATCTGAAGCAAAAGCAGTCGGAAACCCCACTAGAACAGAGAGGTGGTTTCGATGGATTCATGGCCCAAGCATATGTCAGCAAAAACAAAGACAGCCTGAATTAGCCGACCAATGGTTCTGGCAAAAGGCTTGTACTAGGTAGTCTACACCGAATACAGAGGCTCTCAGCCCCAAAATGGACCCACGCAATGGTGTCAAGAACCAACTGCTGTCCTCCGCATTGCTCCAAAAAAGCTTGCCAAAATTACGAAAGCGGGCTGAGAGGAGCTGCCAAGCACAGAACTTGACGAGCAATCGTTTGCAGTCTCGCTCGACACTCCCAAGCAATAAGAGTTCTTTCCGGTGCCCTCTCGACCTTCCTGAATCCTTGCAACCTAAGCGCATGAGAAGAGAGTGACGGAGTTCCAAAAGATGATTCCACATACCTCGGTCCGAACCCCCGTGACGCAGGCTGCCAAGACTTCGTCCCGCGCCACTGCGCCGATCGCCTCTGCGAGCGCCGCTGGCACAATCTCTCCCACACTAGTTGCTGGCAGCAGCCGCACCAAAGCACAGCCGACAGAGAGGACAACTAGAAAGGGCGGCAGGGCTGCTGCCGCGGAAGCAAGGTCTGCGTCGGCTGGGGGGGTGACGCCGGTGAGTTGAGTGAGGGGGCTAGGGGAGGAGTGGGTATGGGAGTGGAGGGCGTCAGTGACTATGTGGAAGTATTGGGCGAAGCGCACTCGGGTCTGCAGGGTGGTTATTCACGGGTTAAGCAACGGTTAGGGTAGAACATAAGCCTCGTCCGAAACAGTTGTGAATTCTGCAGGCAGCTTATTTCTGAGTTTGTAGTGGTCAGAAGGATCTTCCAAAGGTACCAGAATTGGTGAGGGTGGAGTTCAAAAAAGAAATTTACAGCTTCGATGGAAGTTTGATGGACGTCGTGGATCACGTTACGACCCCTTTAGCCGCACACTTGCCTGCTCGTTTCCTGCGAGCACACACAACAGCGCCGCGAGTTGCCGCCAAAAATCCTCTGGACTTGCTAGACCAATCCGTTCTTTCTTTGAGTACGATCACAACAACAGCCGAGATCCTAGAACCGTACCTAGACAGACTTACCTTGGAGCCGAGCTTCTCTCCATGGCCCTCCTCCTGCGGCCGCAACAAGGGCAGCAACTCCCGGAGAATGCCCACCGCCCTTTCCAGCCGCTTCTCCAATGCGAGCAGCTTCAGCATGTGCATCGCAATCTCGTGCGTGTGTTTGCTCACGTCCACAACCCGCTCCCCGATAATCCTCCCCCGAAGCTTGCCGAACGCTTCTCCTTTGGACGTGCGTGCCCGTTTTGCAATCGGGTAGCTGCTCCTGAGAAACGACGTCGGATGGTTCGGCGACACGTTTGACGGCTCGGACTCCCCTCCCAGGTGCACCGCAAAGCTCTCGTCTCTAGATAGACGCAGTGCTCCCCCCGTGCGCTTCACCAGGGCGGCCACAAAGTTAAGCGCCGCTATGTCGAGGTCGCCGGGAGACCCCACCGGGTGCGCCAGGGAAAGGACGCTATCTAGGATGGGGTGCTTCTGCAGGAGCGCCTCAGGGGGGAGATCGTGAACCGCCCTATTGCAAAGCTCTGCAAGCGCCGCTCTAACGATCCGGGGGTCGCCGATACACTGGAGTTTGAGGTTGAGTTCAAAGAGGTACTGGTCGTCGGAGGGCCGTAGAGGAACCTCCGGAAGCCACAGGTCAGGCAACGGCTCCTCCGCTAGTTTGGGGGGGTCTTTGAACCTTCCGGGGGGGTGGGGCCGAAGCTGCGGCTGGGGTTCCGGTTGTACCCCCCGCTGAGCAGGAGGACGCGACAAAATGGAGGCAAGACTCAAAGGGTTTTGTAATAACTCCCCTCCTTCCTCCTCCCAGGTCTTTGTTGCAACAGGGGGGCGGGTTACCCCAGGAGCAAGAGAAGCCCGGTCTGACGGTGCCCCTTGCCCCGACCTTCTCTCAGTCACTCTGAATGAGGGCGCACCATGTCGAGAATCTTGCTCGGTATGAAGAGGCTGAGCAAGAGCGGGCCCTGCTCTGCTTGGGTTTGCAGATTCTGTGGTGTCCGGTTGGTGAGGCTGGGGGTTTGACAGGAGCACTGCGGCGAGCTTGTCAATGGGGGGGTGGAGGCGGGCAGGGCTGTGCGCGCGCATGGTCTCGAGGAAGTCGAGAGCGCCGAGGTCGCACAGTAGGAGCCGTGCTCGCGCCCGCTGCAAGAGTTGAATTCCAGGTCAGTACGTCACCTATCCGATTGAGACTCGCACTCCCCAATTCCTGTTGCCAAGCTTGAAACGCAGCACAGAACTGGATCAATGCTCAAAACTTCTTGATTGTGGCTGCCCCTGTAGTTCATGAGCCAACTACTCAGAAGAAAGAAGGTAATTTTACCAACAGCCATGACGTCCCGCTCAGTCTGTCATGTGGGGCAATGGGGAAGTTGATGAACGACACTCAGCCTCAAGGTGCTGCTATGGGAAAGTTCACAGGTTACACCACCATGCCCCAGTAAAAACTTAGATGCAAGACTACCTGTGCCAGCTGTGCCAGTAGCCCCAGAACCTCTTCCTCCTGCTGGCAGCCTTCTCGATTGAACCATTCCAAAAGCTGCCGCAGCAAGTATTCCTCCTCCGCAGCGTCTGCCAGGCGCAGTAAGCCGTGCTCCATCTTCAGCTTGAGGCTCCGCAGACTGCGGCACCGGACCTCAGGCAGAGGGTGGCCTGGTAAGAGAAAATGTGTAATTTTACTTGGAGGTACAGTGGGTACTTCCCTCACATTCATACACTGATGTAAGCGCGAATCTCTCAAGGATTGTAAAGGTCTCAAAAGTGCTCGCCAGCACACGAAAGGGCAGAAAGACATGCTTGCGTCCAAGTTTTTGAGGTTATCCTTGCAAATTGGAACGATGCCAAAGAAGCGCCTTCGACCCTCTAAGGTGGTGCCTAATATTTCTCAACTACCAGGTTCTTGCTGACCTCTGTGGCCTCTCTGAGGTTACTTCTGGCACCCTCGTTCCAGGCCTGGTAAGAAACAGGCAGCCTGGCTTACCTAGCTTTCCTAGCAGAACCTTCATAGAGGTCTCCGGAACAGGCAGCTTGCTTCTGGCCCCGTCCACCGTTAGTGAAACATCCACGACATGGTCCCCCATGATTGACCCGGTAATTTCGGTACTGATGACCTTGCTAGCAGTCTGGCGGCATCCTGGCTCCCCAACAACAGTCAGCGGAACGTTGGGGAAAGCCCCCCTCACTTGGAATTACTCAATGCTATGTACATGGACCCAGAGTGTCCAGACATAGCGTAAATTTTGAAAGCTACCGGCACAATTACTGCTTTTGGATTCAAGTGGTTACGCACGCTGCCGCTGTTTGCCTATTGCCTGTTTCCTAGAGCTGGGTGTCCCCTTTCTTTGAGGCCTTTTGCCCCCTCCCATAGATTCTGCTGATTCTGCTGATTCTTCTCCTCAGGATACGCCTTCTACTATACAGCCTGTCGCCTGGACCTACGGTATGCCAGCCCCCACGGTCACCCCATCGCCACAGCCGTTGCAGCATCCTTTGTTAAAAAGTAGGTTAAAGAAGCAAAGAAAGGAAAGGATTGAATGGAACGTCGGGAGCCTATAATACTTACAGAGCCTAAGGTGATGAAGATGGAGCTGGAATTTTGAAATTTTGAATTGAATTCTCCAAGAGGGTCCTCTATTCGACCGGTAGACCGTACCGGGTGCCGGCAAGGCGGGTGGGTGAGCCCGAATGTATCATAACCGGGCAACTTTGGCCGATTCCTCTGCACGCAATCTATATTGGAACAAGCGCTGAGCTGGTGCAGCAAGAAGGCAATTTGCCTTCGGACTCCGACGGAGGAGAAGCAAACCGTCATGCGAGGAGCATAATGGTTGTTTGCTGTTCTGGCAGTCGTCCTCATGTGCCAATGGAGTTCTGAAGCAGCAATGCGGGCCTGCCTTCCATGCTGCACAGGACCTTGCTAGCTAGAAACAAACAAGAAAACGGTTGGCGATATGTCTCGCTTGCGAGTAGCAGCACCTAACACTCAGCAGTAGAATGTTCAAGGCACGACCGGGCAACTAGCAGTCCTGTGGTGGATGCTGTCAACGGTGCTATTTTTTTGGGGCCTAGTAGCATTAAGCTGGACGCATCTGTCTCCTCGGAGACCGCGGCAGGATTAGGGTTCTGGGACATCCATGTGACGAGTTCTCAGTAACGTGTAGGTTGAGATGGCTGGGGAAAATGGTCAACCGATGCCGGCAGCGCCAATGAAGGTCGAGCAAGACTTACCGGCAGCTGAGAGGGCCAATGGAGCGGTGGTAAGCGGAGCGGCGGTGAATGGAGCAGCCGAAAGACGTAAGTGTTGTTGCGAATTGCTGATTGAAGGCCAATTCACCGGGGACTTGGTTAACTTTGAGGCTGCTTGACCTGGCAGCCTGTCCAAGAAGCAAAGGGAGAATGCTGGCATTAGAGCAGCCCGCTGTTGCAAGCTATTACACAAACCCTAAAATCATTTTTGAAGGGGCACAATTACAAAAGCGCGATATGAGATCAGGGTATCCTGCTACTCTGGGATCAGGGGATCATGCTAGCGGCACATGTTGCACAACCAACTTCAGTATTGAAAGGTACATAGTCATTGGGCGTGTTTCCTTTCTCTACCCACAAGCTCAAGCTCGAGCAAGCTCTTAGCCTAGTTCTGATTGTCATCCTCTGGCGCGGGCAGCAGATCAACAATTGTGGAACAGAAACGGGACCGTATAAGGGATAAGAAAGAGCAGAACAGGCAGCGTAAACACCGATCTGGCTGCTGCACTCATGCCTTCTACCCCTTTCATCATGTCCTAGCCTTTCCTTCAGTGGGGAGACTTAAAATGGGATAGAATGCAACACTATAATTTGCTAGACTGTTTGCTTCCGCACATGGATGCCAGTTGTGGGGTGGCTCAAATTAGAATCTCAGTAAGACAATAGAAGGCTGAAGTTTGCCCTTCTTTGACCAGCTTTGGGGCACGGCGGAGCAGAAGAAAATGGGAGGAAGCGGGGGCGGGAGGTGACGCTCCCGCTGGAGGTCGGCACGCGAGTGATGGTCAAGTGGCGGGATGGCAAGTACCACATGGTCAAGGTCATTGAGCGGCGCCGCCTCTCGGCGCACGCCCCCGACTATGAATACTATGTGCACTACATGGAGTGTAAGTTGTTCCACGGTTCGCTTTCTTTTTCTCGCTGTTTTCTCAAATGTGTATTCGCTTTTGACGTGCGCCCTTGTTGGTGTGCTATAGTCGAAGGAGTAATGATGCATAAAGTTGGAGATTGAGGCCCACCAAGTTGGGGCTTAGATTGATAGCCGAATCAAATCTAGGTTATCCATTTATCAAATTTGATGACATTCAGTGCAATTGCTCCCCCGCGTTTGTGCGATGCCACACTTGAGGAACAAAGTTCTGCTCTGGGAAGGCCGGACTTCAAAATAGATCAGCTTCTTGCGCCTAAGATACATTCTGTAGTCGCGTAAACGATCTACATTGTTTCGCCGCAGCGGCAGCGAAAGACGCCTGCTACACACTTTCAGTTCGTTTGAACTCTACGATTGTACTTTCTTTGGTGATGCAGTCAACCGGCGCCTTGACGAGTGGGTGCAAGTGGATGCCATGGATCTGAACACAGTTGAGACGGAGAATGACGATAATAAAGACGACAAGGTGAGGTTTGTCGATCTCGTTAGACGAGGACTTCGAAGAACGAATCGGAAGCGTAACATTGCGCTACTTTGCGCGTCGGTTGGTCTTCTTATGTTAAGAATGATTAACATCTGTTGCAAGTTCCTGTTTTGATAGTCACCGGCAAATATCTGCATCGACTGTATTGGTCGTTCACTTGTCCCTGCTTGTACCCAGGTTTGAACCTGATCGAGATCTACTTATTGCAAAACCAAACTTACTCGCCTCACGCTCAGTCAACTTCTTCTTAATCAATCAACCCTTTCTTGGCAGGGGGCCACAACGAAAATGACGAGGCAGCAGAAGAAAAAGATTGACGAGTCGCATGTGGAAGAGGTCAGCTCGAGCGTCTCCAACCCTTCCTTATTGCATCGTATGCGTGCAAGAACGCTGCACCACTGCGCTTACAGCGTTCCCGCTAATAGCTGTGCCTCGATTGTGTTCTAGGTACTTTTACCTGCTGTAATGAGCTCCTTCAGTCGCTCTTCTCTTCAAGGATGCAGGGTGCCTTCCTGTTGCGATTCGGATCACAGATCCCTTTGGAAATTCGACCTCATGTGTACTGTGGCGACGGTGAGGGGTTCAACGACTTTGCTCATGTTCGTAACCGCATTCACATGAAACCGCAGAGCTATTTCAGCGCAACTTCGCGGGAGCAGCGATGCACTAACAGATCGACACGTGGCCTCCTTTCGCAGGGCCACGAGGAGTTCGATGCGGCAAGCCTGCGCGAGCACGAGGAGTTCACCAAGGTGAAGAACATCAGCGCGATCGAGCTGGGCAAGTACGAGATGGACACGTGGTACTTCTCGCCGTTCCCGCCCGAGTACAACAACGTCAGCAAGCTCTACTTCTGCGAGTTCTGCCTCAGCTTCATGAAGCGCAAGGAGCAGCTCTCGCGCCACATGGTGAGCCACGAAGGAGTGTCGAGAAGGGATATTCCGGCGATTAGGGCTGATTTGCCTTTTTATCAGCCGCCGCTCGGACTCTTGTGCTTTTGAGAAAGCAGCTTTGCAATGTAGAATTTCGTTTGCGGTTCGGTTTGAATGCAATTAGAGCCGCCTACTCCAATATAGCAGAATCATGAATGTTCCGGTCTCTTGCATTCCGGGTTGTCCTGGCAACCATTTCATGAGAGTAAGACTGCTCTGGTTGGTCTCTTACATAGATGAAAATTTGTTCGAGAAAGATACCTATACATGGTTCGCAATGGGCGGCCACGAGCTGTTCCGGTTTCCAACTCCTTCCGGCTGACTTTTGCAGAGGAAATGCGACCTGAAGCATCCCCCGGGTGACGAGATCTATCGGAACCGGTCAATATCCATGTTCGAGGTGAGGCGCTGTGTATCCTGCTCAGCTAATCTTGTGCGTTGTTTGTAGTGGTTTTGCTTCTTTTTTCCCCTAGCTGTTCTGGCATTCAGTGGTTCTAGTCTTAAGGTCACCGGGATCCTTTTTGGATCCCCACGAGCAGCTTTTTTTGCCAGGCCATAACACTCATCTCGAGGGCGGTTGTTTCAAGCCGCAAAGCATGCGTATCTATGAAAGGAATATAAGTCTCCTGAACTCAAGAGAGCTTCATAGTACCACTGGATTCAGGTGATCCCGATCGGCTGTGGAAATATGTGCTGGCGGTATCATACTGGACTGTTGCGGCTGGGCTTTGCGCAGTTGGGGACCTTAGCACACTTCCTTTGTTGCGGAACCGCGACTGTTACAAGGTATCAGATGGCGCAAGACGGTTGCTAATCATAGCATCCATCCAGTTATCCCTTTCCTGTTCTACGAAACGTCTCGTTGACGCCTTAAAACCTAGAGACCACTAAGAGCCTTGAACTCCGACATCCGTTGACGAACGAAACGCCTCCTCAAACCCGGTGTATTATACAAAAGTCAACCCTGACATCCGTTACTCGTCCCTGCCTCCAGGTGAATGGCAAGAAGAACAAGATTACCGCCAGACCCTGTGCTACTCAAGTTCCCCTTCATCACTTCAAACCCCTTTCCTAAACTACTATGAAAACCCCCAGGTGGACGGCAAGAAGAACAAGGTGTACTGCCAGAATCTGTGTTACCTGGCGAAGCTCTTCTTGGACCACAAGACGCTCTACTACGACGTCGACCTCTTCCTCTTCTACATTCTCTGCGAGTGCGACGAGCGGGGCTGCCACATTGTCGGATATTTCTCAAAGGTAAACCAACATTTCAATCTCGAAAAGCCAGGTTCTTTTGATTCTTTGTCTTGCGGCTGCCACAGAAAGGCCGCGCTAAAGGCGAAGTACTGGTCCACCTTGATGTTCTTGAAGCTTGCAATGACCCCAATCTTTAAAATGCTCAATTGTGTGTTTGTGCGACGAGAGGGTTGCGCATTGTTGATATTGACCAAGGCGGCCTTTCCGAGCATTGAAGTTGCGCCTATATTGATCTGCTATTAGCGAAGGTCGTGTAAAAAGCAAAAAGGCGTCCTTTGGATACAGTCTGGACCCTTCAACTGCAAAACTGTAATTTTGGAACTCGCCTCACACTCCGCGCCTGTAAGATGCTTGTAAAGAGATCCTGTCCCTTTCCCACTTCGTTTCCGAGCGAGCACGTGCAGTAATCTCTGGCTTGCAAGGTCCTTCCAAGCCGATGCTAATTGTGCCTTTTTCGGTTGGTCCGCAGGAGAAGCATTCGGAGGAGGGCTACAACCTGGCATGCATCCTTACTCTCCCATCCTATCAGCGGAAAGGATACGGGAAGTTCCTGATTGCTTTCTGTGAGTCCCGCATTTTATATCGACCATCAAGCTTTCAATGGTGTAGATAATCTAGTTGATCTGCCATAATGTAGAAAACAACCAACGCTTGCGCAAAGTGTGCCTTGCTGCTGACGTTGCAGACAGTTTGGTGCTCAAACAAATATGTTGAGATTGTTCGCTTACCAAGAAATATTCCGTTCAGTATGTCGTCTTTGCCTGGACCAACTGCCAACGATCTCTCTGGTTCTCTCTGCTTCAATCAACACTCTCAGGCTGCGTCCTGTCCGAAAGTCTTCCGTTTCCACAGCCTACGAGTTGTCCAAGAAGGAGCCCAACATCGCCGCTTCTCTCCGTACCCGTCATCTCTCATTCCTTTCCGCCCCTATCTGCGCAATCTCTGGAAACTTTGATTTGAAACATTCACTTCTGCGCAGCCTACGAGTTGTCCAAGAAGGAGGCCAAGGTGGGCACCCCGGAACGGCCGCTGTCAGACTTGGGGCTCGTCAGCTACCGCGGCTACTGGACGCGCGTTCTGCTCGACATCCTCAAGCGGCATCGCGGGAGCATCTCCATCAAGGTCAGTATACAAGATCGTATTATACCTCGTTCAAAACGCCAGTAGGACTTTTACTTCTTACACTAGAAGCAAACGCAAAGGGCTGCTTGATGGGTTCTTATCGTTGCGACTGTGCGGTTTTTAGTGTGTCGGCTCCGCATGAACTTCTGAACTCGAGTTTGCGGCCTTCGAAGATTCAGCTCTGAGGTGATGTTGGAGTATGAGACGGTTTAGTTTGTGGGCCAACGGCTTTGCTCAGTGGAGTCTGCTCAGTCTCCTGTGCTTGAAGTTCCCAGGGAGCTAGGTGTCTGACAGCGAGTGTCCCTCGACAATCCGTCCGTTCAGAAGCGTTTCAATCGCCTCCGTGGCCATCTGAATCTCGTGCCAGCGGATCGAAAGAACGCCGAATGTGGTTGTTCGTTCGCCTGCTTTTCGGGATCCTTTTCGTGCTCTTCTTTCAAACTCGTGGCGCTATCGTGCAGGAATTGAGCGACATGACCGCGATCAAAACGGAAGACGTCATCAGCACGCTGCAGGCCCTGGAGCTGATCCAGTACCGCAAGGTAAGCCACCCTGCTATACCGAGGCCTCGGTATTCGATTTATGCTCGCTGTACACTTCCTTTCTTCTGTTGCGAAGCCCAAAACTTCCCTGACGTTGTTGCAAAGAGCTGGCAACTCCGGTGCTGTTGTGCTGCACCCTTGATTCGAGCTACTCAGGCGGATTGAAGAAGTTTAAAAAGGCCGGAATCGTGCTGCAGCCGTCCGATCTTTGCATAACATTCCCAGTCTGCACCGTTTAGCCTGGAGCAGTCCTATCGCGTCAGGACAGGGTTTAGGTTTCAGTTTGGGTCAAACTTTGCATAACCATTTAGTCAATAGGTAATCTGAAGCGTCCAATCGGTTGACGTCGAAAACTAGATGGTAGCGACACGGTTTTGTGCTGTCCCCTAGTTCTGCGGTCCGCCTGAACTACTCGCTCCGTTCTCTCTCATGGACGAAGCTGCGCATGCCACATCTTTATCGAAGCTGCGACATGGTGCATTTGTCTTGGTAGAACTTTAAAACGACGAACGCAATTGTTCAGAACGTTCAGGCCAGCTTTCACTATCTGTACGCAGGGGCAGCACGTGATCTGTGCCGACCCGAAGGTACTGGATAGGCACCTCAAAGCAGCTGGTCGAGGAGGGCTCACAGTGGATGCGTCAAAGTTGATATGGACGCCTTATAAGGAGGGAGGCGGGTAACGAGCACCGGGACAGCTTCGCTGTTGAAGTGTAAATATGTAGGAAAGGTGCGCAGGTTCTTCTATCCCGGTCATGTGCAAGCCGAAAAGCATACATGTCATCAGCCTACTTTCGAAGAGCGTGGATAGGCGGGCACTTTCGTGGGCTGCCATCTGTGTAACATGCACACATACGCACAAAAGTTGCATGGAAGTCATGCGGTTCGCGTTGTTTCCAAAGCGCATATGCATGTACATAGGGCCGGATATCGCCACAAAAATGTCCGCGCTCAGTGCCGGCCTTGGGCCGTGTTCAAATGGTTAGCAATGAGCAAACAATCGATGCGTATTTGTCCATCATTGCATGTATGCGGATTGACAGATGCATTCAGTGTGCCAGGCGAACTTAAGTCATGGCATATAGACGCGTTTGCCCGCGGGCCCGGGCCCGGTCCGGTCAAGTTTTGCGGCGCATATGCACACCGCCCATGCCACTTTTCTAGAATAACATGCGAAGGTTTTGCATTTTGCATCGGCTTTGTAGTATTGGTTGACATGAGACACCGTGGCGTTTACGTCCTCGCATCATGGTCGGGCTAGTTGCATGATGGCCATATATGCGGCAATTTACGCTCCTTGGTTGGGGCATGTATGCGAGTATGTGAGTCCGCCCACTCAGCGGTTGGATAGATTCCAACAACATGCCGGGCCTTGATCAGCATGGCAGATTGGCAAATCTGTCTCGTGACGACCGCCTTTAAGAGACATCCTTGTTTCTTCACTCGAGCAGAGTACGCCTGCATGTGCTGTGGGTTCAACCCAAGGACGAGAAGGCCTTTTGATAAGTCATGCTCAAGCTTTTGGAGTATACGCATACACCGATGATCATGAGGAGTCCTTTATGGATGTCCACTTAAGCATGGCATGTGCCCTTTTTCCTTACTCACGAGCATTAGCTGAGCATCATGCATGCTGCTATATCTACAGTTCATGCAGAATCGAAGCAAGACGGACATCGTTGACCGCAATCTTACCAATCCGAGGCCGCCCGGTCTGCTCGAAACGCAACTGCAAGGGTTCCGCAAGTGATAAGACAAGCACCAGCTAATAATGAACGCTGAAGCTTGTTCATAACTAAAGATATGGATATCAGCCCGTGTTTCCACGTAATCCAAAGTCTGCAATCTGCGCTGAAACGGCCGATCTCAGAAACCTGTAACCTGTTTACTGACCTATTGCCCTCCCGTTGAACAACTTATTCTACTTACCCGTTGCACATCTAGCTGAGCATCAGAGCTGTCTGAATTGAGGTTTCCACCAATCAAGCGTCCAATGGGGTCCCCGCTCCAAATGCAACGTTAGATATGGGTTGCACTCTACGTAGTTAGGCCACTTCCTCCGGCCATGTTCGTGCAAGCCCGTCCTCTGTATAGTGCCGCACAGATACATCCCAAGCGAAGTGCGCTCCCTACCGGTCGACCGGTTATGGTCGATGATGAAAATTCCACGCACTATCTCTATACGACGAGATTGGCCGACACCAAAACCAGCTGGCAGCACTCTCTTGCAAGCAAAGACCTCCAACGTGATCATATCTTTGTCACGGCGCATGAGCTGGGATTCGAAGCCTGCCCAAGTGTCATCACCCATCAAGTTGCGGATCGCGGCAAGCTCCTCTCTCAGTGCGTCTAAAGGGACCAAAGGTCGTAGGTGTGAGCGCCTTGCGTTCACCTCCGCAGAACCAGGCGCTGCTTGGCCTGAGTTCTCCCATGGACTGAAAATTCCGTACGCTACACGCTTGTTCTTGAGATAGAGTAACGCTAAGACACTCCCCGTAAATTCCGGCTTCAAGTCAGGTTTTGGACACGCGGAGGTAAGAGACGTTGCTCGAGCTTGGGTTACTCCACTTTGCGTTTGTTCACATTGCCCTCCCTTGAATCCATCTCGGTCAATTCGCTCAAGAGGCCTGAAACTTGCAGCCAGCAATCGCTTGTACCCTCCCAAAGCTTCCACTTCAGCGTCGAATGCCTCGAAATCCTCCTCACAGAATTCATTCATGTCTGAGGGAAACCAGAACGCCGCTTTCCAGTAACCGGGAGCGCTCTCTGCAGCTGTTGCAAGCGCTTTGCAGGCGCATGTGGCCAACAATACGGTACGAGGGCCCTGCCTAGTTGCAAGCTTGTTGAGAATGATGAGGAGCACGTCCCTCGGAAGATCTTGCAGCGCCCCCATGGCGGGGGCGCTCTTGTTGACCCTGTTGAGGGCCAGTGAACAAGCTGGAATGCCTCATGTGCAGAGGACATCGACTATTGTCAGGTGTGTACCCGCGCAATCCATTGCCGCGGCTGGTCATTCTGCGCGGTGCCTTCGCGGCCGCGTCAAAGCGGCGCCCGGAAACGTCGCGTACTACCGTTGCCAGGTCAATGATCGTATCGACCGTGACCGATCTGATTGAGCGCGGCACGCGGCCGCACGGCGCGAAGTGGGCATGCCTATAGTAGGATGGGCTACCAAAATCGCGGCAATTGCGTCATCCGCTGGGACTATTTGCATCCCAAATTGCTCATAAGCCGCGGTCTTCTAGAGTCTTGCAAGCGGGGACGTATCCCTGGACACCTCATGCAGATTGAGCGTCTCTTCAGATCATGATCGTAGCATCATTGCCGCACGCAGTGCATGATTAAACCACCATGAAAATTTTGCCAGCAGCCTGCATGCGTGCATCGGCGGCCGCCTTTGTAAATCAGAACGTGTGTGCAGTGGGCGGCATGCTGACAGCATGAGCCGCAATTCAGGATCGCCGGACATGCATGAAACTCATGGTATCTAATCACTCAAGTCAACTTGCACGCGCTTCTACTCACATGGTGCGGTACGGTCTGCAATTGAATATGACGTTCCGCAGGCCAACTTATCAGTAAGAATGCCGGCACACTTGCATGTTATTAATCATGTTTTACGTTGCACGCCACTGTCAAGCATATCGAATCGACCACTCGTAACCGCCGTCAGCATTATGAACTTGCCAGACCTCAACTTGAAAACATGTGATGCAAAATCAGTGTGCGTACGCGCAATAGGTATACCAATTCTGAAGTGTCGGTTGGGTTATTAGCAAGATATTCATTGCCACAGAAGAATGTGCCAGCATTGGCGCATTCAAAATTTTGCTGGTGCGTGTATTCTTAAGACAATGCTTGCATGGGCCCCCAGAACGACTTGCTTCACTTCAAGATCTACTCAAGCGATTGCAACCAGTCAAGTTGTTACGCACTTAAGCTACTCCCGCACATCAACTCAGCCTAGCAATTGGGTTACGACGACCTACAAATCCTCGCGCACACAAACGCGCACTCAGGTCCAGATCCCACATGCGACGCTGAGGCGCTGAAAATGCTTGTACAGGCAATCCCTCGACTACCTAGATTACATAACCGCAAATTACCGCCTATCCAATCCTAAGAAAGGGACTACCTTTGCTGAAACAAGAGGCCTACAATGGACAAATAACGTAGTGGACTGCTCAAGCAGCAATCCCCTGATTCAATTCTGGCAGCTTCCAGCGATCAAAAAGAATCAACACCGGTCGGCCCTTGCCCCCCGGTGCATCGAAAAGGAAGCCTAATTGAGGGCCAAGCTGCGAAATAAACGAGCGGCGGATGAGTTGACAATCGCAGCACCTGGACATGCCCATACAGAGCGAATCCAGAGGCAGGGCTGAGAGACGCAAAGTTGGACTTCAAACGTTCGCTCTAACAGGCAAAACGATTCTAAAAACAAACATGTAAGAAAACAGTTAGTACGGGAAACTGCTTACTCGGCCATCCAACACGAGAAGTTCCCCATCGACCCAATGCGCGTTCTTGAACCCGGGCTTCGCGAGCTGGCCCTGGCCCTTGTACCGAGCAATCTGCGGGGGCGAAGGCGCAAAACGAGGATTAGCATGGACCCACCAAAAATCAGAGCAGAGCCCATCGGAAGCATAAGAACGTCCTTTTCAGGTACACATAAATGCAAGCGCAGATCAGCAGGATTCTCTGTAACAGAGGCTCTCTACAGAAAGCGCGATATGTGCATGTCGGAAATTCCAATCAACGTCTGAATTCTTGGCACGCCGTGTCGATGCCGCACATCCATCATTGCCCTTTCTCCTCTTAAAGTGCTAACACGATGAGTTCGAGGCAGTCGTCGAGTGGAAAGGACCGTTAGGCTGTTGCCTTTGAATTCGTCGAGGAGCGAAATAAAGGGGCCCACTTAAGTTGCTTCACAATCTCCGCTGAGGGGCTGCCCCTCTTATCGCCCAACTCTAAACATCCATAAGAACCGCTTCCTGAAGACCTGACCGTCCACTTACCGTCCCGAGATCTACATTCGCGTACTCGATTGGCGGCATCTTGTACTTGGGCCCGACCTTAGCCCGAAACGTCACCTTCCCGGCCGGCACGTTCGGATCCCCGGTCACCTTCACCCCCTCCACGTACTCGTAAGACTCGGCCCCCGAGCGGGCGCTCGTGCTCGGGGCGGCGGAGTCCTCGTCCCACTGGCCGTACCGGCGCTGCAGCTGGATCAACTCGAGGCCGTGCGGACCGTAGCCGCCGACGTACATGCCTGCAACACGCAAAATCACCGGTAAAATTTCCTTGCATTAATTCAATTCAGATGACTCTATAACATGCTTGGCCTTCAGTGGTGCAAACCAGATGGGAACGAAAATTGAGAAAAGGGCCCAGAACACGGGTAAGTTTGTAAAGAGGTGCAAACCCAGATCAGGTAAGTTAGGTCTAGGAATCAAGTCTCTGCGACAGGCTATGAAGCGCAGAGGCGTCTGGTGAGATAAGGGTCCCAGACACACGCCTGCATCGCTAGAAGGAACCTTCAGCCACGTATCCCGTTTAATCCGAGTGAACGGTCAACTCCGTCAGCTGAACTACTGAGAGAATCAACTCGCGAAGCCCCGTTACCTGACAGAGGGTCCGTGCTGTTGATTGTCGCTGGGTCCAGCTTCCGGAAGAGCATCTTGCGCGCGAGGCCCCCCCGCTGGCTCATCCGGTGAGCGGCCACTGCACCCATCAGCGCCTCCAATTGCTTCTTCGGCATCTGCAAAAACACGGCGCTATCAGGTCCGAGCAGAGGTTGAGAGCACTCCAGTTATCAGGGTTTGAGCAGGTAAAGCCACGTGTATTGCAGAAGTGGCGATGAAAAGACGCATCGCGACTAAACGCCTAACCAGACCGCGGATGACCTCAGCAACCACACGAAAAGGTGGTCAAATGATATCAAAACTTCGGCAGATCAGGCAACGCAAATCGCCAGCTTTCGAGTGCAAAGCTTGTCCAGGCATATCAAGATGGGTTAGTCCCTTCAGAAGTGCAAAAAATGCGGCGGTCACTCACAATGTTTTTGACTTTGCTCAGCTCCACGACTCGCACCATCGCTTGCACGTCCTGCGGCGACAGCGCGCCCGCCTTCACTGCGGCACGAACCGCGGCCTCGTCCGCGTTTAACCCAGTCTCCTCTGCAGCGTCTGAAACAGCCAAGATGAGCAGACCGCTCAGACAGCAACCGTGTCCTCCTCCATTCTGAGGCCGAACCTTTGACTACTAAGATGGTACTTAAGAAGTAGAGAAGCCAGAGCGAAATTAGGCAGACTACGAGCAAAGAACGTGCTTGAACAGACGGAATTTTGTCAGCAAGGCACGGCATGGTGGTGAATCTGCTTCCCGAAGGCAGCACACGCCCCTGAGACCATCCAAATACTCGAAACAGCGAACCGTGGCCGTTACTCCACTCTTTCGCCCCAGCAAACCTTTCTTTAAAGGTTTGCTGGGGAAGGAACCTGTGTTCCTTCCCAAGATCAAACCAGCAGAAAACCTCGAAAGCCCACACATCCCCACCTGCTTGCCCCTCGCTCGGCCACCGCGGATCCTCCACCGAAAACACAAACGTCCCCCGCGCCTTGGTCACCCGCGCCGGCACTCTCACAGGCCGCGCCTGCGCCTCCAACCGCTCCCAATCGCTGCTCGTCATTTCGCCCGTCCCGCCCCCCGTCGCTGAATCCAGATCGAGGCCCATAAATGAGAATGCGCTATTAGGAGTTCCCGTCATCAGATCGCTCGTCCCGGATGTGCTCTCGTCTCCGGGGGGGTCCGTGGAGGCGTCCCCCGGCTCCCGCACCTCCCCCCCGGAAACCTCGGACGTCGACGCTTTTTCCCCCTCGGAAGCCTCGGCGGGGGGCTTGAGGAGCTCCGCGTTGATCTCCGCCTGCGCTTGCGCGAGCTTTTCTTGCGCGAGCTTCTCCTCCTCCAAACGCGCCGCCTCCTCGAACAGCTCCACACTCCCGTCGTCCCCTCCCCGAAGCGTCTTCTTCTTCTTCCCCCCCCTGGTTGTATCCCCCGACCCCTGCGCGATCGCCTCCTGCAGCCCCGACACCAGTTTCTCGATCAGCCCCGGAATGTCTTTCTTGCCCCCTGGAGCAATCACCCTCGAAACCCGGAACTTCGCACCGGGGATACGGTCCGTGAAATACTTGATCACCCGCTGCATCCCGGCCTCTTCCTCCTCGTCCTCCGCGACGGGGGCCTCGTTTTCGGCGTCGCTCTCGCCGCCCGAGTCTGCCTCTGCTGTGGCCCCAGTGTCATCGACATCTGAAACGGGCCCCAGTTCTTTCCGAAGGGCTGCGATGCCGCCGTCCCCGCTGGGATCGTCGGAGGTCGCAATAACCTTCAAAACCGGACCGTCGGCCTGCGGGTCTACGGTAACGGGGGTTTCAGGGCGGAAGGGGCTCTCTCGCTTCAGGTAGACCGCCTGCAGAATTTGAAACAAATGTAAGAATCCTGTGCATCTTTATGTGAACAGCGTGAAAGGCTCTGTTGCACCGGGACCCGTCTCATGGACAGGCAGCTTTTGAAATCCATGAACGCGGATACTGTAGAATCGCTTGCAGCTTGTGACCTGCTCTATGACAACAATTGCTGATCGAAAGAGGGATGTAGATAAGAATTCTTTCAAGCGTTGGAGAATGCAAAAAGTTCGAAGGCAAGAGTACACGGCAGAAGGGACAGCTACAACGAACAGGGAACCAGCTCTGTGCGTGCACACTGTAGCACTTTCAGAAAGTAAGGTGCCGAGTTTACCTGTTGGTGATACGCCCCCGCCTTGTCCTTGACCACGTAAACCTCCAAAACCTCCTGCCCGGCGCCCCCCTCTACGAGATGCTTCGGCGTCATGGCATACCCCGTCAGTTTGCCCTTGCCAGGGACGATTCGCAGGAGTGCCCCAGAGTACTCCCGTTCGGTGAGAGGGGTGCCAGCCCACCAGCCAACCTGTGGCAACCAAGATTTTGTAAGTTGACAGAGGAAAGCTGGACTAGCAATCCGCATCAACTCACAAAATGAGGTGCGTCCTTTCCAAATCCTTACAGATCAACGAACGAAAGCCGGATTGCAATCCGAATGGACCCAGAAAAAGGAGGTGGGTTCCTTGGGGCTTAACAAGGCACTACTGAACTGGTTGATTGCCCCCAGAGAAAGCAGAAGTTAGTGGTAGAATAAAGATTAGGCTGCCATGCTGTAACAATCCATGCTAGAGTCTTGTGGTTGATGCAGATCCTAAGAAAAAAATTTGGCAGGTCCAACTGAGCAGATGAGCTTGGCAAAAAAAACAGTTGCTTTCAGTTTTCTTCCTTGAACCGACATGAGGGTCGGCGACTGCCTGTTTCTGATTGCACGTTGAGATTCAAAGAAGGCCCTGTTTTGATGGAAAATCAATTGCGCAGTCAACGTCGTTAGGGAAGAAGAAACTGCGCGCGAAACCAAAACCCCGACAATCGACAGATGGAGTGATATCTGATGATGCACAATTAAACGTGATCTGGCGCAGGTATTAATTGGGGACCCCACGAGCTGACGTTGACGAAACATAAGCAAAGCAAAGCATAGTCTGTATTCAAGCAGGAGGGCCGCACAGCAAAGACCGCTCACCAGGCCGGCGCATCCTGCATCCCGCAGCTGGCTTGCATCATCAAACCGCTCCTCCTTCACAGCAGTCTGCAAAAGCAAAGCACATTGTGAAAACGTCTTCTCGAATCTAGGTACGTAAGATGCCATACTTTAACAGACTTGTGGTGCAAGATGAGACGGGAAAACGTAAGCAGTCAGGCTTGCTCAAGGTAAAGGCGCACAGACATTCAAGTCAATATGATGAAAATGCAATGGAGTGTGTCACGAAAACATATGTGACCTTTACACCAGGCAATCAGGATCCTTTGGCAGATTTTCCTTTTGCGGATTCTGGCGAATGGTGCTCACCTCAAACATGGACACCACCTCCCTTACGACATCCTCGCCCTCCAGCGCTTTGATAGCTGCCTTGAGGCGGCCCGCTTCCTTGAACTCCTCCTGAGCAACAGCCTCCGCCAATTGTGCCTGTGCCAAAAGCACGCAATATTACAACAGCAAAACTATCGGGCTTTTCTAGTGACTTCAAAGTGACAGGATGGTTGCGCTCCAGGATGTCCTCTTTGGAAAAAAGTATTGCGAATGGTACAGAGCTTGACCAAGAGGTAAGGGGCGAGATGGAAATACAACCAATGTCCTAAGAAGTGAACATTACTAAGGACTCCAACATTCAATTCCTCGATGACGGCACCTTCCAGTGCCGATCATACTTCTGGTCGTTGAAAGACTTGAAATATGAAATCAGTCACAATACTGCATGCTGGGAACTCATGAATGCCAAGGATTCTACGGTAGCTCCAGCACATCCCCAATCAATCTCCCCGCTGCCTCGAAGCTCACTCCCATTTCGAGGGGCCCTCATACCTTGTTGTCAGGGCAAATGACAGGTAATGCCCGGAAGCCCCGAGCTTCGCAGGATAACAATAACCGGACTAGCAGACACCTTTCCAGACTCAACAACGACCCAGACTAGCTTCTCTGGTTCCAAGGGTACTTTCCCAAAACGGAGCACCCTACCTCCTCAAAGAAGAACTTAGGCAGGTAGAAATCTCTTGGGGCACAAAGAACGGCATATATATAAGCACACTGATTGAGAAACTATTAGTAAAGTTATGCAAAAACCATGTTGGAACAATATCAAGTCAAATTCAATCAAGTGTTTATACAACACCTCGAACCCTCAGCATAAACAAAGAAGGTGCTTTCAATATCGCAATCACAGTATCAGGCTTGTGAATGCTGCCCCTATGTTGGCTTTAAAGCCGCACACAAGCTGCATGCTGTTCCGTTGAGGAGTTGCAAGCACTCTGGCACACAAAATGCAATGCCCTGCAGCATAAGCTGTCTTTTGAGTGGAGAGTGCTCTACTACAGCAAAAGCTGCAACTTGTTAGAACGTTTTCTTTCAACTTGGGTACCAACAACTTCCAACGTGCCAGCACTAAGCACTCACAATCAGGTGCCCCACATATAGCTTGGTTTCCTTGCTCTGTCTCTTTGTGTCCTTACCTCAAGTGCCTTCAGCAGAGGTTCTCTTTCCTCCACCTCCTGGAAATGCTGTTGCCAATCCTCCCAACTCTTTACTGAGCCTTCTTCACCTGTGTCGTCTTCACCCCTCTCGGCACTGCTTTGAACCCTACTCAACCGCTCCTGCAACTGCGTCGAGGCTGTGGTGACCTTGCCCTTGAGAGGGTCTTCCATCACACCCCCTGCCTGCCTTTGTGCCTCCAAAGCCCTAACCAAAGCCTCTGACACGAAACTCCGACCAGTATCGTTCCCATTTCCACCCTCTGGTGTCGCAGCGTCCCCGGATGCCGTACATCGAAAACCACTAGATCTCTTCTTCCCCTGACAGGACCAGCTTTTGCCCGAGCAAGAGCTGGAAGTCAATGACGGACAAAAAAGGGCATCTCCGATGCAGCCTCCCTTGTGAAGCCGCCTATTTGGCTTGTTGGTGCCAACCTTTTCAACTCCACTGCCCCTGGTAACACCATTACAGGAGAATGAAGCACAAGCTGCACCAGCATTACGACACGAGGATGCACCCAGATTCAACCGCTGCTGCAACCATAACCCATTGCCTAACTGCGTCACGACGCTTCCAGCCATCGCACCCTGGCCTCGGCAGACCTGAGCCTAAGCCTTAAAGGATATCTTCGTGGTACCTTGCAAAATGGGGCCGCCTGTGCAAGCGCCACCTTCAGAGGGCGTTCAAGCTCGTCTCCCCAACCTCCTCAGCCCCCTGCAACTTTGCCAACTGTGCCTACGTCGCCTGCTGAAACCCTCTTCCAAATGGTACACCGTAAAACCCTAAATAGGATATACTACCTAGCGAAAATTTAATTGCAGGCTTTGCAACTGCACTGTATAGCAAACCCTAAGGCTAAGCTGTGGCAAACCCTAAGACCTGGACAAACGCACGCTGTTCCTCCGCCAGCGATACATAGCAGTGTCACACACAGTCTATCAAGGGGGGATCAAGGGCGCCAAGAACCTCCACCAGATGTGCAGGTAGCTACCAAAAAGCAGTTGGCTTTATCTCGCAAAGGCGTCCCTCCTGAGAGCAGAGAATATAACCCTGATTTGCAGCGGTAAGTCCATCTGAAACCACGTAGCGAGGAGTTCTTATACCATGAGCAATGTTTTGAAGCAGATGCATAGGAGCAATTGTGAAGGCGTTGGCATGTTGACAGGCAATTGCCTCTTTACAGGTTCAAAGACGATATTCTTATGTGATCACAAGTCATGATGGATGTATGAGAATCGGTTGTCGTCGACTTTTGAGCGTGTAGATTGCATTTTGATGTCTGGTCCAATGATCGAATATGCAACTTTGTCTTGTTTGATTTATACTTCAAGATTTCAGAGGTGGTGCACCTCAAAAAGTGGCGATGAGCTGCAACTCGCTCCAAGTAATTTGCCCTGCACTATATCAATGGCTGTTGGCTGGATGGACTTTTGAACAGTTCGACGCTTTATGGTGGTGCTATCGTTAGGCAGAGAAGCAAATCAATCTGTAACGTAGGTCTGCAGGTTTCCTCTGAAGGGGGTGGTTGAGGTGGGATGGCGTCTCCATCTACTCCAGGCCCCGTTCGACGGGGCATTGTGGAGGCTCAATTTGTCGAGGACGTGCACACGTTCATGGATGGGAAAGAAGGGGATGCGGTCATGAAACCACTACAGGAGAGGTGTGAGAGCCCACATTCAATTACAGTAGTGTCAAGGGACGTGCTGAGGCTTCATAAGCTCGTACTAGCTACTAGCAAAGAAGGGTGCCAGAGTCGCACATTTAGAAAGTCTCATTGCCTTCTCTTTGTAAATCTCTTGCTGACAGCTGAACGCCGTGCAACTCGTAATTGGCCACAACCTTGCCTGGTAAGTTTCTGAGAATGGACTTCGAGAGAAAGCGGAGGACAAAAGTGTGAATCATTGGAATTTCTCATGAATGGTCAATCAGCTCGGCTAAACGCATGTCAACATGGTGGCGAATTGTCTTGGTCGAGTACAGCGTCCTCTTATGTAGCTTTTCATCTCAGTGGAGGGGGCAAAAGGTGCAGCGCTGCGTCAAGCAGCATGTTTCTTGGCGTTGTTTTTTAGCGGTGAAGGGGAGATACTCGTTTGACGTTGCAAGGGGATTGGTTAAGTTGGCAATCCAAGCAAGTCCCTTTCTGTGGATGGAATGAGTTGCTATTGACCCAATTGATTTACCATTGGCCGTCAGGTACCAACAGTACAAGTTGCAAGAGCAAACGCTCACGAGCCGCCGTGCGCTTCTAGAGCAGAAGATTCCAGAGCTGAAACGGAACCTGGCCATCGTGAATAAGCTACAAGAGCAGAAGGAGGCCGAGAAGGTAAGGCCCGGTAATTGCTGCAAAGAGAAAGCTTGTCATTTGTTGTCCCTATCTTGTAAGACTTAAGGAATCAGCACGTTAAGAACGGTCTTTAGAACCAGATTGAAAAGAGGGGGGTAGGCCGTCTCAGATATTTTAATCAACACAGAAAAAGATTCAGAGCCCAAGCAACAAATGCTGCTTACTTCCCTGACTAGCAGATAGATTGGACAGCGATCACTGGCATCCAGCATGAAGACAAAGTAGTCGTGGCAGAGCCTTCCGTAATGCATGTTGTCCTCCACTTCTCCAGCTGCTTATACTCCTTCTCAAGCGTCCCCTTTCGGGTCCATCGTATCCCTTCCCCACAACAGATTGCGCTGCGCCTAGGAGCAATTTCAGCAACTTTCTCACAGCTTCTCACAGCCGCCGCTGCGTGCTGAAAAGGTTCAATTTACCGACTAATCAGATTGTTGATTGGTCTATGGAGGAAGCTGAAGTCGACTTCGAGCTGGCTGACCAGATCTTTGCGAGGGCGACCATCAAAGACCCGGAGTCAGTGTGCCTATGGCTGGGGGCCAATGTCATGGTAGAATACTCGCTGGAAGAGGTGGGCGCTCCATTGTGGGTTCTTTGGGCTTCAGGAGATAGAAACAGTGGTCAAGCTCGTTTCATAGCACAACACCGACTTACTGTGTCAAAGTTTTTGTTGAACTCAGATCAGGGGCACAAGCGACAAATTCGTCTTTTGAAACATTCTGGGAAGGTTTCCTTTCACGTGCAAGTCAGTGTGACTTGAAGATATCGTCAGTTTGACAGCCCTTCACTATTTGAAAAGTAGGACGAACAGGAGACGAGAAGATGAGGATGCAAGGGCGAGGAGAGAGTGCGATGCAGGATCATGGTGCCAGTCTGCTGCAGAAGAGGAGCTGTGTAGATAACAACCGTAAAGCTTGCTGGTCCACGCGTCTATGCAACGAAACAAGAAGCTTCGACTCGCAGATTTGCAGTGCGACAACGTATCAAGCTCAATTGACGGTTTTCGAATCCACTGTCCTCACGATGAGCTGGAGAATGCCTTTCCTATTTAGATGTCATTTCCTTCAACCATTTCAGGGCGTCTGCGGACTGGCTCATGGTTGCAAGAACGCGTCGTCGACCTTTTGGAAGAATAGACTGAGATTTGAAGCAATTCCTCCTCGTTTGTCCAGGCGAACCTTCTCCTTCAGCGGCAACTAGAGAATGCTACTGCCAGCCTAGAGGCGGTAATAGAGGACTTGCACTTCCTGCGGGATCAAGTAACGACAACTGAGGTAAGACGGTCACCATTGGATTGTCTTCAAGCATTACTTTCCCGAATTGAGGTCGAGAGCATATCAGGGCAGGCGGACCGCAGATTTCGCGATGGTTGAAATTGCAGCGCTACCGTCTGATTACAACATGAGCATTCCAGTCTGCGAAGTATACCCGGGGGTCGCAAACGCTGGCAGGATCGGTTTTGACAATGTGGTTGAGACAAACCGTGCCTAACCAAATGCAAGCGACAGAATTCGGGCGTCCATTTTCGGCGTCAAAATCTGAATGGGAGCGCTGCGATTTTTGATCGTCCCCCAACCATTTCGTGATTCTGCCGTCCGCCTGAAGGTTGCTTCTGAAACTCTGGCCGCTAAAAAGACATACAAGTTGCTGTTCCAAAGGGTGTCGGGGTCTGGGCTGTCTGGCAAGGCGTCAAAAGTAAGATTGTCGTATTGTCTTGCTGGCAAGCCTTTGGCCAAGCACGAAGTCGAACTCGGCCACCTTAAATAATCGCTGTCTGAGGTTTCTCGACGAGTTTCTAATCTTTGTTGCTGACTTTGGCGCTGTTTTGCAGGTAACGCTTGCAAGGGTATACAACCACGAAGTCAAGTTGCGGCGAGAAAGAAGATTAGCAGAGGCAGCTCAAGCAGGGGATGATACGTAGTAAGAGCCGTCTGGGATTAGCTTCGAGACGCTGCACCGGCGATCTTTGGCCATGTCCTCAGGTGGCTGCAACTTGTTTGGAGTGGGTTCTGACGGGCGATCGCAACATGTGCGTGACTAGCTGCTAGTCAGTTTCTTGTTCATGATTCATAGCTGCACGCATGGCTGTACATCCGTGCATGTCTCCATGCCAAATGCGCGCATCTCAGTTTGCTCTTTATCCATGAGTCTAGAACGGAACTTACAAGAGGACGAAGGTGCTGGTTGCATGTTCATCATCATATTTCCGTTCAAAGCTTTCTCCCGTTCATCATCATGTTTCCTATGTGGGCAGAATTTATGATCTCCGAACCGATCGTGCAGACGACTTGACACAGACCTGGTGGATTTGCGTAGGGTACGGCATTTGGATGTCCGTGCACCGGCCCGGCCTAAGCAGGGCTTCTTAAATCCTTTGTGTCAATTGCAGTCTTGTTCCTTTTATTGCCATGCCAGAACGTACAATCATAGGACAGTGCCGCCTTCAGATCATCATTGAGAGAGTTTTTAAGCGCAGCTCGCCGTCACGGATTGCCACCGCATATAGTCACCTTACACGGAGGCAGTTGCCTGGGCGGCAAAGGTAGTTCATGATCCATACATGCATTCTAGCCGGCCGTACCCAAGCATGCAGACTAAGCGGTAGATATTGCATGGCATTAATGTGCGCCGCGCAACACTGTGCGGCCGGCGCCCAAATGAAAGTTGAGGGGGAGCTGGGGCGGGCTGCCACGGCGGCCCCTTGCAATCCACCAAGCGCGCCGCATTTGGATATCTAGATGTTGAAAGGAGACTCCATCTCTGCGGGAGCATTCTCCTTGTGCGGTTTTCATTGAAAGCGCAAGACAGGACGCCAGGCTCGCAAGATATGTGAAACCCCGGCAGATTTTTCTTCTACGGAGTGGACCGGAAGAGGAAGAGAAACCAATGTCGTTCGGATTACCGATGCATGCATATGCTGCTTGCAAGACTTTACAAGAACGGCTCAAGATTGTTTTGCATGGGAGCTAAGAATCACAATGGATGACGCACTTGCAGTCGTCAGAATGGTCCTGTAGTGTGGCCCATCTGTCGCGGCCGGTTCCTTAATTGAGATGCTACCTAGATTGGACGCGTACGCGGCTTTGTGGGCTGCCAGCCCACGTCAGCGCGGCGCGCGGCCACGTGCCGCGCTCGATCGATTTGACACGCGCTGAGCTGCCGCACACTGGGCGCCGCGCCTTGCTCAAACGCGGCCGCAGTAGAAACCCGCGCAGACTGACTAGCCGCGTCAGTCGCTTGCGCGGGTACATCTGGTGAAGTTTGAACAGAGTCGCCGTCCTCTACCCATGAGACTCAGCTTCTTCATGAACAGCGCTTAACAAGAGCGCTCCCGCAATGGGGACACTGCAAGAGCTTCCGAGGGACGTGCTCCTGATGATTCTCCACAAGCTTGCAACTACGAAGGGCCCTCGGACCTTACTGTTGTCCACGTGCGCCTGCAAAGCGCTTGGAAGCGCTGCGGAGAGCGCTCCCGGTTTCTGGAAGGCGGCGTTCTGGTTTCGCTCGAACGTGAGCGAGTTCTGCGAGGAGGATTTTGCCGCATTCGAAGCTGAAGTGGAAGCCCTGGGAGGGTACAAGCGACTGCTGGCCGCACGCGCTGCAAGTTTCAGGCCTTCTGAGCGAATTGATCAAGATGGAAATAAGCGAGGGCAACCTGAACAAACGCAACGTGAACAATCCCAAGCTCTGGAAACGTCTGTTACCGCCGCGGGTCCGAAAGATGAGTTGAAGCCGGAGATTACGGGGAGGGTCTTGGCGTTACTTCAAGTCAAAGACAAGCCTGTAGCGTTCGGAGCTTTCAATCCTTGGGAAAACACGGACCAAGCAGCGCCGAGTTCTGCAAAGACGGTGACCGCAAAGCGCTTACGCCTACGACCTTTGGTCCCTTTGGACGATGCAAGGAACGAGATTGCCGCAATTCATAAGCTAGTTAGTGACACGTGGGCAGCTGGCTCGGATTTCAGCTCATGCTAGACGAAGACTTGATCACGTTGGAGGTCTTTGCTTGCAAGAGAGCGCTGCCCGGTGGTTCTGGTGTCGCCCAATCTCGTCCCGTTGAGATAGTGCGTGGACGTTTCATAATCGATCATAACCGGTCGACCAGTCTGGGGCGCACTTCGTTCGCAATGTATCTGTCCGGCGCTATACCGAAGCCTGACTTGCATGAACCTGGTCGGGGGACGCGTGTGGCGAAGTACGTGGAGTGCAGCCTATTTCTGAAGCTACATCTGGAGCGGGGACCCCGTTGGACGCTTGATTGGTGGAAGATTCAATTCGGACAGCTCTGACCCTCGACTACGCGCGCGACGTGGAGCAGAGTGAGTTGTGCAACGGACGGGCAATGAATCAGTGAACAGGTGTCCGAAAACGGCCGTTTCAACGCAGATTGCAGACTTTGTATTACGTGGAGATACGGGCTGATAAATATGATTCCAAACAAGCCTTAACGTTTGTGATTAGGTACATACTACGTATCACTTGCCATCTTGTCAGAATACTTGCAGTTGGTCTCATGAAATGTCGAACAGCTAGCGGGCGGCCATTGGTGAGCCCTTGGTGAGATCCTGGCAATCTGGCAAGCCGCGGTCAGCTTTGGTTTCTGAGATAAGTTCGGCAACATGGCCTCGATCCTGCATGTTCTACAGATGTTCTACGTGCAGCACTTGCACGTATGCTCAGCTAGTACTGCTCGTGAGCAGGAAAGACGACACACTCCATGCTTAAGTGGACTCCTTAAATGAATCCGTGTATGCATATAATCCAAATGAAACGTGATAGCCTGACAATTGTAGAAAAGGGCGTTCTCGTCCTTGAGATTGAACCCATAATAACTGGGCGTACTCTTCCAGAGTATAGAGACAAGGATCTGTCTTCAAAGGCGGTTGATGAGCGCTGCCAATCTGCCATGCTGGTCAAGGGACATGCCGTTGGAATTATCCCGTCTGCTGGATGCGTGAAATCACTCGTGACTCCCTAACGAAGGAGCGTATTGCCACAGCCACCTCCTAAGCCTGGCATGTGCGAGGCGTACAGGAATGAGGGGATTGTTTGCGTACCCAGCCAGCGCATATAACCTGATGGGTTTTCGGTCGTGTTTGCAATGAACGTACCTACAATCAATGCCGCCGATCGGAAACTAATGTTTAATTGATTGCATCAATGGTACGCAACGTTGCAAGGGCGTTGCGTAGCGTTGCGTGGACGTTGTCGCAACAGTCACGAAATCTTGCAACGTCCCTCAGGCTGCAACGCGAGCGTTGATGAATGTATGGAGTCAACGGACAAAACATGTCCGCAACAAAAAAGCGTTGCGCGCCAACCAGTAAAATCACGCAACGCTCATTTGAATCATGTCATGGGGTTGCCGCAATGTTGCTGCAACGTTGCACAATGTTGCTGCACCGCCCTGTAACGTTGCTGCAACGTTGCGGGAATGTTTCTCACTTTCTCACTTTTTCGCAACGCTGCAAGCGTTGTCTCAATAGATTCGTCAACGTTGCGAAGCGTTGCGTCATTCACGCAACGCTGTGCAACGCTGCGCAACGCACTTGCAACGCCTGCAACGTTGTTGCAATGAGAACCTAAACTTCCATGTGACTTGGGAGGCAAATAGTCCCAGTGGATGGCGCATTGCTGCCAAATTGGTGGCCCATCGCTCGTTGCTTTGCGATGCTACCTAGGCAGACGCGGGCTGCCCACTTCGACTCTTCGACACGGCGCGCGGCCGCGTGCCTCGCCCCGAGACGCGGGGTTCAAGCTGACACAACTGGGCGCCGCGCGGCCGCCTTGCTCAAACGCGGCCGCGTAGGCACCCGCGCAATTTGAACAGCCGCGGCAGTTGGTTGCGCGGGTACACACCAGGTGATTGGGTCGATCACTAAGTCGCCCCAGCTTGTTCACAGCCCTCAACACGGTCGCCAAGAGCGCCCCAGCCATGGGAGGACTTCAAGACCTTCCGAGCGACGTGCTCCTCATCATTCTCTACAAGCTTGCAAGTAGGCAGGGCCCTCGTACCTTACTGATAGCCACCTTCGCCTGCAAAGCGCTTGAAACCGCTGCGGAAAGCGTTCCCGGTTTCTGGAAGGCGGCGTTTTTGTTTCCTGCGGTCTTGAACGACTTTTGCAAGGATGATTTTGAGGCGTTCGAAGCTGAAGTGGAAGCCTTGGGGGGGTACAAGCGATTGCTGGCCGCGGGGGCTGCAAATTTCGGGCCTTTCAAACGAAGTGAACGAGAGGCATCAAAGTGAGGGCAAGGTGAACAAACGAGTCCGCTGCAAAGTGAACAAACCCAAGCTCTGGAGACGTCTGTTACAGCTCTTTTCAAGCATCCTGCCGGTTTTTAGTAAAGAGAGAGGGATGTATTAAAGTTAGACGACTAAGTTAGTCAAGTCTGGAATCCATATAGCGTCAAGTAACTTCCACCAACTTATAAGCTTCCCTCTCTACTGGCAGCTCGCTCTCAAAGAGCTGTACCTCCGCGATTCCGAAAGCTGCCTTGAAGCCGGGGATTGCGGGGAGCGTCTTGGCGTTGCTTTGTCTCAAAACCAAGCCTGTGGCGTTTGGAATTCTCAATCCATGGGAAGACTCAGGCCAAGCAGCGCCCGGTTCTGCGGAGAAGGTGATCACAATTAAGCGCTCGGGTTTACGACCTTTGGTCCCCTTGGAAGAAGTGAGGAAAGAGATTGCCGCAATCCGCAAGGTGGGTGGTGATTCGTGGGCAGGCTTCGAATTCCAGCTCATGCTTGACGAAGATTTGATCACGGTGGAGGTCTTTGCTTGCAAGAGAGCGCCGCCAGGTTCTGGTGTCGGCCAATTTCGTCCTGTAGAGATAGTGCGTGGGACTCTCACTCCCGACCATAAGCGGTCGATCAATTGGGACAGCGCTTCGTTTGCGATGTATCTGTGCGGCGCTAAACAGGGGCCTGACTTGTATGAACCCGGTCGGGGGACGCGTGCGAAGTACGCAGGGTGCCGCCCACATTTAACGTTGCATTTAGAGAGGGGGCCCCTTTGGACGCTTGATTGGTGGAAATCTCAGTTCGAACAGCTCTAACGCTCTACCAGACGCGAAACGTCGAATAAGGTAAGTCGTTCAAAGGGAGGGCATATGGTCAAGAAATAGGCATCTGAGAACGGCCGTCTTAACGCAGATCGCCCACTCTGTACACTTGGAAAGACGGGCTCATAAGCATATACAATTACGATTCTGACAATGTTCAACGTTTGTAATAAGGTTCTTGGCTTATCATGGCAAGCCAGAACACTTGCAGTTGATCTCGTAAGATCTCGAGCAGAGCGAGGCGGCCAGTGGTGAGATCCTGGCAAGCAGCATTCAACGGTGATCGTCTTGCTTTGATCCAGCATGTTTTACAGATGGCAGCACTTGCATCCACACTCAATCAGTGCTCGTGAGTAGGAAAGAAACGGCTTAATCTATGACACACATAATGAACTCCTTATGAATCGGTATATATATATGCATATCTTCCAAATGGATCGTGAGAGAATGACTTATGAAAGCGCGTTCAAGTTCTCGTCCTCGGGTTTGAAACCATAGCACATGGGCGTACTCTTTGAGAAATGAGAACAAGGATGTGTCTTCGAAGCTAGGTGGTTGACGAGCGCTGCCAATCTGCCCTTCATGGGGGCATGCTGATCATAAGGAGCATACCAATTAGATTTTATCCAGTCGCTGATTGCATGATTCGGACCCTCCCAATCACGAGCCAACGTGACTCTAATGACGCATGAAGAATCAAACGCCTTCGTAAGGCGCTGCCCACTGGCATGTTCAGCGATTGAAAACGAGTCTACATCACCCTATGCCTTCCCGTTCCTGTTCTGTTTTCCCCTTTCATTTTGGGCCTTCTTTCGAAGCATAATATAGGCAAGGCCCTGAAACAGCAAAAGAAGTTGCTTTGTTATGATAACCGCGCCACGAATGGCGCGGCATCCGGGCAGTGACTGAGCGTCTGGCGGCCGCGGTCGTGGTTGCCCGCGGCCGCTTTTGATGTCAAACCCTGACAATCAGGCCGGCGTCAGGCGCAGCAAATGCGGCCGCGATAAGGGTTTTACGGACGGGCGGCCGCGTCTGAAAGAAGATGGCGCCGCAGTGTGCGCTAGCAGGCGCCACCCCGCGGTACCTGATATGTCCAGCAGTTTCCTGTTCTCCTGCTGGCTGTTGCAGGCACTTTCCTTGTTGACACCTCATCGTCACCACCTGATCAACAGGCACTGCACAGATGCTGGCCGGGGCTCAAGCGGTGCTGGTCATCCTTCGTGAGGCAACTCGAGAATCTGGCCAGGGGAGTTACCGGTTCGACTGTCCTGGCAACGACTCGGACAAGCTCCTGTGCACCGCCCTCTTCATTAGCTTGATCGCTGTGCTACGACACTGAGCATGAAGGACGATCAGGCTGACGCAAATTAGCTGCCCTGCTGATTCCCTTCTGTCGTGCAGCCGTCAGAGCCGTTCACGTGATAGGCCTCAAAAACAAATAGGTTTGTTTCCGCCCCTCGGCACAGGAAGAAAGCGTTTCCAGAGGGCGCAGAAGGAGTCGTGTAGAGGCGGTGTCAAAGAGGGGCTTAGGAAGCTTGACTAAGAGACATGGCGCACGATGCTGCTAGTAGCAGGGAAGCCCAGAGAGAGTCACCAGAGCCAATCATGGTCCTAGACGACAGCTCAGAAGCGCCGGCTTCCGCAAAGCATGCACAGAACTTGAAGTCCTTCACGTGGTCCCAGGTCCAAGCGGCGCAGGAACAGGCCTCCGAGCCTCCCCCAGCTGCTAAGCTCAGCACGCAACTAGCGGTCGCGTGCTTGGTGAGAAGCGACGGACGGTCGCTCCAGATCATCGGGGCGGAAATGATCACCCCCACCTGCACGCTGTTCCGTCGGCAGTCCTGTCTCGAGTCGCGGTACTCGGTGGAGTACAATTTCCAGCAGATGCGCCCCTTGGGTAGCTACGTCTGGCTCAACGACCGGCTGTGCAAAGTCCGAAGCGAGGAGAGGGCGACCTGGCGGGCCTGCCTGGGGTGCTGCGCGCCACGTGACGTCACGGAACCGCTTGAGCTGACGAACGCACCTCCTGCAGTGGCGAAGGTTGCAGAGGAGGCTTTCGAGGAGATTAGCGGGGTTCGTGGTTGGGAGTACATCTTTGGCCCAGGGTATTATGATCTTAACGAGAAATCGGGGGGGCCCGAACAACATGTGACGGCGGGCCCGACGAAAGTGTCGGATGCGCTGGTGGCGCTCATGACACGCCGTCCATCAGGCTTAACTCCCTCTTTGGTCGTGCAAACCTACCCCGGGGTTACGCACGAGGGGCGCCCCGTTAATATCGGCTATGGTATCAGTCCTGTCGACGAGTTTAGCAACACGCTGTTCGGTTCCACGCATGGTGCTTCAAACCCCAAGTATCAACTTTGGGCAGTAGAAGGGCTGCTCCCAATGTTGGACGAAGAGATTTTCTTCATCAGCGAGGAGTAGGTGCAGGCTTGTTTCTTACACAGACTTCGGCCCGTAACAATGGATGATTCTGGGCTGATTAGAAAGAGTCCAACAACCAGATCCTGGCGGTAACCAGCCTTGCAACAAGGTTAAAGCCCGGCTGATTGACACTTAAGTATGATTATCCTCCTGCTGTAATCAGCGGGAAAGGTTCCTGTATTAAAAAGCCAATGTATCAAGTCTCTCTTTGCGTACTGAGACCTCTGTGTCAACTGCACCCTTGTGTGCCATCGAGAGCACTGGGGCCCTCAGAATGAGCAAGCCGTACAGTCCGCATTCAAAATTGGCCAGAACGAGGTCTGAGGAGATGCCTCATTAGACGATATGAAACACACAACCCTTGCTTTAACTTAAGCTTCCTTTTTAGTGCTTGTATTAGGAACGGGGTCTTTATTTGGATCGAAGCGCATATCAAGTGGCTAACGTTCATTTCTGCTGGCATCTCATCGCTGTCACCACGTGCGCAACCATGCATGTTCTCTGTCGATTGTATGCAACTCGTGGAGCCACTTCATGATAAATTAGACACATTGGCCCGGCCTACAACAATCACATGCCGTGCACCGGCCTGAACCCCACCGTACATGGGCCTGAACTCCAAGCTATCAAAGTCAAGAAGACGCGCGTTGAGCATACGGCTTGCGACTATTACATTAGTGGATGCACAATGGCACCGTCTGATTTCCTTTGTAGGAGTCAAGGCCAGGAGCATGGTCTGTCATCATCAGCAAACGTGGCCCGACTCAAATGCTTTAAGGAGCATGCTTTGAAAGTTTCCGACTTAAACCATGATCATACGTTGCACATGCTTCATTATAGGATGTGCTTCAGCATCAGGCGCTGGCCTTGCACGACCAATACCGAGGCACTTGACTTCCTCTTGCACCGCGGAAGTGATACCCAATTCAAGGAGGGTAGCACCACAGCCCCTGACAAACCTGGTGAACGTACACCATCGTGTCTTATCGTCCGACACGACGTCTACATATCCAGATTGTGAAGGCTTGGCGTGCTATTTTCAGAGACAGCCAGGGCCTGCAACCAGTGGCAGGCGGTGGACGCGCCGCGGACTGACCGGACGCGGCCGTGATGCCCGGCCAATGGCGTCTGTCCGGACGTGCGGGATTTGAGAGGTTTCCTCTGCTTTGCGCGGTGTAGCTGCAGAAGCTTCGTAAGTCACTTAGGGATCAGGCGGTTTTGAGCCCACAACCAATTACTGTGCGATCTTTCGTGGAGGCATGGCTGACGCGCACATGCACGCCAGCTTGTATACCCGCCTCAGCGGGATGTGCCTCGTATGTGAGCGTTCTGACAGCTGGGAACGGATTCTTTGGTCCCTTGCCTAGCGTGGCCGGATAATCAACCGTGCGTTTAAGCGCACAGACTGTATCATAAAGCAGAATTTGAAATCACTACTTTTGCACTATCTTTGTGTTCACCGGCGCCCTTGCACGTCCGACTCCCGTCCTTCATCCAACGTCGCCAGGCTACTCTACACCCTTCTACGCCCTTCCTTGACTTTTTCCTTTTATATTGTCGACCTTTACGCCTTTCTGTACACCATCTTGCGCTCCTGCCGGTACTCCATCTCTCCGCGCTGCACCATGACCAGAATCGCCCGCCGCACGGACGTCGGGTTACAGCCCACATTGACCAACGCGTCGATCAGCTGCCGTTCGCTCATTTTGCTGTTGATGGCAACTTTCCGCTTGATCTGGCCTTCCACCTGCGCCGTTGAGGGGAACCGGAAGGTAAGAAGACCGGAACGTCAAGGGCAACAAAGAAGCTGTTGATCATTCTTCTTTCGTCTGCCCGCTACATTGTGAGGAATTGCGCCGCAGCCGAACCCGCCCCTAACCCCCAACCTAACCCTGCCCGTCTCCCGGGCGCCTCACCTAAGTGGCATGCCAGTTAGGTGACATCAGAGTTGCTGCGAGACCTTTGTCACCTGCTGCAACCCCGCACGCATTGAAGCGCACGTGTGATGACTAACTCCAACACATTTTTTTTTGGGCTTCTTCCGAATTGCCGCATGATATTGAAACTATGCTCGAGGGTTATTAGCCAAACCCTGGGTTACGAAGCTTCTCACCTGCTGCAGCTCGGCGCGCATCTCGGGACGCACGTGGATGTTGTCCGTGACGCCGCTCGACGCCGCCTCGATGGTGGACACCTTGAACAGCCGGATCGCCTCCTCTACGTGGCGCTCCGTAGCCACGGGAGACCTGACAGGAAAAGGATCATGGTTGGTAACACTCACGTCTGTCTTAGGTTCTGGTAACGAGGACGTTGAGAGGCGAACAGCCTCGATCACCTATTTTCCGTGCCACGGACAGGGGACGTGGCAAGGATTAGGGGCACGGATTGCAGTGACGAGAATCCGAAGGGCAGTTCTGCAGCGAGAGAAGAGTCAGCGCCGTAGGTGCAGACGTGCTAGACTCGCTAGAGGTCACGCTTTCCGGTCATGAGATGGGTTTGAAGCGAGCGGAATGTGGTGGATTACAGAATGCGGTGGGTCACAATCAACATCTTCAAGGAACCGGCGTTGAGTGTATTGGCAAGGCTTAAGAAACAGAGAATGCCTACAGCCGCGAATCCCGTTTAGTTTACCCCAAGTATGAGCTTCCTGTAGATGCTGCAGATAGAAAGCTCGTGCGTCCTGGTTGCCTGGAAAGTCACTAAAGATTCTCTTTGTGTCGCATCACCATTTTGCGGAAGTCCTTGCATCTCACGGCACTCCCTTGAACATCATATGCGGACAGCTGAGTGAAGAGCTTGAACTTCAAAAGCACTCACAGCTCCATCTTGGCGAGTGCGTCGCTGATCAACATTTGCGGCACATTCTCCTGGGTTCCCAATCCTAGACGTCCCGAAGTCCTTCGCATCTCCCGGCAGCCCCTTAAACTATTTGTCCTTTCGCATTACATCTGGATGAAACATTTGGATCTCAAGAGCACTCACAGCTCCATCTTGGCGAGCGCCTCGCTGATTCGGATGACGGCCTCCAGCTGCCGCACCGTGATGGGCACCGCCATCGCCTCGCCCGTCTCCTGCGTCCGCTCGCGCATTTTCTGCGCGCGAAAAGCGGAACTTGTGAGCGGACGGGCGCGATATGCTCATGGCAACGACTTCCTGCGGCTTAAATAATTGTCTGGTTCCGCGTATCCTATTTCCTATTACAATTGATTGGTTGGAGTGTGTGCGTGATTCATTCACTCTGATCTTTATCCTAATATACTCAGACTGTGATAAATCTGATTGATGTATTGGTAGGAGAGGCCAGATTGCCGGCAACAAGTCGAGGATCCGTCTAAGTTAACAGAAAACAGATCCACTACAAAGGTTGAAAGCAGATTGTTACATGGAGCGGACAGCAATTGCTAATTTCGAACCGCCTTAACGACGACCCCACCCCCAAAACGTTCACAAAACATGCGCACTTCGCTATCCCCAACCTTCTCTCTGCGCCGGATACTGCAAGAGTGGAAACAGATATGAGTACAGATTTGCGGGCGACTCACTTGTCGGATGTCAACGTAGCTGTTTTGGAGGTGCTGGGCCGCGGCCTGCGACAACCGGGGGGAGCAGCGGGACCGGCAGTACTGCACGTACCTGCAGAGAGATAGGCGTGCGCGTCACAGCTCTTGCCGACTAACCTTCTTATGTTGGTATCTATCAACGTAGTACAGTGTCACAGCTCTTGCCGACTAATCTGTTATCATCAGTGTCAAGTAACGTAGTAGAGTCTCATTCAGCAACAGACTGCCTAGATTACGCTGAAGCTTTGTATTACAAGCAGGGGGTTAAATGCAAAGAGCTGTGTCAACCGGGCACCTGACCACCAGCGTGAAAGTCGGAAGGTATGAGTGGAAGGGCAGTGGTTAGCGAACCTGAAGCAAAGCCGCCGAGCAAGCGACTGAGAGAAAGGATCCACACGCCGCAGTAGACTTTCGCAGCAAGTGTATCGAGACCCACGAGTACTTGATGCTTCCTTCACAACTTCCAACTTCCGACAATCAACGGATCTGCTGAGATGACGTGCTTCAGCTTTGAACTTTAATGAGAATCTCATCTTCGCGTATACTCTGCCGAGTCGGCTCACCGTTTGAGGAAGCTTTGCTGTCGCTTCGTCTCGTCATCTTCTTTGGCAGCCTCCGCCGTCGAATGGATCCTCAGGACGTGCTCCGCAATTTTCTGCATATAGCAAATGCAGACACGTGTCAAGGTGGCGGGGTTTTGAACCCCGCGGCGGCTAAGCGGGAGAGTTGATTCGTTCAGCCTTCGCTCGACGTGCTTGGCTTCACAAACGGCCTTTTGAACTGCACGGTCGGTTTGCGTCAGCACTGGACGCTAAGACGTTTGGATAGCATGGGTAGATTGTGCGTAACAAATGCTGATCTGGGTTGTGAACAGCCTGAACCTGGGTTGTTGACACACCACGACACAATCGTTTAATTCTCTAGGTCAGGTTTCTTGGCGACTGCGGCCCTCACCATGTCTTTCTCGTGGTTCCGCTCGTCCTTGACGATGAAGATGAGGTCGAATCGCGACAGAATGGTCGTCTGCAGCTCGATATTTTCTTGCGCAGTCTGCAAGGAAAGATGCCGGGGCACTTACTCTCAGACGCTTGATCGAGAAACAGGACGCTGCCGGCTTCAGAAACCTGCTGTCTCGAAAGACTTCGACTCGCAGAAATCCCTGGCAGAGTCCTCAGCTCAGAGGGGTACCAACACCAACTCTTCGCTGTGCCCTTATGGCGTGGATACCAGCTTACAGCATCCGCTCTTGCTGGACTTCTCAAGTTTTTCGCGATACAGCTTACAAGCTCGGTTAGTCGGCACCAGCGGAGAATCTGAAGTTGGATCTTGACACGCTATTGCAGCAAACGTCCGCTTACAGCTCAACTCAAAAGCTTGCTCCAACCCTAAAGCCCTAAAGGCTTCGAACTATAAAAACCTAAAACAAGCTTCACATTCGTACCTTAAGGTCGTCGTACCGTCCAGACGGCGGATTTGCGGCGGCCAGGACCGCGGTCCGCGAGTTGAGCACCGTCGTGATCCCCGCCTTGGCAATGGAGATGGTCTGCTGCTCCATGGCCTCGTGAATGGCCACCCTGTGTAGAGACGACTGGCTTAGGTCCACTTTAAGCACAAGAGTTCACGTCTTTTACCGATCCCTTGTGGACGAATTGCTGAGAAGAGGCGAATTCACATCAAGGTCCATATGGAAGTCGGCAATAAAGTCAGTCCACAAAGACCAGCATGAAACAATGTTTACAGCGAGTTTGGTCATTGCCAGTCCAAGTGGGTTCAAGAATCAAGGTGCATTGGACTTTACTGAAGGATGTGCATTGGGGTTTCACCGAAACATCTCATATTATCGGAAGCACACAACGCCAGACCGGACGTTGGTCAGCAGCTTGGGGTAGAACCTGAGTAGAAAGCAGATGTAAAACTCACAGAAGCACCCTACCATTCTGAGCTTCGAGTGGAGTCAGCCAGACAAGAAAATGAACTTTTAAGCATGTGGTGGAAAACGAAAGATGGCATCGGTCTCCGGCCCCGCTTCCCGCGCACCTGTCCTTAACCCACAAGAAATGATTGGCCAATGTAACCCAGTGAACAGTAACTGGGACATGTGGGGTAATAGTCAGGGGAACGGATGAGAAGCCCGTAAACTTCTGCTTTTGGGAATACCCTACACCAAGCTCACTGATTACTAGATCAAAATACATTGAACTCAAAAAACAATAAAACAATATCCGAGATTGTACTAACCCTACCCGCACTGGGACGGGTAGGGTTTGTTTGGTGGTTAGGGTGGGGGTATGGGTGCGGAGCAGGTATCTCTTTGGGTTAGGCTTTTAGTGTTAATCGAAGCATTCTCTTGGCTATTTTTTATCTTTCTTGAGTCTTGTGAGATTTACCTGTCCTCGGGCCGCATCTTGTCGAACTCGTCGATGCAGACCACCCCCCCGTCCGCCAGCACCATGGCCCCCCCCTCCAGGTAGAACTCGCCGGAGCTGTCCTTGATCACGGACGCCGTCAGCCCCGCCGCGGAGGAGCCCTTGCCGGACGTGTACACGCAGATGGGGGCCGTCTTCTCCACGAACTTGAGAAACTGATACAGGGGCAAGGAAAAGGCGAAGTGTGAGCCAGACCGGGGCGGGGGGAGGGGGATAGAGAGCGAGGGTGAGACCGGCCAGGCGGGGGGAAAAGAGGACTGTGCAGGCAGATGGGAACCGTCTTCTCCACGAACTTTGAGGAACTGTTGCGGGGGTGGGCGAGGAAAATAAGGATGAGAGAAGCTTGACGGGAAGAAGAGACGGCGCAGATGGGCGCCGTCTTGTCCTAATAAACCTGACACCTCTTTCCAGGATTAGGGACGAGAAAATGATGACAGAGAAGCGAGGGTAGACAAGAGATGTATTTACGCGGACTGAGGCCGTCTGGGCATCAGATCTAACCGAGTCGGCTTGGAAGACAAAGAGGAATCGGACCTGGACCTTTGAACAGCGATGTAAATCGTAGCTGTGTGGGGAATGTCAAGCACGGCATTGATGCATTCATTAGTCCATCCTTCGACCTTTCAACGTGCATGGCTCGACACGGAGTTGGAGATGGTACACAAAGAAGACTCTGCGAAACCAGCTACAGCGCGTCTGACAAAAGGAAAAGAAGCGAATGCAGGCAATGCGAAAGAGAAGACGGCCCAACGAAGCAACAGAGACAATGAATTCCCCGCTTCTCATATGCAGCAAGGTTGCAAGGTCTTAGAGACAAGGGCCGCGTCCGACCTGCGACTTTGCGGTGGAGGGATCCCCCAGCAGCAGTACGTTGATGTCACCTCTCAGGCGGGTCCGGTCGGGCAGGTGCTGCAGAACAAAGTCAGAGAAATGGGAAGTCAGGTTTCGTTACATAATGGATGCGGAGTGAGCACGTTTTGTTGCTCGCGTCAGTGCCGCCGACAATGAGTATGCCGTTTTCAATTCGATACAAGGCACTCAAATTGCCCGAAACCTTCTCATAGGACCGCTTTGTGTATAACATCCGCCCTGCAACTGCGCCTGATACTTTGAAACCCGACCGGAGGACATATCGCTACTGACTACGATCAGGAGGCACATAGGATGTGGAACTCAAGAACAGGCAGTAGCAAGCACTGGACCCCCCAACTGTTCTTCCAACCAGGGGACAGCTGTGAGCTTCCTTTCAAGGCCTTCCTTTCAAGGGCCTCAGCATCTGCTGACCGAAAAACTCGAAATGGACGCGCCGGAACAACAGGCGCTCAGACTCATATGCAGTCCAATCATATATTGAATCTCAAGAACCCCGGAAACGGCCGCGAGCGTCTTACTTTGGGCGCTCCACCGAAGAGCAGGCAGAGCACGGCCTTCTTGATGTCCTCGTGACCGAAGATGGAGGGCGCCACGAGGTATTTGGCCGTCTCCTCGTACACTTTGGTCTTTGCTGCGAACTCCTTGAACTGGGCCTCCTGCGATCCGCAAAAACGCTAAGCTCTTTACTTGCACTTTATTGAGGGTGGATCGGACTAGTCTGGGACTTGACTGAAAAAGCGATGCGATACTTTACTTTCGAAAGCGAACGGAGTGTAAGGAACCCCAAAGCGGTTGAAGGCCCCACCAGACCGGAAGGTAATCAAAATTCAGCATTACGAGCGAAGTTCTGGGTCAGACGTCGAGAACGTGTAGGCCTTAGGATATTGGTCACAACAGCTGCAGTCCGAGTCTCACGTTACGACGTTCTGAGAAGTGGAGTGGATTCCGAACGGATTCTCACATCATCTCCAGTGAAAGTGACCTCACTGCCGCTCGCGGCGTCCTCGATCGTCAGCCCGACAACGCGCAGATACGGTTGCCTGATAGCCACAGCGTTCTTGTTCCTGCAAGCATAAAGCAAACTTCAATCCGATAGTTTGATCCTCTTTAGATCAGACAGCACGTACGGATTGCTTCCAACAGGCCAACGAAACATTGGCTCCAGAATTGATTAGACATCTGTCCAGATGTGCAGAAAAATAGGAACCAACGAATAATCACCTAATCGACTCCATACAATGCCCAAAGCAATCGCCATCTGGATCCCAGCGACAGAGACCGTACGACCAACGGCCTCCTTTTCATCAGCGCTCTCGAAATTTGCACAAGCATATCCCTTCGAAAAGGAAGGCCCTTCATTCCCAACATGCCAAAGACCTCTCTCCTTCACAAGCACCTCGCTCCACCTCACCCAAGAAAAGAAGAGGCGAATCCACACGCCAGTAAAACAAAAGACGACAGCAAATCGCCCAGGCAACTCACTTCCCCTCCTTGTCCCCCCCCACGATATCAAACATCCCAACGACCGAGACGCGCTTCCGCCTCACTCCAACGCAAAGAGCCAAAACTACACGCTACCAACATAGATCACGCCAGCCAACTTCCCAGCCAACTCACTTGCCCTCCTTGTTTCCCCCGCAAAAATCAAGGATCCCGACCACCAAGACGCGCTTCCACCTTACCACAACAAAAGAAGAGCCAAAACCACACGCCAGCAGATTACTCAGCCAACTTACTTGCCCTCCTTAATTTCCCCAAAGATATCAAGAATCCCGACCACCGAGACGTGCTTCCACCTCACCCCAACGAATCAATACCAAACCCACAAGCCACGAAAACAGAACACGCCAGCAAATTCCTTAGCCAACTCACTTGCCCTCCTTGTTCACCCCGAAGATATCAAAGATCCCGACCACCGAGACGCGCTTCCCGGGCGTGGCCAGGTGCACCAGGTGCCTGTCCACGCTGAGCAGAAGCGCCCGGGGCATCTCCCCGACCGGCACGTCCTCGGGCTTCTCCTGCAGCTTGAGCGTCTGCTGGTCCACGTACCGGCTGCGGTCGGGGACCACCACGAACGGGTCCAACGGGCACGCCTCCTCGCCCACCTGGAAACAAGGGAAGGGAAGTGGAGTTGTTGTTTTTGTTGTTCCGTACACCCGTTGTTCTGCTTTTCTGCTGTTTCTGTTGTTTCCATTGTTCGGTAAAGAGTGTAGGAAAAGAAGACGTTACGAAATGTCTTGACGGGACATGGAGTCTGGACTCAATGGGAAACGGCCAACCAAAGAGATGTCAGGTAATTTTTGGGCTTCGGCGGAAGGAGGACGAGAGCAACTGCTTGTCAGGTTGTCGTGCCTCAGGTCGACAGTATTTCTGTATGCGCCGCCTGCTCAGCTCGGGTACTTCCGGACAAATGAGCAGGATTCTTTTTAGAACAGAAGAATTTGCAATACCCAAACATGCCATCATTCAATCCTACGTGTAGTCATGTGGGATTCTCGCCCTCGCAGACGACTCTGGGAATTATCCCCGAGGCCGCACCTGAGCCTGGTGGTCGCACGTGCGCGGGATCGAAGCCCCATTGAAGCCCGCCTTGATCTGTACCGTCTTGGGCGTCTTGCAGTTCTTGCAGATGAGCGCCAGCTGCGTCGCCTTGGCCTTCACCTTGGATGACGCAATGATGATGCCAGGGACCTTAACCAGCCGCGAGATGTGGTCCGCCTGCAGGCCGCCGAATGGCGATTCAAGAGCGTGGTTCAAAGGCGTTCAATTCTAAGCTCTGCTTGAAAGCAATAAGGGGCTTGGAGTGCCGTTTCTAGATGTGCCTTTTTGGAGTCTTGGGCTTTCTAAATTGCGTGTTGATGAGGTGATTCTAGAGTGGCCTGTTTCGAGGACGTGCTCAGCTTTCGACCTTGTGTGGTCTTCCTGTGGGATAAAGCGATAAAGAACGGTGACTGCTTGTCGTAAGCTGCTTGTCAGCGTTTTCTTGAACGCAACAAAGCAACCTGCCCCTAGCTTGGTGATCAATCGATGTTGATCCTGATATTTATCGCCAACGTTGATACTGATGTCAATGATCGCCCAGTCAAACCAGAAGCCCACTCACCGTCAGCTGGCGTGGAGAGATGGGGTTCTCCTGGCTGGTGATCAGCACTTGCACCTCCCGCCGGTTCGGCTGGTCCGCGTCCCCTTCCTCGCCCGCCGGCTTCGTCTTGAGAGTCTGCAATACCTCCGCCGCAGCCGCTTCGAGCTGCAGGCAATAACGAAGTCATGCCTTGAAGTCTGCATACCTCAAGGGAGGGGCTTAAGCAGCTGTGTCTGACCTTTGGGCTTGACGTAAGGATCTTATAAGCTCCTTGGGGATGTAATGTACAGATTATCAACAACCTTGCCGGCCTGCAAAGCTGACCCACCAAAGTCAGCTACTGAGCCCAGAAGCTATTGCCCGCCATTTGGTGTAGTCCTGGTCACTGGACTCACTGATCATGCATCCAGCAATACTCTCAATGACTCAGGGGAAGGCTATAATTGTTGAGGTATCAAAAGGAGCTGTTCACTTTTGCTCAGTAGCTCTAGATGTGGAAAGGATCTTCCTCGGTAAAGCGGTCAGTCGTACCTAGTTGAACAAGCAATGCCAGCTTACCAGGGGCAGGTGCTCTCCTGGCGCTTCCCGGAATGCTCGCGCCAGCTGTGGGTCATGCGCGGAGATGTCCTCAATGTCGACCGTCAGCGTCTTCCTCGATTTCTGCAAGCTCTCCCTGCAAGTGCAGCAAGCATGAGCTGTTTCTATCACTCTGTACGGTTACTAATGGGGCTGTTGCCCCCTGCTTCGCTAGAAGATGTACAAGCATGGGAAGCTGGGCAGGAAGGTTTCATGGATGCATAATCCCTCAAGTCAACCAACCAATGTACAACTTTGCCAGCGGGATTTTATAATCATGCGCGAGGTTTGAGCAGGTACAATGTCTTTGCAGGTTGTTCGCCCAAACTTTACGAGTGCTGGTAGGTCATCACTATTACAAAAATATCCACTACCTGTCCCTGAAGGTGATCTATGCAGACTGATTGATCAGCATTTCATGTTGCTACAGTCTGGATCAAGTGCACACTTACCGGTAAGGATAAGTGAAATTCGAGCCACTATCGCCCGGGCGGGCAAAGTTCTTGATGAACTCCCTGAGTTTCTTCATTGTGGTCGCCCGGCTGTCCCGTTGCTCGGCCTCTTCATTGCCCTGCACAAGGCAGGCTCCGCAGAATTACTCTGATGCATCTTGACGTGGGCTTTAGGGACCTGATATTCCTTAATAAATCTGGACATCCTGTTAGGATGCACATTTGCTACCTTCTTGTGGCGGAAAAGAGAAGAGGAGAGGGGCACACTCTCAAGATTGAGATCCCCGAAATTTGGCCGGGGACTGTGATTGTGCAGAAGCCACGTTAAGGTGTGCTCCATTGCTGAAAGTGGCTCCCTCAGAAAGTATGAAGGAGTGGCCACCAGGCACTGAGCACAAGTGCGCATTGACAGAATTGCCCTGTCTGTGTTGCTCTATTGCAATGGCTTTAATTACAATTTGGTCCCGCAACGGCCTCAGCAGTGATCTGAGTCAAAGAAGAAGATGGCTGTCCACTGGTACATCACTGCCTATTCCTCCCCTGATTGAGCCCACAACCTGAAGGTAAACAAAACAAGACAATAAGGGGCACCCACGGACACAGCAAGGATGCACGGACCAATGGTTAAACGCATGGAAAGATCGGCTTACAAAGGCCTCTGTAAAGAAGACATTGCCTTCGTCCCAGCCCGACATCCTGCCTTCCCCTTGTCTTCAAATCTCTTTGCACTTGACTGGATACCCAGACAGCACCTGCGTAAAATGATAATGTTGTTTTGCGCTTCTTCAGAGGTCCGTAAGGAAGCTTGTATCTATCACAGATGGCGCACTTCTGTATGTACGCTGCACCTGCCAATTGCTAGAAAGTGCGCAAGAGAAGCTCACTTGAGGTACCTAACTTTGCGCACAAGAGGCCGTGTTCAAAGAGTGGGTGAGCGCTTGCAAGTCTTGCAGCTGCTTGCTTTGCAAGGCACTGTGTCATCGATCCGGGCATCGATCACAGGCCTGTCTCGTCACGGTAGGCCGAGGGCGCGCCAAACTCCACATTTGGCGCCAACTTTGAGCAGGGTTGATCGTGATTGGTTCGCGGGACGCTTACGTGGAACCTCCGATGGTGGGAGGGGTGGCGGCTGCGCGGCCCCGCCGGCGGGCCGGGGCGGCGGCCGCGAGTACAAGTTATGGAGGCGGCAACGTACGCGCCGATTCGGTAGGGGCGGCGCGAGCTTGCATTCTAACCAAACTTCATCGGACGAACGGGACCGCAAGTTAAAACCCTCGATCATCTCCGCGCCGTCGATGGCCAAACAGGAATTTAACGAGCGGTCATCGACGGTTCGCAAAGTTCGAGGCAGTCCCCGACCAGGTCGGCACCGTCGATGACTTTTCCGTACGGTGACTCAGAGAATCGACCTTTCCTCACAGGAGCTGGGGGCTGCCGAGGGGGGGGTCGAGGACTTTGCAACTGTATTAGTACTTACGGGTTTGGTACACCCGTCAAAAAGGCCTCCCTCCC